TCTCAGTGCACGGAAGTTTTTTTTCCAAGTCTTCTCACTAGCGTATGAGTACCAACTTTATATTCTTGGCATAGTCCCAGGAAAATAGTAGGAACAATATTAATCTTCATTAACTCAGTAAATCAATGACTGAACCAATAAAGGAATCAAGCAGCCACTGAGGAGTTATAAAAAGATCACATGCTCTGTCTTATCAATGTCCTACCAGTCATGGTTCTTAGGGGCTTAAAAAACGTAGATCATAAATTTTCACAGTGGTGCTCTAAACATAGAACTCTAAGAATTTTTAAATTTGATAAATTAAGGGGGCTGGCTTGGTAGCATTGTAGGGAAAGCCGCTGCCTGCCTCTTTGCAATCCTATGTGGGCGCCAGTTCAAGTCCCAGCTGTTCCACTTCCTATCCAGCTCCCTGCTAATGCACCTGGGAAAGCAGCAGAAGATGACCCAAGTGCTTGGGCCCCTGCACCCATGTAGGAGACCTTGAAGAAGCTCCTGGATCCTGGCTTCAGACTGGCCCAGCTCTAGCCACTGTGGCCATCTTGGTAGTGAACCAGTGGTTGGAAGATATCTCTCTGTGTCTCTCCCCTTTTCCTGTCTGTAATTCTGCCTTTCAAATAAATAAATAAATCTTTTTTAAAAATTTGATAAATTAAAACATTTCATTCAAATTTTTTCAATTTTTAAAAAAAGATTTTATTTATTTATTTGAGAGGTAGAGTTAGAGACAGAGAGAAGTCTTTTTTAAAAAAGATTTATTTATCTACTTGAAAGGCAGTTATGGAGAAAGACAGAGAGAGAGAGGTCTTCCATCCACTGGTTCATTCCCCAAATGCCCACAATGGCTAGCGCTGGGCCCATCCAAAGCCAGGAACTTCTTCCAGGTCTCCCACATGGGTGCAGGGGCCCAAGCACTTGGGCCATCTTCTACTATTTTCCCAGGCCATAGCAGAGAGCTGGATCAGAAGAGGAGCAGCCAGGACTAGAACCAGTACCCATATGGGATGCTGGCACTGCTTAGCCCACTAAGCCACAGTGCCAGCCCTGCAAGATGACTCCTTTTCCTTTCAAATTTGTGAATCCAAACTTTGAAGTTGGAGCGCATTTTAAGATCTTCTACTTGTGGAATAGCACGTGACAATGAACTCTCTTCATAAAATTTAGTCAATTCCTACCTACTACATATATCCAAGCTTCCCATTTGCATCTTAGCCCTTGCCATGGTGAAAATTTACAGTGATCATGGCTATTCAGTGTAGGAGATGAATTAACATTCTCCACAGGATTCTCATTTGTATAGCATATTAACAGACTCCTTATGTAAATTTCTACCCTTACCTCACTGCTTGTTTGCCTGCTAGCTGGTTGTATGCAATTTAGAAAGGAGGGCAAGAAATGTCTGATCCACATGATGCTGCTTAGAGGGACAGAGAGGAGGGAAAGGACGGAAGTCAAGCAGTGAGAGGAGAGTTACAATGGACATATTTTATAGCTGTCACCAAACTAACCATGCTCAGTAAAGCCAACTCTCAGTCCAAATAGATTTTACTTCTTGTGTCTAACAGATTTTGTCACTATAAGTAAATTATGGAAAAGTAAGAGATAATATATATGATATCGTGAGGATAGCTGATGCAAGAAGATGTGGAAAGCTAGTCAAACTTGTTACATGTTTTGGAGGAGAATTTAGTATTAAGCATTAGCCTACCAAGAAACAAGAAAAAAGGACCTGCTCTTAAAAGACATACCAAGTAATAATCCAGCTGCCAGAGCCATATGTCCAATGAAGAACTAGACTGGAATAGGTAATTCCTAATTTAACAAAGATGGATAACTGTTCATAAAAATCCTGTTTCCTTTTCCAGGACACTTTGCTATGTTTCATTTTCTAGCCTCCCTTGCAGGTGGTTGTGGCCATGTAGGAGAATTCTAGCTAATGGTACGTGCCACGTCTAAGAGTGGCCCACAAAATCTCCAATGTGTGCTCCTCCATGTCCTTTTCCTATCTGATGACTGGGCTGGGGAGCCTCCAGGGCTACCTTGGGGCTGATCAGCCTGGGTACCAGAAAGATCATGTGGATCAGATAAACCAACCGCTCACCACAGACTGTCCTAGACTTTTAAATAAGCAAGAAATAAATATCTACTGTGCTAAATCACCACATTTTTGTGTCTATTATTGCAGCTTAGGTAGCCCTAATATAGGACCCCATGCTGTGAACTATTGGGTCTCTCATTTGAAATGAGAGGCAGCAGGGCTGGCGCTGTGGCATAGCGGGTGAAGCCGCCGCCTGCAATGCCAGCATCCCACATGGGCACCAGTTCAAGTACCAGCTGCTCCACTTCCAATCCAGCTCTCTGCTGTGGCCTGGGAAAGCAGTAGAAAATGGCCCAAGTCCTTGGGCCCCTACACCTGCGTGGAAGACCTGGAGGAAGTTCCTGGCTCCTGGCTTCAGATCGGTACAGCTCCAGCCATTGTGGCCAATTGGAGAGTGAACCAGTAGATAGAAAACCTCTCTCTCTCTCTCTCTCTCTCTCTCTCTCTCTCTCTCTCTGCCTTTCCTTTCTCTGTGTAACTCTTTCAAGTAAATAAATAAATCTTTAAAAAAAAAAAAAAAAGAAAAGAAAAGAAAAGAGAAGCAGCTCCAGCTCTATCTCCAAGCTTGGAAATAAATCTTGGCTTGGTGATAAAGCAAAAGTAACTTAAATAATCATTATACATTTTTCATTATATCTATTGTGTGCCAGACAATGAACTAAGTCCTCTATGTTTATTTTCTGCAATTCTAAGAGTAACCCTGCTTTATAGACATTTGGTTACAGAGATGCAACTGCTCTACAACAATCAGGTATAAGAAATGGCTATTACCATTTTTTTCTAAATCTAGATATAGATCCCCTCTCTCTCAAATGATAAAAGAGTCAATAACAGTCATATTATGAGATTCTAAAGTGTGAGAATAAAAATAGCTTATAGGGACTTGAAAATCAAGGAAGGACTTATAATTTTTAGGCACTCAGGCTCCCAGTACAAGCCCATGTGATCCATTCACAGCAGGTGGCTCCCTTTGCTCTATGTCCATCATGAACCCAAATTGTTGCCTGTGAATTTTTCAGGTCATAGCTCTTCATTATCCTTCATGAAAGCAATGAAGTATCCCTGCCCTGTCTCCAGAAATGAAGCCTCTATTACCCAGGGTAGACTTACTCTATGCCATCAACTCCAATTTTCCAAGTCTTGAGGCCTCACAGTTTCTGTAGTGTCTCCATATCATGAATGTCCTGAGGCACCAGCATCCACCTGTCTGTTTTTGGATGAAAAACAGCAAGAAAAAACATAAATAATCTCATTAATAGATTATCCTGTCATGATAAATTGAGATTCAGAGAAGTCAAATTGCCCAAGGCCACAAACCATTCAGCGCCAGAGCTCTAGGTCAAACCCAAATCCATCTGTCTTAGAGGCCTAGAGAATTTTCTGATCTTCCATAAGGCCTCTTAGAGGAAAACTCAAAAGGCACCACTGACCTAAGAAGTTTTTTATGACAATGGGAAGTAAGTATAAATTGTCCCAAATAAATGAAACATTTGAAACACTTGCTGAAATACCAAGGATTACAGAATCTTTTTCACTTGATATCTTCCATGGTCACTCAATTAGCTACTCTGTAACTATACAAATACACATATACATATCTACATATAAGTAAGAAAAAATTGCTAAAGTAATTAATTTGCAATATCATCTTGCCGGTCACATATCTTATGAATTATCCTCAATTTTTTAAAATTTATTTGACAGGGAGAGTTATAGACAGTGAGAGAGAGAGAGAGAAAGGTCTTCCTTCCGTTGTTTCACTCCCTAAATGGCCGCTAGGGCTGGCATTGCTCTGATCCGAAGCCAGGAGCCGGTGCTTCTTCCTGGTCTCCCATGAGGGTGCAGGGCCCAAGCACTTGGACCATCCTCCACTGCCCTCCAGGGCCACAGCAGAGACTGGACTGGAAGAGGAGCAACTGGGACTAGAATCCGGCACCCATATGGGATGGCAGTGCTGCAGGTGGAGGATTAACCAAGTGAGCCATGGCGCCTGCCCCGTCTCAATTTTTTGAAATTAAATTTTCATTTGACCCATCTTAATGATCTTTTAAAAAAGATATATTTATTTATTTGAAAGACAGCATTACAGAGAGGCAGAGGCAAAGAGAGAGAGAGGTCTTCCATCTGCTGGTTCACTCTCCAGATGGCTGCAATGGCCACAGCTGGGCCTTTTCCAAAGCCAGGAGCCAGGAGCTTCTTCCAGGTCTCCCACGAGGGTTCAGGGGCCCAAGGACTTGGGCCATCTTCCATTGCTTTCCCAGGCTATAGCAGAGCCGGATCGGAAGTAGAGCAGCTGGGACTCAAACTAGTGCCTTATGGGATGCCGGTACTGCAGGCGGCACCTTTACCCACTATGCCATAGCACCAACTCCTTTTAATGATATTCTTATAAAGATTTCTAAGTTACAAAATTTTTTTTATTTTTGTGTCTTTTAGAAAAATAAAAGGATTCGGCCGGCACCGCGGCTCACTAGGCTAATCCTCCACCTAGCGGCGCCGGCACACCGGGTTCTAGTCCCGGTTGGGGCGCCGGATTCTGTCCCGGTCGCCCCTCTTCCAGGCCAGCTCTCTGCTGTGGCCAGGAGTGCAGTGGAGGATGGCCCAGGTGCTTCGGCCCTGCACCCCATGGGAGACCAGGAAAAGCACCTGGCTCCTGGCTCCTGCCATCGGATCAGCGCGGTGCGCCAGCTGCGGCGGCCATTGGAGGGTGAACCAACGGCAAAGGAAGACCTTTCTCTCTGTCTCTCTCTCTCACTGTCCACTCTGCCTGTCAAAAAATAAAAAAATAAAAAAATAAATAAAAATAAAAAAATAAAAAAAAGAAAAAGAAAAGGATTCTAATACAAGAGGACACTGCATTAACATACAAATATGTTCATTATTCAATCATTTTTAGCCTAAATAATGGTGATTTAGGAGGTCTGGGTTCTAGTCTCTCTTCTAACAAATTTGAACACTTGATGAAGCACAAGTTCTTTGGATCTCATTGCTCTTATCTATCCTTTTAGCTCTTACATTGTCTAATGACATATCTCTGGGAAAACTGGTGCTTCACTTGTAAAATTAATGTTTCTTGGTCCAATTCTGTAGCCAGTGTAGTGTAAAAACATGTAAGAGAAAGAAGGAATTAGAGAAAGAAAGGAGAATGGCAAGTGAGATAGGAACAAGAAGGTGGAAGAAGGGAAGGAGGAAGAAAAGAGAAGTAGAGGGAAGAAAAAATAAAGATAAAAAAACAGAGAGAGAGAAGGAGAGATTGGGGATGGAAGAATGGAAAAAGGGAGAAGAAATCATTTCTCATTATGGCTCATAATTCTCAAGGCTCATCTAAGAGTTGCTTGAAATTGGAATCAGGGTGAAGTAGTTCAGACTTTGGGTTTTCTACTCCCATTGGCAAGCCTGTCCCTCCAGAGAGGATGAGATGAAACAGGATGTCTTAGCCTGACACCATTAAACATTTGATTTATCTACCTCTCTTTGTTCTGATTCCATGCACTTCAAGCAACCTTATGATTACAATTCAGCTTCCAAGACCTCCAGAGACACAGTGTGATGGTCAGGCTGATAAAAGCTTTGTAGCTTACATAGGTTCTATTTTTCACTATAAATTAATAAACTGACATGTCACCAGATGTTATCAAATGGTAAGTATTGTTGCATTGACCAACAAACATCTAATTGGTTAGGAAGACAAAAGAGGAGCAAGAGAGATAGAAATACAAGTACAGACTGAAAATTCCACTGGCAGAATCAGTGCCAGTCTCAAAACAACCCACTTATCATCCTGTACCTAGCTCAGAACACGTCAAGAGGGGGAGCCTTTCCCAGGTACTCAGAGGATCCATGATGGTCATTCACTGTGCAAAGATTTCCATGACATGACATAAGTAGACAGGACACCAGAAAACATTCCACAGACCCCAATTTGTGTATTCTCACCTGATGGCCTAAGTTAGGTCCTGATCCTCAAATCTACATTTCAAACCATCAGAGGGATTCACACTTGGGGAAATTTTAAGCATGTTGGCTATTATCATAGTCTTTGTGTCATTGATTTGATTTAGTTTAAAATTCTAGCTCCCCCTTGAGCAGCTGACTTAATCAAGTCACTTATAAGCAAACTTTTCAAATCTTCAGAATCAGCCTACTACACCTAGCTCAGTAAGACATTGTTCAGATTAAATTAAATTATGTGCAGTGGACATTTAACACAATGTCTAGGATACAATGAGTACTTCATACATGTTAACTAAAATAGTAATAATCTGATCATTATAATTATTATTGCTGAGCAATGATGCATCAGTGTATTATAAATTCTTTAATAAGTCTAATCTTAGTGTTAGGTTCATGAATAGGATATACACTGAACAACTGTACGGGACTAAGGACTAAACCATAAATCAGCACCACACCTCTCTTCCTACCCTGTCCTCTAAGATAGCCCGAGAAACCCTTTAGCAACAAGCAAACATCCCTCCCCAGAAGCCCAGCCTATGTTTGTTGTCATCTTCAATATACATGTAGTCTTCCAGAACACACTATCCCCTATTCCCTCAGTAAAATAATTCACTAACCTTGTAACTGTCCATGACACTCTCTAACCTCAACCATAGTTGTTTCTCCTCCACGCCATTGTTGTTACCAGCACCTCTGCTTCCCAAATCTTTATCTATAGCATTTCAAGAGGCAACTCCTAAACATGACAACACACTAAGAATTTCTTTTGGTTACCCAAGCATCTTGAAGCTCCCTGACCTGTTGGTTGGTGATCAATGGAAAACAAAGCAAAAGATTCATTAGAGTCCAAAATACAAACACATGATGTTAAGAAAGAGTCCCCCAAATCCCTCAAACAAAAGGCAATTGTTAGGATCACATTTGGGCAGTCATTAGCACAAGAGTTTGTATCATCATATTGGTGAGAACTTTGTGGCTAATTTAGCACATAAAATTTCTAAAGGCTCACAATGAAAATATTCACTAAGAGAAGATGAGAATTTTAAAGGAAATTAGTTGCTAAAAGATGTTGCCAAGATGTAGGCAAAATTTTCTTATTACTAGAAAGACCCAAATGGACAAAATTTAAATCACCATTAATTAAAATTGTTTTGAAACATCAGGTTTTACAAATATGAAGATTCTAAACCTACTCTCTTTTATTGATCCAAAAATGTCATCAATAATGGTGTCAATTCTAAGGTTTACTTCTCCTGGAAGGTTACCTTTGGGAAGAGGGATGGCATAAGAAATTAGTTGAGTAATGTTAAATCCACTCAAAATCAAACTAAATAGTAAATAATATGAAATGGTGAATTTCCTGATTTTGAACTATTTTATTCAGCTTTAAAACTCAGAGAGAGGAATGAACTACTCCCCTTAGGGAAGGGGAAATAGCAGAAAGCACTTTGTGTTTACACTGAAACAGGTCCACTGAGCATCCTCTATAAACATTAAATAATGATCACATAGTATCAGAAATGAAAACCCCTTATTATTTATTGAAGTGGATCCCATGCTCACAAGAAGCCTTTAAAATGAGATTCTCAAGGGACTTTATGAATGCTTTCTCATTATTGTTCACCTTCGTTTGAAAAGGTAAGAATCTTCATCTCCATTTGCTAGTTAGGGGTTAACAGAGAGGTTAAACAAATTATATAAAGTTATATTAAAAGTCTGAAAATGATAGAGACAAAGGCTTGTTGTCCCTTGAGCACTAAATGTCTTTCTTTGAAAAATTAAGCAACTCATCTAATTATTTTAGGAAGATGTTTTACAAAAAATGCAATATTTTATCTGTACATCATTGTCTAGAAAGAAAACTCACAAAACAATAACTGTGACAAATAAAAAATCAGTGTGGTTTCCAGAATCCTTTCTATTCTGTGTACCCACCCATGTGGCTGGAGATTTGAAATGCTATTTAAGTCTCATTTTCCTTCAGAAGCTAACCTCTGCGGAATAAAATGCTGTTAAGGGGGGAAAATCTTTTCTGTCATTTGACTTTAACTTATGATAAATTAGCTTCAACTAGTTTCTTAGAAAATTGCCCAAGAAATGACTACAGAAAATTAAATACCAAGACTTCAAAGAGGCAAACACACAGCCTTCAAATTCCGACCTCAGAGAATAATCCTCCCTTTCTCCTGCATTGGAGAGATGTGAGTAAAGAAATCGTACTAGGGCATGGTAATGAACCATCTTTCAAATGACTTTTCTATCAATCTTCTTTTCAAAGGGTAATAAAGTGATGATTATTTCTAGGCAGTCTCTGAGAAGTTATCCTCTCAGTTCAATAGTCACCAGTGCAGGACTGCACTCTGGCGTTATCACCAATGGTGATGGGGGCAAGAGCTGGTTGAGAATTCAATAGACAAGGTGTAGCTTGTTAAAAGCTATTTCCTTGAAAATTAAAACAGAGAGAGATCAAAAGAATTGTGTTGGGTCTTAAGGAATTGGTAATCATTTCCTTCTAGATTAAAAATGCAAATCTGATGTATCACCTAGTGAATGAAATCCACTGTCATATGGAAGTTCTATTATTTTTTAAGAAATACTGCTGAAAGCATATTGCATGCCATTTTTTGTGCTAGGTACTGGTGTCCAGTTGAGAAGGACAGCACATCAGAACAGTGATGTGTGCATCATGACTTCTAAAGCCAAAATGTTTGGTCTCATTTAAAACAACAAGCATAAACAACAATAAGAAACTAATTTTTTTAAAAAAAGAGTTACTTATTTATTTGAAACTCAGAGTTACAGAGCCAACGGGAGAGACAGAGAGATCTTCCATTGGCTAGTTCACTCCCCAAATGGCCACAACAACCCTGACTGGGACAGGCCAAAGCCAGGAACCAGGAGCTTCCTCAGGGTCTTCCACTTGGGTGGCAATAGCCCAAGAACTAGGGCATCCTCTGCTGCTTTTCCAGGCCAGTAGCAGAGAGCCAGTTTGGAAGTGGAGCATCCAGGACAAGAACTGGTACCTGTATAGGAAGCAGCTTGACCTACGATGCCACATTGCCAGCCCCAACAAATTTTTTTTTTTAAGTGTTCAGCAAATGGTTGTGTGAAGTACCAATCATACAGTTCTTGCTCTGCAGAGCCACAGAAAACAACAGGGTGAGAAACACCCAAACTATCTGATTTCATTCCCCAGAACTGTAAGAAGCACTAAGAAAGCACCTGGCATAAGACACTCCAGAAATATGCAGCCTCATGGAAAGAAAATCTTGAGCAATGGATGCCTTCAGGAGAGGACCCCCTGCAACCTGGCCGCTTCTCTGTTTCCCTCATTCAAGTCTCATCTGAGATACTGGCTTTGTGCTCAAGAAAGGATTGTGTAGTCTGTTTTTCCTCAATGGCTCTCAAAAACAACCCTAGATATGTCTTTCTATTTGACCTAATTCTCTTATCCCAGCCTGAATCTAACATCCTAGCAGGTAAAAGTATGGAACACAGACTTGACAATGCCCAGAAATCACATTTCTTAGCACTTACTAGAAATCAAAACTTGGAGCAAACAAACAAAAAGAAACAACACACATGAAGCCTTCTTAGGACAAAGAAATGCTATGTTCACCATGGCATTCTCATCACTAATGCAGTACAGAAAAGGCACTTAATAAATATCAGATTGATTAAACTGACTGAATGAATGAATACTCCACCCTTTTGTGGTCATGAATCACTCAAAGTCAAAACTGCCACGCCGGCATTCGCGTGCAAGCAATCCCACAATGACCTTTGCACAACAGTGCATCTTTTTTAAAATGTCATTTTCCTCATTTTTCTTCTTAAGAAAAGCACAGGGGCAGCCATTTGGCCTATTGTTCAAGACACTGGCAACCCATATGTCCAAGTTCCATTCTCATTTCCAGCTCCCAACTCCAGCATCCTTTGAATAAAGACACTGGGAGGCAGGCGTGATGGTTTCAGTAACCAGGTCCCTGCCACCTAGGTAGGAAACCCAGCCCCCAGCTTCAGCCTGGCCTAGCCCCAGACCTTGTGGGTATTTAGGCAGTCAGTTGGAGGATGGGAGCTTTCACTGTCTTACTCTCTCTCAAACAAAAAATAAAAGAGAAAAAAAATAGAAAAGGACACCACAGAAATTTGAAACCAAAATATATTTGCTTTCAAGTTCCATTCTAGACGACAATGATTTGAGCAATGAACTAATTGATGCCTTTAGTTTGCCTTTGGACAGGCAAATTCCCCCTTTCTGTCACTGAACACAGCACTGGAGTGAGTACCAATGGATCCCTTTTTGATTCCTAGAGTAGAATAAAGCCACTAAGCTCCTCAAAAAATGTATTAGCATTTTATCCTCATTGTCAGTCAAGAAATCAACCAAATTTCCCACCTGCCACCACTCTAAGACCTAAAAGAAAAGTGGTATAAATTAACCTTTGTGCAACTCTAACAAGAATCAGACACAATCACCAGCAAATGAAAATCTTGGCTTTCCAGCCCTGTAGACACCATTTCCCCTGAAGGAGAACCTAAGAATGCAGGAATGTAGATATTAAAAGCAGGTTCAGAAGCAAGTCAGCTGATAAAATTATAAAGTTAAATATACGTTGAGAGTTTTCAAACCCAACATTGGAACACTAGATAATACGAAAGGAGATGCAGAGGAAAGTAGCTAAAGTTGGCACTTGTCTTGAAGTAGCACAACCCAGCCAGCACGCAAGAGGGACCGATCCCCCACACATGCCACACAGTGCAGCTTCCAGGGATCCTTCGCTTCAGCCCTCAGAAGACAGTGTCATTTCTCAGCCTGGACTTAAAATACTTACATATGGTGCTCTGAAATCCAGGGGAATTTCACACTGACAGAAAGCAAACACCTGAGAAACATGTTTTCAGTCTGCAACCCCACTTTTCCTCCTAGGACCTGACTGAGAAAAATTTAGCCTGCAATGATGTATTGGATGAAGATGCTTCACAAAGTCCATGGAAAATGGGAATAACAGATAAGTTCATTTTCACGCAAAAAAAAATTTGAAATTCATGCATGTAACCTTTGAAACACTACTCTTTTTTCCAAAACGGTGTATACAAAGTGTCTTCAAAAAGTTCATGGAAATGTATATAATGAAAATTTTTAAATCATTGTAGAAAAATAGCATTATCTTTTAATTCTACTTCTCCATGACCTTTCTGAAGTATCCTTGTACACACAGCTTTGGAGAAAGAGTGGTGTTTCTGAGGTTGACTTGGTCCACTCTCTGATAGTAATCCTGAGCATAAGCGAAAGGAAACTCTTCCAATAATTTCCAGTTTTATGCACCCTTGTTGTCCTGTCTAAAGAAAAGGAGTTTGGGAACCGAGGGCATTTGCTCTAGATTTCCCTTTTCCTTTCTTTCAGAGCAATCTGAAATGCCCAAGCATCACATGATTCAGCGACAATAGCTCAAACCCATCTAGATTTCACCAGGATACTCTTTACTAGTTAGCTTGAACAGGAGTGCGCTCCAGTCTGCACAAATACACCTTCATCCCACTGTTCTCCCTACTGTTGCTATTTAAAGCCCTGGACTGCTGGAGAGAGACGAGGAAGAAGTCAAATAACTTTTTAATGTACATATATAAACATAAGTACAATGTATGGGTGAGGTCATGAATAGCAGTAGGGGGTAGAGTTTGCACACATAGTGAGAAAATAAATTAAATTCATCCCCCTGGTTCTTTATTGCACAGTAATTTGCTCCATGGATTCCTAGCGACCAGCTAAAGCAATGAGGTATAAAAGAACAATATTCCCTGCTGACTCATCCAAGTATCTTCATGTGGAACCTGAGGATGGAGAACACATGCAAATCCCCCTGTACCAAGGTCTCTATCTACGAGAACCCATTCATCATAGACCAAAGAGGCCTTTGGGCAAGGGGAGATGGTAGGCTCAGAAGGCTGGTCCCAGCGAGGCACACCACATAAGGCTATCCTGCTGCGGCTCTGACGTACTCAGTGTCAATCAATCTATCGATGTCACCAGAGAGTTCGTGGCAGGCAGGGCAAGGACAATTGTCTTTCTGCTTCTCCTTTTACAGTCGTGTATGGTCTTCTGGGGAATTTCCATCCCTTTCTTTCTCTGAAGGCCCCTCAGGTGGTTCTTTTTTGATGTCAAGTCCTAAGGTAGAATTTATCCTTCCAGGGGAATAGTCATTTCTTTTTAAATCTGCAGGGAAGACAGTGAAGATGGTTACAGGGGCTCCCCAAGAACGTACAGTCATGCATCATGCAGACAGACTGGACCCAGCTAGAGGCCCTGATGCCATCCCCCTCCTGGGCTCCTTCTGAGCAGAAAAGAAGACAGGGTTGCTTCCCCCAATGTGCTCTACACTGATTTCTGCCCAGATCTGGTATGTGACTGGTGACGGAGCAAGTCCCAGGCAGGTATGAGAGTGACCCCTCTTCCTTTTTTGTTCCAGTTTGATCTCTCTTCTCCATGTATCTCCCACCCACGCCCTGACTGACACACAAGTGTTCCCACTGGAACCAGGGGCCTGCTGTAAATAAAACCCAGTGTCTGGCTCTGTCTTGCCCACAAGAGCTCCCCCTACCTAGAACTCCAACAAGATTAGAATTGCCCTTGTTTGCAAATGTATACTTGCTCTACCCCAGGCTACAATGAATGGCACTTTTTTACTGATATTCAATGTTGGGGGGAGGGGAGGAATGATCACTTGTTACAAAGCAGGAAGGACTACTCAGTTTAAAATGTGCAAAATTCCACGGTAAGGTCAAGTCTGGTGTAAAGTATCCCTTCTGAGACAAAAGAAAAGAATGTGACACCGCTGGGACTGCCAGCTGTGACGGCATACACCTCCAAGCTGCTTGCTTTTATATTAAGAATATTTTCTGTGGTGACTGTATTGGTTCCAGACAAAGTGTGCCACATCATCAAATCCAGCTTTTTTCAAGAAAACTGCAAAGCGTGTTTAAAGTGACAGGTTTTTATAGTGAAAAGAACTACTTTACAACAGTTCCTTTTCTCCATGCGCCATTTTTCCAAGTGTCCAATGGTAAATTAAAATAGAACAGAAATGCTGTAGGTAGCCAAATGCAGACACTGACCGGGTGCAAGCAGAAACCGAAGGGGAAAGGTCAGAGACCTGCATCAGTCGGATTTCACCCCATTTCAGTGGGTAGGACTTTTCCCTTAGAGCAACTGTGACATGTATTGGGCCCCATGTTGCTTTATCACATTTTGTCAGAACCTAAAGTAAATCCCTGTCCTTTTAATCCCTTTAGAGACTTGAAAAATTTTCAGTCAGAAAGTCAGGCTCTGCGAATGACTGAGAATGAGATAAAAATGTGATTAAGATTTTCTACTCTATCCTAGGTTACAATGGATGTTGTTCTATGAGAGATTTCCTTAGAGAAAAATCGAATTTGTTTGTGGTATACCCGGGAGTTTGAGTTTCCGGCAGCAGGAGTTGCAACGATGTTTTGCAATGAAGTTTCTAATTGCATCTTCCCCTAAATTGGCTGGTCCAAACACCATTCCTCTTGATCTGGAGGAAATATCAGAATATCAATTAGACCACAGCTAAGAAAAAGGAGCTCGACTAGGATTCTCTGAGATACCGAACAGTATCCCATAGTAACCCAGTAAACTCGAAGGAGCCAAGAAAGAACAGAGCACTTTGGGGAAGCAACAATGTTAGGTCTGCAAATTTAAAATTCAAATGCACTTAAATCTTTGTACCCAACTCCAAGACCTACTGTGAAACTCATTTCAACGCTAATCTGATAGAAGAGTGAATTTTCTATGTACCACATTAAAACAAAATACAGTGAGACCCTTTTTAATGCATATGGGGTGAGAGAATGACATTCATTACCAAATGTTCTACTAGCATACCCGAAAAGGTAAGGTACAAAGGAAAACAAATTTGCCATTGGAACACACCTTCTAAAAAGATGCATACACCGTGTTTCAAATCCAAATACTTTTCTTAAAATAACTGTCCTCAAAAATAAATACCTGACAAAATCCTAGATCCAGTGTTCCTAGCTCACTGAAAAGCCACCTTCTACTGTGCAAACTGCTCTAGCTGGGCTCCTTTGTGGAATGACAAGACTACTAGCAGACAATGTGTCTCAGGAAGTAAACTACATATGCTCAATGTAGGTGACAAAACACAAATAGAATCAGTGTCTCAGAGGCCCTTTTGGAATACTCTATAACCATAATAGGTCCCCAGCAGATTCTAGGATCAACGTTCATCCATTACCACTCCGCACACAGCCATTATTCCTCAGATTCTGACACTGCGCAACATGGAGCAGAGCACACCAGAAACACTTCCAAAGAAACTTTCTGAAAGCTAATATTTTATTTTAATGACATGCAGAGTGGAAACAGCACATTTTAAAATGTGAACTCAATTACCGCTCTTAAATACCACGTCTTAAGAAAAAAGAAAAGCAAACTATCACAAAAGGAAACAATAAACTTTGCTTCTAAGGAATGCGGTTTTTCAAAAGGGACATGGTGTAAAAATGGACTTTTTTCCATCCGAGTATTGAAACATTTATCTCAATTTCCACTTCCTTTTGGCAGAATAACAGTAGCTGCTCTGAAGATGTGCCAAGCTCCGAATGAGGGCTGATGTCAGTTTGAGCTCGGATTGCCTCTTTGCTCGGAGGCAAGTAGGTGGAGGCAATCTCTTGGGAAGACAAAGTGAACAGACACCCAGGATTAACTTTCCTGGTCACTCAATCGCTCTCACAAAGTACCACTCCGGTGGTATTTACCCGGCTGCATAAGCTGCCTCTTGTTAACTTCCTCTCTTTCAATCCATCTGGTAAGAAACCACTTCAATAAGGTGAAACTGAAGGTGGCAGAAAAGGAGACTCACTCAGTATTTAGACCAAAACTCAACGATGCCGAGACAGTGAAAGATGAAGGCGTTATTTTAGTCATTAAAACTGAAGAATTCCTTTTATAGTCTCTCCAGCTTGACCCTTCTGAGAGATTTCACTTGTACGCACTCAGTATCTGCCATTTCTCTCCCCCCAGTACCAGTAAAGCGTGAAAATCCCCAGCCTGGACATGTGACACTGATTCTCAGATAAAAGCTGCAAGCTAAGTCATTTTCCCCTCTGAGTTTTATGAAAGTTAAGGCAAAAGAATGAAAATTCCTACAAGATGTTCCCACCAAAGGTTTGACCCCTTTGTGCATAGGAGAGTGAAGGAGAGGTATGCATTTGCATCTACACCCGACAGTACAGCGTACCTACAGCCTTGTGGTCTTCGATTAATCAAGTTAAAAAAAATACAGCTAGCTGTTTTCCAGATTTTTCACAACACAGGAAAAGCAGGTGGTAGCTTGGTTCCACACGCGAGGAAACGCTAATTAGTGCCATCTATACATAGATTTACTAAAGAATGTCTCATCGTCGTTTCATACTTGTCAAATGCCCAAAACCATCAAGGCAGTAAGCCAAAAAGATATAATTCCAAGCCACCAATAACCGGGGCAGAAGGTTAGGGAAAGTTAAGAGGCAGCAGGCATCAGAAACAGTGGAATTCACAACACGACAGCACCATCTCTTAGATAGAGGATGATTCCTTCTCCCTGAACCCTCCTCCTCCCAGGCAAGGTAGGCTCGACACTGAGCCTCGGTTTTCTCATTGGTAAACTGGGATTGGAAATGCTTGCTGCTTGCTTCCAATGTCGTCGTTGTTAAGGCCAAACTAAATAAGTGGGAAAGCACTCTCTGAAATCGGTGCTTTTCAAACATCAGTTTCCCCCACATCATCTGAGGATCTTATGCGAATCTGGATTCTGGGTCAAGACCTGCAGGTCCAGGGCAGTGCTGACATTGTGCAGCACTAACTCCCGGGCGATGCTGACGCTGCTGCTCTGCGGCCCACACCTCGAGCAGCACGGGCTTCACACACAGCAGGCTTTCAAAACTGTGAGGCTGACTGCACTACTAGAACTAATTCCCCACCACTGTGAGAAAATAGCACTGCTTGTTATCTATACCAAGGAGACCAACTGCTCCCAAAACTGAGTGATCCAGACAAAACCAGGCAGGCCACAAGGACGCCATCCTATCATTTTTCAGCATCCCTATCTTCAAGTGAAGAAACTACACTGACATTGACAGGGCTTCCTAACCATGGCTGCCCATACAGTGACATGGGGAATTTTTTCAAAATACAGATATCAGGGCCTTCTCTTCTAACATTCTAATTTTGATGCCAATCATGGCCATCTTTTCTTTTCTTTTTTAATTTCCTCAAGTGACCTTAATAGAAATGGAGACCCACAGGCCTGTAGAATGCAATTAAATACTCAACTGTCAAGTGGGATAATAACACCTCAGCATTCTAAAAGATGGAATATTCAGGTCAAATTAAGTGACATATGTCAAGGCTAAAATTTAATCAATGATGGAGTATATATAAATTTGGTTCACAATATATGCAAAAACATTCCGTGGACAATCAAAAGAAAGTACCTATAGTACAAGAATCTTTCTACAACTCCTTGGGCCCATGGGGCTACTGAAGAAATAACATTCTTAACTAAAAACATTTTAGCTATGCTCATGTGAAAAATACTAAAGCTTTCATGTGCATCTGAAGGATAACACCAAGGAGTCCAGAACCAAATAAGTACCATTAACAATGAGGTGCACACGAGCAACGCAGCTCACCTTTGTCTTCTCTAGCTCACCTAATCCAATTAAAGATCTAATATATGTTTAATAGATGGACTTCTGCAGAGAAGCCTGAAGATGGGACCAGATTTAAACCCAGTGAAATCATTCTGTAAAAAAATAGAGCATTAAAGCCGTGAATACTTATGAGTTCTGGGGGAGGCAGTTAGAACCTCAGATTTTCTTGTGTCAGGATTGCCCAGTTAGGTAGTTACACATATTTTTTCTACCACCTGGAGACCAACTGTAGACATTTAGGACAACTGAGAAGTAAAAATGTTGTGTGCTAGCAGTTTTCAAAGTGTGGTCTATGAACGAGCAGTGACACAGTCACCCGGGAACTTGTTAAAAATGCAGATTACTTGGCTGCACCCCAAACCTGTGGAATCAGAAACTCTGGGGGGTGGGGCCCAGCGGTCTGTTTTGACAAGCTGTCCTGCTGATCATGTTGCAGGTTCATGCTTGAGAACCACTGTTTTCTACTGTATTGATCAACCTTCATTGGCACCATCACTTCTTTAGACTCCATCTTTAACAGAACATAGCCTCAGATGCGCTACTGCCAAGTCTCCCCAAAGGTCTGCTTGCAAATAAAATGCCCAGGGGAGTTCAAAGTACAGACAGATGAGTCATAGCTCCATATAATTTAGGCTTCAGTTCTGAATTAAGTAGGAAAATCTGATGCTTCACATTTATGCCCCATTGTTTTGGCCTCTCTGAAGAGCACACCCTATGAACTCAGCTTTTGTCTCATAAGCCTGTGATGGAAGGTGCTGCCATGATAAGATGGAATGACTCCACTGCAAGGACAATAAAGGAAACTGCTTCTCCTACATCAATTGTTTTCATGCCAAAGCCTGTAGAGGCTACAACTTACCCAGATTCTCTTGCGGATGGATCACTAGGAAACTCAGAATCAAACTTGCAGCCAAATTCTGGTTACAGCATTGGTCCCTGTAACTTCTACTTATTGTGCTAACCTAACTCCAGATCTACTTTATTTCTGTATTTTCTTTTTATCCCCATTTCCTAATCTGTCCTTTTTAAAACAGATTTATTTATTTATTTTTTGACAGGCAGTTAGTGAGAGAGAGAGAGAGAGACAGAGAGAAAGGTCTTCCTTCTGTTGGTTCATCCCCCAAATGGCCGCTACGGCTGGCACTGTGCAATCCAAAGCCAGGAGCCAGGCTCTTCCTCCTGGTCTCCCATGGGGTGCAGGGCCAAGTACTTGGGCCATCCTCCACTGCACTCCTGGGCCACAGCAGAGAGCTGGACTGGAAGAGGAGCAACCAGGACAGAATCCGGTGCCCCAACCGGGACTAGAACCCAGGGTGCCGGCGCCGCAGGCAGAGGATTAGCCAAGTGAGCCGCTGTGCTTTCTAAAAATCTAATTGCTTTGGATCTATATACATAAGCTGTCTCAATACCTTTCTAGGATCTCCACAGAAATATACATGTTTACAAATCATTTTTAATCATGTACAACGTGTTAAGTTCAGTTTTCTAAACGATAACACATAAATTAACTTACTGTTTGTCTTCAGGTTTTATAACAGATGGATCTGTCAAATTTTCTCCAACACCTCAAAGAAAGAAACAAAATTCATTTAGCAAATGGTGGGGGTGGAGGGGTCATTTTTGTAGAAATTCAAGAAAATAATCAAAATCTAATTTCATTATTAAAGCTAATATTTGCTCTGTAGTAAATTAAGCAGCATGTGAATTAAATGTATAAAAATTGTCCAGGAGTGTTTGAAAGTTTCAGTTAATGCACTGTCACACCCAACCCCTTCTGTTATAATAAACTTCTAAACCACAAATGAATGTTTTAGTGGGGTGTTACCAAGAGTTACCAAGAGCGGCATCTGCCATTCATTTACCACTTGTATATACTAGACATTCTGATGTTATTTTCTCTAATTCTCAACCAACATAAAAGAAAAGAATGTTCATATTCTCATCTAACATTTTATCCTCATTTACATCAATGAGTACATAGATGTTCAAAGAGATTAATTTGCCAAAGGTTGCACAGCCCCTAAGTGATTCTCACAGGATTAAAGCTGAGCTGTAGCTTGTGTTCTTCCCCTTGTTGATGATCTTAGATGGACCCTGTCCGTGCTCAGCAAGGTGCACAGTGCTGTGTGGTTTTGCAGGTACAGCTCTGCCCCATAAAAGGCACATCAAATGCAATATATATATACACACACATATATATATAATTTATAAGCAACAGAATAAAAATGACACCAATTTTTGATCTGAGAGCCAGTTACACCTGTGTGTTCAGTTGTGAGAATTCTTTGAGCTGTATGTTTATGTTATGTGTACTTTTCTGGTCTTCAGTAAAATGTACTTTTCAGAAGATCACATCAAAGCTTAAAAACACAGCATAGGTGCAATTTGAAGCTAAAATTTATCAAAACATGGATCAACACCCAAAGTGGGTCTCTGTTATAAAATACAAGTACCAAGGAGACCGATTTCTGAGTAACATTTCAGGTAAGCCAGTTAGACAGGTGACTGTACCATTTGAGCACAACTCAACAATTTCTCAGCTTCTCTATTCAGCATTTGTTCTCTTTGCTTGAAAAATTTTGATTCTCTGGGGAGATTATTCTTACATCACATTAAATTTACAACATTGTTATGTATGTCTACTTGTTGAAAAAAATTCATGTTAGGAGGTACCTTTCTCCGAAGGGAGGAAAGAACTTCCACTTTGACCATGGCCTTGTCTAAAAATTATCAGAGTCAGTGAACTCAGGGGGCTTCCATAGCCTTGGCAGCTCATGACAAGAGCCTAGGGTGATTACTGATGCCATAAACAAGAGTGTCAATTTGTTAAGTCAACAACAGGAGTCACTGTGCACTTACTCCTCATGTAGGATCTTTGTCCTTAGTGTGCTGTACATTGAGATTTAATGCTATAACTAGTACTCAAACAGTATTTTTCACTGTATGTTTCTGTATGGGAGCAAACTGTTGAAATCTTTACTTAATGTATGCTAAACTGATCTTCTGTATATAAAGAGAAACGAAAATGAATCTTGATGTGAATGGAAGGGGAGAGGGTGGGAAAGGGGAGGGTTGCGGGTGGGAGGGACGTTATGGGGGGAAGCCATTGTAATCCATAAGCTGTACTTTGGAAATTTATATTCATTAAATAAAAGTTTTAAAAAAATTCATGTTTTGTAGTCAGTATTTTTTAACGTTTTTGCTGTGGTCTGTATGTTTCACAATATGTCAAACCTTTAAGAAGAAAATGTAATCCATATAGACTTTTCCCCTAAGAAACTGAATTCCTTAAGTGAATAACCTAGAGTACAGCAGTGCTTGGAGTAGAAGTTTTCAACTTTTTTTGTGTCATGACTCTCTTTGTCATTCTGGTGAAGTTAGTAATGGCTTAAAATACATAATTTAAATACATGGGTTTATAATGGAAACCAATGCAATTAAAATACAATTATCAAAATTTTTTCAAATTGCTGTATTGGAACATATATGTTTCTTTACTGATACAAATGGAAGGATCTAGCATAAGCCTATTAACCACTATAAAATAAAGCAGGTTTTTGATAAACACAAGCAATTGTTTTGAGATGTCTGCCAACATTGTGCTGTGTTATGCTACTATCTCTAAATTCTATTGTAAACAGTCATAGGTACTGTCAATACCACTGCAGTTTGTGGTCTACCACATAATCGAAGGAAATGATGAATTTAAGTTACAGGTTAATGAAAATAAAGTTGTGATTTTTTTTTCTCATAAAAGTTCACAGACACTGAATTCTACCCAAAAACCCTTTAAAGAACCCCTGGCTTATAATCTCTTTGCCATTGCTTTTCAGTTGGGAAAGGACAGGACAAAGGATGCAAAATGTGCTGGCTCAGCACTACTCCTTATAAAGAAAGAACCAAAGGAAGAAGCTGGACTCTTTATACTTTTATGTATATGACGATACTTCAAAAAGTTTGTGGAAAATGGAATTAAAAGTTTATTTCGGGGGCTGGCACTGTGGTAAAGCAGGTTAAGCTATGGCCTTAAATGCTGGCATCCCATATGGACACCTGTTCGAGTCCTGGCTGCTCCACTTCCAGTCCAGCTCCCTGTTAATGCACCTGGGAAGAGCTTATTTTGGTACCAAAATGTTGAAATCCATTGAGAGTTTTTTCACAATATGCATTTTCCATGAACTTTTTGAAGATTCTTTGTATAAGAAGGAACTATAGAGATGGTGTGTTTCTTAACCATGCAGTAAATAAACAGGACAGGTAGAAGGAGATTCACAATCCATCAACAGCAAGACTCAAGGCTACAAACCTTTTACCTGTTTCAGCCACAGGCCTAACCTTAAGCCTAAAATTTCTCAACAATTATGAAAGCTTTAGGCTGAAGTCTGAGTTATAATAATATGTGCAGAACATAAAGACATCATGTCCACTGAGGAAAGGGGAAGTTTTGTAGGGAAAAGAAAAGTATTGAAATCACATCAGCTCCTGTTGACTTACAATATTGTTGCTTGTTACAGAGAAGGAAGCCAATGGACATTGGTTCCACTCACGGCTCTATTATTTACTAATCGTGGGACCTGAATAACTTCTTTAATTTTTCTGAATCTTAGTCATTTCAAAATGTGAATTACAATGGGCCTTATATTCTAGAATAACTGGAAGGATTAAATGAACACAACCATTCCAGGCAGTGTCTGACCCATATAAAGCTTAAAAAAATGTTAATTTTATTCTTTATTATCTTTATTTTATCAAGAATCTTTTGCTAAGTGAAATTTTATTTCCCTGCCACTGGTAAGAATCTAAGAATTATGTTTCTGGTTATCTCATTTCCCTAAATACCAGGCTCCTTGACAAACAGACCCCTGTCTAAGAATGAGAGTAGAGTGTCCACTAACATCTCTACTCCAGCCCCATCTGACAGGTCAAAGTGTAACTACTAAATAAACATTATAGAACCCTCAAATGCCAGAATGGCCTTACAAAGTGTGGGCTAGGAGAGTATCCTAGAGTACCAATAATGCTATCAGCATTCATAGAAGCTTGATGCACCAGCCCCACCCCCTGTCACCAAGCTACACAGGAATCACCCACCCACCAGCAAATGTTAACATCAGAGGTCCTCCTGCCCACATATTCTACTTGGTCTTTGGAAAGCATGGAAAAAATAAACCACATTAACATCTAAAATTCCCAGTGGTATCTCTTTATCAATTTCAGCACAGTAAAAGCCTGTGTTACATTCTGATCTCAAACACCTTTGGATACATCAATGAACTTCTACATATGTGGACAGAATTTATCTTTGTAGCAGCAGAGTTCATGACAATGTTGTTGATGCTAATGCTGACTTATTCTAGAAGCTGCCTTGATGAATAAAAAGTTAATACCATATCTCCGAAAGTCCTTTGAAAAATATAATGAGCTAAGAAAAAAATGCTACAAACCACTGTCATTTGAAATGAAATTGATTATAATTTCCATTGCTGGGAATTAAATGTTAGATTTCAAGTGTAATGATGATGATTCAGGCCCTCACTTGTAGGATTTTAAGTGAAAAAAGACCGGAAAACTTCAGTATAATTACAAATGATTGAAAATCAGTCAAGCCTCTCCTTAGATTCAGCTTTGTGGCTGGGTGTGGCAGCTTCTAGGCTAACGATGAGCACTCCCTTGGAAGAAAGTAAAGAAATGGAGAAACTAAAAGAAGCAGCTGCCTGAGTTTTCCTGACTCCTTCTTTCTCTCTAACTGGAAAGCCAAAGCAAGTGGGGAAGGGCCTTCTACAGAAGCCAGCCTTGGAAGTCTTCCTTCAGGACCACCAAGACCACAGAGTTCAGGGCAGACCCCTCACAAATGAAGATTAAAGAGCCACATAGAATTAAAACTATGACAATAATAAGTTGAGAGCTTATTGAACAATGGGCTTGTTTTATCCCAGCCCCTTAATAGCCCTATAACGGAAGTGCATAATGCTATTTTGCCAATTTACAAATGAGGAAAGTGGGACTCAAGGTAATCATTCCTCCAGGTCATCACTTAATTCATAGTGAAGCCAACAGTCAGAGCCTGGCACTGACACAGCAAGGCTCTCCCTCCTTCCAGCTACTGCCCCTGAGCCTCCCACCCTCCACTCTTACCACCCGGACATGGCACATCATCTCTCCAAAGGCCAGAAATACAAATAAATTAAATACAAAGTCAGACCAAACACCATTAAGCAATTTTTAAAATATATTAATGTTTCCCATTTTTTCTTTCCAACATGGTTTGGATTAAATATGATAATGCAAATAACTCCTTAGCCAAGTGTCTGGCACAAAATAAGTACTTAGTAAGTGTTAGCTAACAGTACCACTAGCAATATAACTGTTTACAATTACTATTACAAGATGCATGTTCTTTCATAAATTCAGGCCTAACCAATTGGTTAAAACTCTCCGATAAGTATCTTGAATTTCATCACGCTCATTCTGTGATGTCTACTCTTCTCTTCTTTGAAGGTCAGTGTTTTAACATGGTTTATTTGGAGTGGCCTATTTCTGCAATTCACATAATTGCCCAGCAAAAGAATAAAGTTAATTCCCTTTTTCCCCCAAGACTATCAACATGGCATTTGTTCTGTTTAATGTCACTTTGGATTACTAAGAGACATAAAAATCCCCAAACATAAACATCATTAAACAAAAACCTATTCAAGTGGAATACAAAACACACTGAAGAGTCATCATTAATTCCTTAAAGTTTTTCTTTGGTTGTTTTTTTTTTGTTTGTTTGTTTCTGTTTTTGCTTTTTAAACAACTCCACCCAAAACTCAAAGCACAAAACAGTCAAGTACAGATGAAAACAATCAACCTCTCTCCAACTTGAGCTAGAAAAATAGATGCCTCAGGCATCAGTACTCGGGGTTTACATGGATCAAGAACTTGCTGATTTTAAAGCTGAATCATGATGGTTGCTTTAACTTTTTTTTATATTATCTCCTAAAATATTTACATTGTCTCTTCAAATATTTTGAGAATTAGAAACGTATTTTGATACTGTCAACAACAGAAATCTCATAGGACAGAAACCATTATAAGTAGTTTAAAGAGTCATTTAACTCTTGAGCATCCGACACAAATTTCAACCCAAGTGCTCAGCTGTCTCACTGGACACTGCTCACAATGCACGAGGACTGTATGTTTATTTTTACACTCTCCAGCCTTCACGTCTGGCTTTCAGCAGAGAATTCCAGAACTGGAGCGCTAGAAAAGTCAGGGAGCACAAGAAGAAGGCCCAAGCTGTTTAAATGAACCATGGGTATGAGACTCCTAAAGAATAAAAGATATTACAGTTGAAAGAACAGAACCTAGACGGTCAAATCAGCTTAAGTTTGCACCTTTACTCCCCTTTAAGTAGCTGTGCAACCTTAAGCAGTTACCTGAACTCTCTGGGCCTTAATTCTCCCATAATATCTACCTCAAGATACTGTTTCCTGGATTGAATGAGATGACATCTATGAAAGATAATGGGCTAAAACCCTTATTTCAAACCAAAGCCCCCCTCAGTGAGCCCAAGGACTGAACTTAGATCTTAATACATATTTTGTTCTGTCCCTGCAAGGAAAGCCTGCTGGAGATACACTGTTTTCTGCTATAGGATTATAAGTCCCATGTGAGGTGTTGATAGGGAGAAGATGTGTTGATCAAACGCTTCCATTAAATGGAAATGCACTGAGTTGCCTCTCAAACTCAGTGTGTACTTTCATGTCAAGGGACACAGCAAAGAAGGCAAGTTAAATTAGAAATTGCTAAGGCAATGAACTCAAAATCATGAATTTAAACTTTGCTATGTGTATAAACACATGCCTATGTTTTATTATGAATATAAGTGCAAGGCAAAGCCATGAAACTAGGAACTTTGCTACAAAAATCATCCCCCATTGTGGTTAAAAAATTTTAATGCCTTGGGCTGGTGCTGTGGCTCACTTGGTTAATCCTCTGCCTGCAGCACCAGCATCCCCTATGAGCACCGGGTTCTAGTTCCGGTTGCTTCTCTTCCAGTCCAGCTCTCTGCTGTGGCCTGGGAGGGCAGTGGAGGATGATGGCCCAGGTGTTTGGGCCCCTGCACCTGCATGCGAGACCAGCAGGAAGCACCTGGCTCCTGGCTTCGGATCGGCACAGCACCAGCCATAGCAGCCATCTGAGGAGTGAACCAACGGAAGGAAGACCTTTCTCTCTGTCTCTCCCTCTCACTGTCTGTAACTCTACTTCTCAAATAAATAAATCTTTTAAAAATTTTTAAAAAAGCTATATAGAGCAACTCTGTATATTGCTCACCCTAGCTCTTGCAAGACCTCTGAATTTGCCTAATGCTTGTTGTATCAAGTTCTACATAATCAATTACCTTGCAAATCTAAAACCAGCAGCTCTCCCCGAGTATACTCATAGGTCCAGTGAGAGAAAGCCAACATCAGCTCCTCCAGGGTGTTGCGGGGAGTGATTTCATCACCGTTGTTGTTGTTGTATTTCCGGAACTCCCCTGTCATATACTTCTCAATAGTCAACCATTGGTTTGCTGAATGGCAATAGATTAAAAAAACTTCCAGGAACCTGGGAGGGAAAAAGAGGCCATTATTCTTTCACAACACAGCAAAAATAGGACTGACTTGCGGAACAGTCAGCAGCAGGAGCTATTACCTAGCTCTGATCAGATGCAGCCCCAACATACATGCGCTCGGCATTTCTACTTTCTATGAAAGAGTTGGAAAGCAAAGATAGGGAGATTTTCCTCCATGCCTACTTGTCTCCCATCTTTTGGGAAAACTTCCCATCTCTTTTACGAGTACTGGACCCAGCTTTTCTTGCTGTGCTCTATAAAGTTCCTTGTAAATAAAACAATAAAGCTTTACTCCAAGACCTCAACACCAGATTATGAGCTGTCTTGAGAAGTGAATGCAAGTGTATGACTACACCAAGTTGAAAGTAATGAGAGGTCATTCTTACTAAGTTCCTAATGTCTTTAAGATATTGGGAGGCAAAATTATGCTTGAAATAGAAATATTTTCTGCTATAATGCTCTCAGACATTAGAAACCACACTAAGGATCGTCGTAGTTTCATAATTTAAATGCTGGTCATGACCTCTGCTTGAACTTCTTTTTTCCTTTCACCTAAGTGCAGTAGTTTAAGCTAAGGTATCTCTGGGATGTTGAATTCTCTTTCACTGTTCTTATAGAACTGTGGAAGAAAGAACCCAACTCTAGGGTCTGAAGAATCTTGCATGGATCTGAGAAAAGAATGACAGAAATTCCTATTTAAAATGGAAAGCCAACAGGACCAGGATTTCCTTACCTTGGCGTGTAGCGAATAGTGTGCGGTTTCACTTGATTGAAGGTATAGATTAGTTTTTGAGCAGCTCTTTGTTGTTGAATTTCCTGCAATACAAGAAGCATTGACAAAATATTGGTTCATTATGACACATGTGATGATGAATGATCATAGAATTCATAGAGAGTGCACAAATGTGATTTTAATCTTATCTCCCACTACTCCCAGAATCAACAGTCCTATAAAATAAGAGTAACAAAAAACATCACCACGAAAAAATAACAGACTCTCTTTTGGGTGAAAGATAATGGCATTGAAGGACACACAGTTAGATCTCTTTTCTTTGACCTGTCTGGGCTTTGGGTCTCTGAGATTCAGACTTACCCTGAGGCAAAGATGAAGCACTGTACTCTCCTGGAAGATTTTATACCACGTCTGCACAACTTCAGGGAGAAAGGACTTCACAATGAAAACCTGTCCTGGCTCAAGAACATCATCCTCAGACAAAGTGCTGATGACTCGCATGGCTCTGCGGAGGCCCCCCCCCATCTCCTCTCGGGACAACACTTGGATCATGGCAGATCTCCCGCGCTGGGACCAGGAGGACATGCTTTTATCTAGGTTCATGGGGGAACTCTCTTCCAGTCTGTAGACGGTTACCTCTTCTCCTGCTGCAAAGTGACACGAAAGTAAGAGTTCAACAAGAGCACCATGTCTACATCATGGATGGCATCCTAAATATCAAATCAGAACCAGTTCTGTTGCCCAAATGATCTGAGGAGGAGGGGACGAGCAGGGAATAGAACAGAATGAGGACAAGGGCCTGACCATGTTTTCATGGTATTCTGTGTTTAGTAAAAGTGGGAGGGGAAGAAGGGACAAAGTATCAGATGAGATTTGAAGAATCGGGTTGTTCTAACCATAGACTGTAACTGGACAAAATAAAAATTGAAGCAGTTGTCTTTTGTTAAAGACAAATACTTCTAAAGAGATAGTTTAACCTAGTGTTGTTCATTATCATCCCCCTAAAGAGTCTTATTAGACATTTTTAATTGCCCTTCCAATGTCACATTAATATTAAAAATGTACTGTATATGTGTATGTACTGTGTCTATGCTTTATAGATGAAAAGGTTTTTTCATTGAACATGGATGATGTTACCCGACTGTGCATGCATGATTCAACTCAGCTAGAATCAGATGGTATTAACCAAGGTCATACTACACACCCCCACCCCTCCTTCTTTTGTGGTTTGGTACAAATTACTTAAAACTTCAATATCCTCATCAGTAAGATGGATATGGAAATAATGTTTATCTTTTTGGGTAATTGGACTGATTAAATATATTAACTTGGCTAAAGTGACTATAGAACTTTTGATACAGTCAATCCACTTATAGTTTTAGACACAAAATGCTACTTAACTGCTCTACAGTATCTACTTTTAGGCTGTTAAATAGGGACCATTCATCTTGATTCTAGATTCCACCAGTACCCTGTTTAATGCCTCATAACAGAATGAACACAATTCATACACAGCTTTATTCTAGCCTGGGTATCACATTCTCCTTCCATCTTTGCTTTGAATTTTATTTTGTTTTGTTTGCTTTGCTGAACACCATGCTAGTTTACCAAGAAAAGAATCCATTTCCTCACTATCACATCTAATTCCTCACCAATAAACACATCTAGGGAATGCTTAGTAACATATTTCCAAATATTTATTGTTGATGCCTAGATGAATACCACTGAAGATCTCTTTAGAGTTGTAATCCCCAGAAGATTTAGAATAGAGCTAAAGATTTGCAAAACCAGCAAGAAGCCTAGTGGGAGAGGGAGGCATCTGCATTGACAAGCATAAGCCACCCTGGTCTGTCCCAACATGAATAGTGTGAGGAGAATCAGGATCAAGGACAGTGTGGGGACATTGTCATATCATCAGTTGGCTCACGCTTTATCCAGCCAGAGAAACTGTTAGCCTCAGCTAATGCAAACTTTTTTACTTGACTACTTCAACCTTTAAAAATGACATCTGTGGTCTGGGGTAAGAGCAATTAGTATATGCAAAACAAAACAAACAAATAAAAACAATATACAAAGCATTTATCTTCAGATGCCTGTTGGCTTTCACCATATTGACATTTATCGCTTTCTTCTGGGTTTATTATATATGGTTGGTTGGTTCTTTTCTTCCCAATGTACTTCCAGCCCTGCGTCAGTGAATGGCAGGCGCAACTTTATTGCTTTCTTCCCAACTGCTGCTCATTATAGGTCTCATCCCCACAACATTAGATTTTGACCCTAAATACCGGCCATGCCAGTTAACAAGTTTTCAGTTTAGGAAAGAAATCTGACTAACATACAACCATCAGTAAAATGAAATTTTCAACCAAAATGATGCCACATGTTTTCTCCACTGACTTACTCAGATGTTACACCCCTCCATTTGCCCAGCCTCAGGAAAATAGAAACACTACTCACCAAACAGTTGGATTGGTGTAAATGGTATGTTCTGAGAGAGCCTCATTAAATTATTCCTTTCAATGGCTGCAAACAAAAACACATTTACTGTCTTAAGCATGCATCAGTAGGTTAAATTTACAGAAAACCTCCCCACATCCATATATTCATATAATGCTAACATATTTAATTTAAAAGATCCCTTATTTGTGCCATGATCAAAAATGTTATCTATAATGCAGTTTTAAAAATAAACCATGCCTTAAACAGGAAGGATATTCCAGTTTTTCTAACATTTTATGTGACATTATATAACATGGTCTGAGGCAGGCTATCACTTGCATTCTTCTGAATATAAAATCACACACTAATCCATATAGACGTGGGACTTTCTTTTAAGTGTCATTTTAATCTGTGGTCTTCATTCTGTGCTTTTCCTTTTCCAAGGCAAATTCTATGCACTGTGGGCTATGGGGACACCTACTGTTGATTTTGCACAATGCACTTTCTTTTTCCAAAGAGAGCTAAAGGCGAGTTTTTAATTAGAAGCAAGTGATCTGCATTTTCATGTTAAGAGGCATATCCTACAGGTCAGAGTCAGTATACGTTACAGTATTCCTCACTAGAGGCTTTCTTAAGGTGACAGCTGAAGTCAAAATAATAGATTACTGCTGAGCTGAAAGACCCAGTTATAAGAGCTAGAATGAGGTGTCGAATCCACTGCAACACTATTCACCACAGAGAATTCAGGATAAGGCAACCAACTGCCAGACCCTGAACAAATGACCTTGATATAATAATAATGGTAATTATCACATCAACAAGCTCTTACTCATGTAGTGAGCTTTAGATGGCCTAAAAGACTTTATAATCTCAGCCAATGCTAACAGCAATGACATCCCACCCCCACCCCAGAAATCACCCAACGGCAAAGGTCCAGTTGGTATATTGCTTTGCATTTCAAAGTGTTTTCCTCTCAATTCTCTACTAGCCTTTTGGCAGACTGCTCCTCAGGAAGGGCAAGTACAATTATTCCCACTCTGAAAAACAGACAACTGGAGCACTGTGAAGTGATGCTGCTTCAGAGAGTCGAGACCCTTGACGTCTTCGTTTAATAACATCTTTGTTCGGCATCTTTGTGGAACTTACTCTGTGGGGTTGGCATTCACTCAGTGAGTTTGTTCACTAAGGACCCAGTGAGGGGACAAAACCCTTCCTCCAAGAACAACTCTCAGGTCTGTCTTTCACAGTCCAATGCACTACAACCTCTGGCTTTGGGTTGGCTTGGAGTTTATAGGTAATGTTTAGATTTCCAGGCTCTTTCTCCTTCCCAATTTGGAACTTGTCAATACAAAGAATTTTTTTAAATCTCTTAAATCCTGACAAATTGTTTTCCCAGGTCAACAGCAAGGTAAGAAAACGGAATATTCTTCTAATCAGAGTGAACAGTTTTCCATGTTGGGAGCCGTATCAATAATAGGGAATCCACTGGTGTTTCTGTTTACAAATGCAGAGTCACAGGCCTGTAGCTCAGCTGACCCCTCTATGTACACATGCATCCTACCTGAATAATGATGGTGGGACTCTTGAGGGCTTTTTAAGGAGGCTGGGATCTCTGAAATTTAGAGAAGATTGGCATTTTAATTACTTGGCTGGAGATAAATACATGCTTATGAATATACTGCCTTCAAAATTATTATTGAACAGGTTAATCAGAATGGCTTCTCAGTATTCAAAAAAGCTTGCGTAATGTTCTTTAGCCACATTATGGTGCATCTATCCTGACAGCTTCCAATCATCAATGTAATATTTCCAAACATATTTATATAGGGAATTGGAGGAAGACAGGTAATATTAGCCTCAAAGATATATTTCCTCTGAACCAATTACACCTCTGAGTTGCAGAAGGCACTCAGCTGCCCATCACATTTCACAACATCCCAGAAGCATGATTCTCTGAGCTCCCTACCAAGATGCAGGATCCACGGAAAGACATTATTAATACCAAGTTATTAGTAGACTACTTTGCTGAACTAAAATAACAACAAAATGACAAAAACACATTAAGAGGCAGATATCAGAAACAAAAGAGGTGGTGGCTAACATAGCACAAAGGAATTTGTCTGGCTACACAAAGACTATGCACTGGGTACACTCCTCCAAGTTTAACTGAGCTGGGAACAGCCCTTCCAAGTTTAAGTCATTCTCCTCTATCTGCTCCAGTCCTAAATTACAAGGCTCCAGAGAAATCCTTTGCAACAGTTTTGCCATTTCATAAAGTCAAAATTAAAGTGGAGAAACTTTAGTCTCGTGGTGGCAACTGCTTTATACCTCATAGAGTAGGCAGCATAATGAGCCCAGTTTTACAGACCTCCCTGGCTTCTTGTTGCTGGGTAAGGAAAGAAGCAAGTATCACTTCCTTTGGGGGTGCCTGGCGAAAAGTAAGATCAGCAGAAAAGACTATGGATTTGATTACCAAATAAATTCAGAATGGAAGGGTTTTTGTTTCTCAGCCCCCAGGTTGGGTTATGCTAAGTATGAAAGATGTGAATAAGATGTGGTTCCTATCCTGGAGAAAGGTAAATACAATGCACCAGAGAAACGGCCATGTAACTGTAATCATAATATAGTTTGCTAAGTAATATAATAGAAATGTAGCCCAAGGTTTATGGAACACACTAGTTCTACTTGGAAAGTCAGACCTTCATAGACAAACACTGTGAAATATTTAAAGGGTGGGGACATCTGAGTGTGTTGGAGCTACTTTGATTTGGCCTCCCCACTTAAGGAGCCATAGACTTTACTCATATCGCTAACATATTTACTGAATACCTACTATGTGCCTGACAGTGATCTATGCTCAAGAGAAGAGCATTAGTAAAAAGAGGGAAAATCTCTGCCTCCACCCTAAATAGCCATTTGAGACACAGAGTCTTAATGCAACCATAGAGGAAAAGGCATCCACACACAATCATTTGAGTGCATTTCAAAGAGGACTATGTCAAAAGTGACAGTAGGAGATACTGCATAGCTGGAAAGAGTTCAGAGGATATGGCCTCATTCTCAGGAAACAAGAAAAAAATTAAACAACAGGGCAGAGGCGGGGGGAAAGGAAATCACAGTCAAAAACAAGTAATTCAAAAAAATTTAAACCAGACATTGGCCCTGATTTACCTGGAGAAAGACATTCAACTTTCTGTTTCTCTACCAAATTTTCTAATTTGCATGGTGAGGAAAATATCATAACTACAATTTAAGAAACCAGAAGGTCTCAGCAAAACAGTGAACCTCATCATCCATCAGATGAAAAAAATAAAAATAAAATGCTTAAATGTAAAAACTTACTGTCGACTCCATCTGAACTTCTCAACCTGTTCAAAACAATGAAGTTGTTTAGATAATGTTGCTTTACATCTTTCAATGATAAAAGGAAAAGATGTGAAAAATAACACAGGGTATGAAATATCAGTTATGTTGGTCCCTATCTTTATTGATAAAGAAATTTACAGCCTTATAATGATTTTTATAGAAAAATGAGCACCGGATAGGCATGAAAGACATTTACTGTATACGCCTTAAGCTAATTGAAAAGCTGTTGTTTTCTAATTAGCTATGTGATCACACAATATACATAAGATTTAACTGCATTCACATTGTTCTGGATCTATTAAACTAAAGAGTTCCTGAACTATGCAAAGCAAAAGCCTACAAATGAGTCTGTGAGTGTCTCTGGACAAGCCTACAAATCAGTTTCATTAGCCCACGTGGCCCCTAAATGTTCACAGGCTGAAATTAACTCTCTTTCAATCGTTACTTGCCCTGCTCAAGTGCACAAGTGGCCACGGGCAAATCTGAATAAATGCACTCAAAGACTATCTCTAGTATTTAAGGTCCTTGGGGAAGAAAGTACAATTACAATTATTGTTTAATTTCATGCTGCAATAACCCACTACTCTACAAGAGCACAAAGTACTGAAGCTTTGGGAGAACAAAGTCCTGTGTCCATGGAGTCTTGGAGGCAGGCCTGCTCGGAGACCATGATGGGCACTCCAGAGAAAGACCATGTTGCACAGAGCCGACTGCACACTACAGGTCACCTCTACCTGCTTGGTATGAATTGGCCCTTCCATAGAGTACATGGTTTTGAATTCTGTCCCTTATAGCTGCATGAATAATTCACTTGATGAAGTAACTGGAAAATTCCAGGTAAGGCTACAAACAAAAGAGAATAATATTTGAGTGGTTTTGCAACCTTATTTCTCTGAATAAATAAAACTTCAGGAGGATACTCTGCATGGTCTACATTCATGGGAATTCTCTATTTTTCCCATCATCCTCTCCCTCTCTCTCTTCTTCATAGAATTATTGCTCTGACAATTAGGACATCACTGAGAAACCAAAAAATAAAAAAAAATCAACTTCATAAGCTAAAAGGAAAAACTTTATTTTAAAAACTAACAAATAGGGACCAACAAGGCACAGCAACATAAGCAGCAGCCTAGAATGCCAGCATCCCATATTGAAGTGATGTGAGTCCCAGTTGCTGTGCATCTCATCCAACTCCCTGCTGGTGTGCCTGGGAAAGCAGCAGAAAATGATCCAAGTACTTGGGCCTCCTGCCATCCATGTGAGACACCAAGATGAACCTCCTGGCTCCTGGCTTCCTGCCATTTTGGCCATTTAGGAAATGAACCAGTGGATGCAGGATTCTCTCTCTGTCTCTGCGTGTGTGTGTGTGTGTGTGTGTGTGTGTGTGTGTCACTTTGCCTTTCAAACAAGTAAATAAATCTTTTAAAAAAACAAAGGAATAAACATAATCAGGTCTTTAGTCCAAATCTTCCTTTTTAGGTGAGACAGATGGATTTCTACTCTTTGATGCAAATTCCCAATTATCTATCTGAAAAGATATTACAATCATTATTCAATTATGCTTTTTGGATGCAAAAAAAGCAAATATTTAATGTGCTGTAGGATGTTTCATTATATTCTTAAAAGGTACTCAGTGAGATCCTATTGCCAAAAATAAGAAAACATGGAAAATAAATTATTTTCATTCTGCTTAACAAAAGAAAAATGTTGACACACTTTTTGCCTTCTTTTTTTGACCAAATTAAACCTTTTTTTTTCCTAATAAGGTTAAAAAATGAAAATACTTACAGAGAGCTCCTACTGAGGTTGGTGCTCCTGGAATTCCAGAGAGATGCTTCCTTCAGATCCTGAGCAGAGGGAAAGGCCATTACACATTACAACACACTCCCAGCCCTCATTCCCAGGAACACACTCCTTGGAAAATAGTTCATTCTTCTTAATATTTCTCTTTTAATAAATATATTAAATGCAAGCTAGAAAGAAGCATGTTAGCACAGCATCAGAATAGTTCAATGTGGTGATAAACTTAGAATGAAACTAATTTTATAGGGACACCTAAAAGAAAATGTAATATAGGAAATATTTTACAGAAACAGAACTGAAGGTGCAAAATCAAGTAATGACATGAACAAAGGAAAGAAGGTCCAACTTGGCAGGCAACATCAATCATCATATTATTATGTCTGATCACCAGTAAATCATCATCCTGAGTGATGGGGATTATTTAAAATGTTACCCTGAATATACCCTATTCTATATCTTATCTAAATTCAGCTAATACTTCTTGAAACCTAGTACACTCCAAGAATTTTCTTAGGTGTTATGTTTATTGTCCCTGAATAATTTCATAAAACTGCCTATGTTGTGATACAGCAGGTTAAGCCTCCTGTGTGTGGCTGGCATCCCATATGAGCACTAGTTCAAGTTCTGGATACTCCACTTCCTATTCAGCTCCCTACTAATGCACCTAGGAAAGAAGAAGATGGTCCAATAGCTTGGGTGTCTGTCATCCACACAGGAGACCTAGATGGAGTTCCAGACTACTGGCTTCGGCCTAGCCCAACCGTGGCTGGTTGCAACCATTTGGAGAGTGAATCAGCAGATGGAACATATCTCTCTCTCTCTCTCAGAAAATCTACCTTTCAAATAAATAACAAATAAATAAATCTTTTTTACAAAGTGTTAAAAATAATCTTATAAGGTGAACATTAGCCTCATTTTAAAGATATGCCTAATGAAGCTCATCAGTTAACTGATACACATAGCTTTGAAATACAGGAAGTGGTAGAGGCAGGATTGAACACAAGTTCTCCACCTCAGTTATCTTCAAGGAATCTTAAATTTTACTTTTAAAAATCTTTCACAGATTCCATCCCTACAAAAACAGCTAAGGTTGTTCATATAGATAATGTTTATATAGCTCAAGTTCAAAGAAATAATATTCAAAGCCAAGATCAAAATTAGGTTTCTTGGGTCACTTTAACTAGATCACACTTCTCACATGGTGGCTGGCACTAAAACAAGACACTGAATTATATTTGTAGATAGAAAGAAAAAACAGACTAAAAAAATCAGAGAATCAGCACTGGAGAAATATTGAGGGTCCTTTACCCTGTGATGGTTCGATTCTCTTCATCATGTCTGCCAACAGTTTTTGGTCAGCCTATGCTTAACTGATTACACTAGCAAGCAACTCAAAACTTCTAGAAATAAACTATCCCATTTTTGGGAAATTTCAATTGCTAAAAATTTCTCCTCAGATCAAATTGAAACCCATGGCCCAGTAGCTTCTATATGTTGATTCTAGATTTACTTGTCAGAAGTGTATTGAGGGGCCAGTGCTGTGGTGCAGCAGGTTAATGCCCTGGCCTGAAGCGCCGGCATCCCATATGGGTGCCAGTTCAAAACCCGGCTGCTCTACTTCCAATCCAGCTCTCTGCTATGCCCTGGAAAATCAGTAGAAGATGGCCCAAGTCCTTGGGCCCCTGCACCCACATGGGAGACTGGGAAAAAGCTCCTGGCTCCTGGCTTCGGATCGGCGCAGCTCCAGCCATTGCGGCCAACTGGGGAGTGAACCATTGGATGGAAGATCTCTCTCTGCCTCTCCTCTCTCTGTGTAACTCTGACTTTCAAATAAATAAATAAATCTTTAAAAAAAAGAAGTGTATTGAAGGCCGGCATTGTGGCATAGCGGATAAAGCTGCCATCTGCAAAGCTTGCATCCCATATAGGTGTCATTTTGAGGCCTGGCTGCTTGACTTCTGATCCAGCTCCTTGCTAAGGTGCCTGGGAAAGCAGTGGAAGATGGCCCAAGGCCTTGGGTCCCTGCCTGGGAGACCTAGAAGAAGCCCAGCTCCAGTCGTTGTTGCAGTCATTTGGGGAATAAACCAGCGGATGCAAGTTCTCTCTCTCTCTCTCTCTCTCTCTCTCTCTCTCTGCCTCTCAAATAAATCTTTTTTTAAAAAAATGAAGTATATTGAAAAAATTTTATTTTTCTTCCATACAACTTTCAAACATTTGCAAAAAGTTTCAAGAATTCCTGAATTCTTTCTTTCATGTGAACATCCCCAGGATAAATTATTAGGTGCACAACAAACTGCATAAAGAACAACAAAGAGAGAATAATGTGAAGGGTTGAAAGAAACAGCAGGATTCACCTAAGTATGGCTTCAAAGCAAAGATTTAAATTCAATGCCAAAAAGAGTAGAAGCCAATTAAAGGACACAAAGATATAAAAAATACAGCTAAGTGAAGTACACAAAAAAATTTTTTTTAACTATCAAAGTATCTTTACCTCTTGAGACTGCTTTAGGGAATCACCAACTTGTATAGATTGTTGTTCAATTTCTTTTGTTTTCATTTTCTGATATCTATAAGGTTCTAGACCTTGTTAAAGAAAAAATTAGAAAATACATGAAAATGTGTTGCATTCAAATCAGTTCCCAAATAGAAAAATCTGAACACAGTGCGTTTATTTAAATTTGGACATAGTTTTTCTCTTTCTGTTTTTAACAAGTTTTAGCAAGTTCCTTTATGCTTTCTTTCCCAAATGATTGAAAGATATATGTTCTATTCCTAGTCTTCTATAGCTACTTTTATATTTATAACAAGTTATACATCTTTATCAAAGTCAAAAATTAAATGATCCATAATCTGCCCTCCTATTAAATAATACCTTTAGTATTTTTTATATTCACCTTCTCCCGCAATCTATAATATAGCTTTATTTAAAATATGTTTAGCAACTGAATCACACATCATAGTAGGCCACTTAAAACAGAAGTGGGGCTGGCGATGTGGCATAGTGGGCTAAGCCTCTACCTGTGGTGCTGGAATCCATATGGGTGCCAGTTTGAGCCCTAGCTGCTCCTCTTTGGATCCAGCTCTCTGCTATGGCTGTGAAAGCAGTAGAAGACAGCCTTGCATCTGTGTGAAGAAGCTCCTGGCTCCTGGCTCCTGGCTTCAGATTGGCTCAGCTCCAGCTGTTGTGGCCGTGTGGGGGGTGAACCAGCGGATGGAAGACCTCTCTCTCTCTTTCTGCCTCTCCTTCTCTCTGTGTGTAACTCTGCCTTTCAAATAAATAAATCTTTAAAAAATAATAATAAAACATCATATAACTTTATTTTTAAAAAATGGTAGGACATGGCAGGCATTTTGTGCAGTGGTTAAGATGCTGGATAGGATCCCTGCATCCCATGTTAAGAGTGTTGGCTCCAGCTTCCTACTAATGTGCACCATGGGAGGCAGCAGGCCATGGCTGCCACAGTTGGGTCCCTGCCACCAAATGGGAGATCTGGATTGAGTTATCAGACCCTGATGTGGGGCTGTCCCAGCCCTGACTGTTGCAGGTATCTGAGGAGTGAACAAGCAGAGGGAAGATTTGTCTCTGTCTCTGTCTCCAGCTCTCTACCTTTCAAATAAATAAAAACTAACTCAAAAATGTTAAATATATGTATTGCATAATATGAATATATATGACATTTATAATCAAATGAATGTGCTTATAATTGGTCCTTTAGGTGTGGGAATGATTCAAATTTAGGTTCTTTCTCTAATAAATTGTGATTTAAGGCAAGATGATTAATTTATAGATCTGGCTCAAGAGCTTAAAGAGGGTTCAGAATAATTTAATTTCTAATATCCCTTCAGCTTACAGTCTACTTGATTCTCAGTGTTTTAACAGACAACTGAGTGTTTTTGAAATGTAAATCAGTATTCTTCCACCTTAGCATTGACATTTTGGACTGGATAATGACTTGTTGTGAGCAGTTATGCAATACACTGTGGAATGTTTACAGCAACCCTGGCTTCCATCAAGGGCACCCCGCCTCTACCTGTGGCACCCAACAATGTCTCCAGATATGGCCAAATGTCTGTTGGCGATGGTGGGAAGATGTGTAAAACATTTGTTCACTGAGAACCACTGAATAAGTGCATGTAGAAGTATAAAGACACATGAGGCCATAAATTTCAATATAATATCTATTTGTACCTTAAGTTTAGTATTTTAAATAATTGTAAATCTTAATCACATGGCCTTTTCTCTTAAAAAAAAAAAACACGATGTATTTATTTATTTTCAAAGAGCTACAGAGAGAGAGGGAGAGAGATCTTCCATCCATTGCTTCACTCCCAAGACAACTACAACAGCCAGCGCTGGGCCAGGCTGAATCCAGGAGCCAAAAGCTTCATTCAGGTCTCCCATGTGGGTGTCAAGGGTCCAAACACTTGGCCCATCTTCTGCTGCTTCTCCCAGGTCATTAGCAGGACTCTGGGTTGGAAGTGGAGCAGCCAGGACATGAACCAGCACCCATAGGGGATGCTGGTGTAGCAGGCGGCAGCTTTATTCACTACACTACAATGCCAGCCCCTGGTCTTTTCTCTTTAAAAACTGGTAAGAACCTCACTATCTAATGCTAGAAGTTCAAAGTTCTGATCACTGCTGTCATTTCTGCTGATAAATCTGCTTTCATCTTACAAGGCTTATTTCCCATCCCATACCTGACTCTTTATTACTAGCTAGTTGACCTGTCTTCTCTCCTCTGCAAATACATTCTTGTTAAGCTGAAGGGATGAAATAAACATGCCCATGAAGTAAACACCATGTGAGCAGTAGTAGATAAGTTTCATTCAATGTATTGAATTCTGTGTGCAGATCTAGATTTTTGTCACATTAACTTTAACGACATACCAAGTTAGACAACCCTCCTGGCCCATAAATCAAACTAAATGAACGCTCTCTGGCAAATGCATTCTGAGTCAGGTTCTATAGCTCTGAATACAAGACAGTATCCAAATTTTTTTTTTTTTTTTTTTGACAGGCAGAGTGGACAGTGAGAGAGAGAGAGAGAGAGAGAGAGAAAGGTCTTCCTTTGCCGTTGGTTCACCCTCCAATGGCCGCCGCGGCCGGCGTGCTGCGGCCGGCACACCGTGCTGATCCGATGGCAGGAGCCAGGTGCTTCTCCTGGTCTCCCATGGGGTGCAGGGCACAAGGACTTGGGCCATCCTCCACTGCACTCCCTGGCCACAGCAGAGAGCTGGCCTGGAAGAGGGGCAACCGGGACAGAATCCGGCGCCCCGATCGGGACTAGAACCCAGTGTGCCAGCGCCGCAAGGTGGAGGATTAGTCTAGTGAGCCGCGGTGCCGGCATACTATCCAAATCTTAATTTGTCTTTTCTAGATTCTTATAACTCTCCCCTTAAGGAAATGAAATTTCATCCTTTCAAAAAATTAAAAATGAGACAGAGGTATTTTCGTTCCTCAGAGTTGCTACCTTCTCTTTCACTCATCTCTTCTTGAAGGAATAGCAGGGACCGCCACTGGTGGGAAGAACATACCCTGAGACGATGCCAGGCTTCTGCAATCAATGACTGGAGACTCTTCCTTGTGTACATGACCAAGTCCGGACACTGTGAGCCAGGTCTTGCTGCAGTTTTCTTCTGCGGTGTTGTCTTTTCCTGGCTCTGATTCCAGCTGGTCACTGCGACAGCAGGTGTTGACTGTTATGACCTGGCGAGAGAGACACTTGTTAGAACACAGAAACATTAACCCAAAAGCATATTTGAGTATTTGAGCCACACCAATAGAGGCACCATGGTGAAAAGCAGCGGTTATTAACATCGGCTGCATCTCAGAATCACCTGGGAACCTTTAACAAATCCCATTACTGAGGCTGGCAGGACACAAGCACCTGTGCGATTTCTCTTTGCAGTCAGGATTAACAATCAGGGAACCACTGGTACAGAAAAACAAAAACAAGCTTAGAAGAACTTGGGTTGGAATTCTGGCTCCCTGTCACTTAAAAGCTTTGGGAACTGGCAAATCACTTAACATCTCTGAGCTCCATTCCCTTCATTACTAAAGTAATAAATAGCCAATCACAGGGCTGATCTGTGCACTTCCCAGGGACAGGGAACAAATGAGGTAAACTGGTAAATTACAAAGCAATGAATGGATGCAAGCACGAGTACTTGAGCTCAGTTGCAATTCCTAGATGAACTCTGACCATCTGAACTATTCAAAAAATAAATCTACCTACATGCGTACTTCATGGGACACGGGGAACTAATGACCTTTTTCCCTGAAAGAATAGCCTTCCTTATCAAGCTAAATCTCACCCCCTAAGAAGAGGTTGTATATCATTGTCTCCATCCTTACTCTCTGCTTCTGCTTCTCTTCTGAAAGAAAGGGTTAGGGGGTTGTGTGTGTTTAGAGTACATCCAGACTATCACTTGGAAAAATCAGTGTAAAATGAAGCAGGGTATTAAGATCATGAAAGATGACTGCCTGAAGAATTGCTAATTCAGATTTAAGACCCATTAAAATAGATAAACAGGTTCACTGAATGAAAATAAAAACAATGTATCAGAAAGTTAAACAGTGTTTGGAAGAAATTTTTTTAGCACTACATAGCTATACTAGAAAAGAAAATAAAGTCAATGACTTAAGTTTCTATCTTAACAAACTGTTAAGAGAAGAGCAAGTGAAACCACTTCCCCCACCCCCCCAAAAAAAAAAACAGAACAAATTAATAATAAGAGCAGAAATCAATGAAATACAAATCAGAGGAAAATCGGTGAACCTAAGAATTGGTTCTTTGAGAAGACCAGTAAAAAGATGAACTTTAGCTAGACTGAGTCACTGCTTGAGATGCCTGCCTCTCATAGAAGAGTGCCGGAATCAAGTCCCACTTCTGCTTTCAATCCAGTTTCCTGCTAAATTTGCAACCTGTGAGGCAGTAGATGACAGCTAAAGTGGTTGGGTCCCTGCCACCATGTGGGAGATCTGGAAAGAGTTCCTGGCTTCTGGATTTGGCCTGGCTCAGTCCTGGCTAGTGAACTTGAGAGGTGCGTAAGAGGATGAAACCTCTCTCTCTCTCTCATAAAAATATTAAAAACAAATTTCCCACAAATATGGTTTCATTGGTTATTTTTACCAAATATTTAAGGTTTAAATAGTAGTATCAATTCTTGCTGAACTCTCCCCAAAAGCTGAAGATATCCTTCTCAACTCAGTCAACAAACCCAGCATCACTCTGATACTAAAACCAGACAAAAATGTTATAATAAAAAAGAACTAAAAACAAACATCCCTCAAGAAAATAGATGCAAAGAATTTTAACAAAATTTTAGCAAAATTAATTCAATATATAAAAAGATAATAAATCATGACAAAGTGATGTTTATTCCAGAAAGATTAACATTCTAAACACTAACTCTAGCATTATAAAACCAATACAATCATATTAGCACAATAAAAAGGAAAACCATCTAATCATCTACTTAGATGGAAGAAAGGCCGTTGACAAATGTCAACACACATGATGACAAATTCTCAGAAAGCTAGAAGGGCATTTATCAGCCTGATAAAGGACATCTATATAAAAACCTAGAGTTAACATTATATTGAATAATAAAGACTAAATATTTTCCTCCTAAGAACAGAAGCAAAGAAAGAATATCATCTTTTGCAACTTCCATTCAATACTATACTGAAGGTTCTAGCCAAGGTGGTTAGACAAGAAAAAGCAATAAAACACATCCAGATTGGAAAGGAAGAAGTGAAAGTATCCTTGTTTGTAAGTGATAGGATCATTTATATAGAATATTCTAAAGAAGCTACAAAAAGACATGCTAAAATAAGTGAATTTAGCAAGATTGTAAAGTATAGAAACATTATAAAATATTTATTCCTATATACCAGAAACAGAATTTAATTTTTTAAAAAAATTGCAGCTATAGGGGCCAGCAGTGTGGCACAGTGGGTTAAGCTGCTGTCTAAAGCACCCACATCCCATATGGGTGCCAGTTCAAATCTCGGCTGCTCCATTTCCTATCCAGCTCCCTGCTAATGTGCCTATAAAAGCAGCTGAGAATGGCCCAAGTTCTTGGCCCCTGCCACGGCATGAGAGGCCTGAATGAAGTTCCTGACTTCGGAGTGGTCCAGCCCCAGCTATTGCAGCCATTTAGGGAGTGAACCAGCAGACAGAAGATATCTCTCTCTCTCTCTCTCTATCCTCCCCCTGCCTCTTTCTGTCTCTCCTCCTCTTTCTGTAACTCAACCTTTCAAATAAAATAAAAAAATAAATCTTAAAAAAAAGAAATTTGAAAAAAAAAGGGAAAAATTGCAGTTATAATAAAATTTAGAAGAACTAAATACCTAGGGATACATTTAACAAAAGAGGTAGAAAACCTGTACAGTGAAAACTAAAAAGCATTACTGAGAGAAGTTAAAGAAGACCTAAATAAAGACATATACTATGTTCACAGATCAAAAGACTCATTGTTAAGATGCTAACTTTGTCAAAATTGATATTTAGATTCACAGCAATTATAGTCACAAACTGTCTAGATTATATAGAAATGCAAAGAATATAAATTAACTAAACAACTTCTTAAAAATAAGAAAACATTTGGATCTTCAAGACATAATTTCAAGACTTATTATGAAGTTAGAATGTTCAAGATAACATGATATTTGCATAAAGACAGACAGAAAAAAGATCTTTTTTTTTTTTGCTATCGTCAATTTTTGACAAAGGTTCCAGAAAAACTCAACAGGGAAAGAAAATATTGTACCCAAAATATGGTAGAAATGTTGATATCCATATGAGTGAGGGTGAGGAGAGGGAGGAGGAGAAAGAAGAAAGAGAGGGGCTGAAGCTGAGGGAGGGAGGGAGGGAAGAGGGGAAGTGAGTCCTTACCTATTACCATATACAAAAATTACCTTAAAATGCAGCCCATAACCAATGTAAGAGCTAAAACTATAAAGCCCCTAGAATAAAGCACAACAGAAAATCTTAATGATTTTGGGCTTGGCAAAATATCTCTTAATTGTGATACAAAAAGCACAGACAATAGAAGAAAAGTCAAACATTTGACTTCATCAAGATAAGGATTTAAGTACTTCAAAGGACATATATGGAAATGAAAAGGCAAACCACCAATGAGAGAAAACATTTGCCAAAAGTATAACTAACAAAGTAATACAATCTAGAATATATTTTAAAAACTTTTATGGAAACAATTTAAGTGTTCAGTAACTGATGAGTGGATAAGGCAAACATGGTACATAAACACAATGGGATAGGACTCAGCCATAAAAAAAAAAATGAAATCTTGTCATTTGTAACAACATGGATGGAACTGAAAGTTATTATGTTAAGTGAAATAAGGCAGACACAGAAAGACAAGCACCACACAATCTCACTCATACGTGGAATCTTAAAAAGCTGATCTCATAAAAGTTGAAAGTAGAATGATGGTTTCCAGATATCCCGGGGACAACAGAGAGTAGAGAGGCATTGGGAAAGGTTGACTAGCAGGTACTAAGTAATATACAGGAGAAGAGGTTCTGATGTTCTGTTGCACAGTAGGGGGACCACAGATAACAATATGTACTGTAAATTTTTCTTAAAAAGAATAGAGTTAAAGATTTTGAATGTTTTAACAACAAATAAAGTATAAATGTTTGAGAAGCTAGATATGAACATGATACAACAAATCATGTACTGAAACATCACATAGTATTTCATAAACAAGTACAATCTTATGTATTGGATAAAAGCAAAACAAAAATGCTTTAGAAACTGAAGTTTTATAATAGGATAACACCCAATTCTAAAAATGGGCTACAGATTTGAACAGACACATCACCAAGAGAGATACATGGATGATAAATAAACACATCAAAAGATTCCAAAAATTGGTCACTACAGAAAATCAAATGAAATCACCATGAGATACCATTACACACCCAATAATATGGTTAAAATGAAGAAGACTGAGCATAGTAAGAACTGGGGACAATGTAGGAAAGCTGAAATGCTCATAAACTGTAGGTGGGCATGCAAAAGGACACAGTTACTCTAGAAAGTAGTTTGAAGGTTTTTTCAAAAGTTAAACATTTAAGCCATATGACTCACATTCCACTCTTAGATATTTCCAAAGACAAATATAAACATATATCCAAAAAAAACCTCGTACACAATTTTTATTTCAGCTTTTTAAAAATTGCCAAAAACTGAAACCAATCTGAATGTTCTTCAATCTGTGTGCAGTTAATAAACTGCAATGTATCCACTCTTGTAACTCTTAAATTTATCTCTTGACTCCTTCCAGTGCAATGTTATTTTGTGCACATGGCACTTTAAATAAAGACAATCAACCTAAAATAGGCCAGCACCTCAAATGCCAAAAACCTAAAAGTTAGAACGCAGTATACTTACTGGTACTTGTAGTCCCTGTGTTTTCTTCTTTTTCTTTGGCAATCTCTTGTTTGTTAACATTTTTGCTTTGATCCATGCTGCCCCTGTCTCTGAGTATCTTGAATTAGCTGTAAGGGAAATAGTTCACACAAGGAAGTTTAAGACTGAATGTTAGGGGGCCGGTGCTGTGGCACAGTAGGTTAATCCTCCACCTGTGGCACCGGCATCCCATATGGGCACCGGTTCTAGTCCCGGCTGCCCCTCTTCTAATCTAGCTCTCTGCTATGGCCTGAGATAGCAGTAGAAGATGTCCCAAGTCCTTGGCCCCCTGCACCCACGTGGGAGAACAGGATTAAGCTCCTGGCTCCTGGCTTCGGATCGGCACAGTGCTGGTCATTGAGGCCATCTGGGAAGTGAACCAATGGAAGGAAGACCTTTCTCTCTCTCTCCCTCTCACTGCCTGTAACTCTAACTCTCAAATAAATAAATAGAATCTTAAAAAAAAAAAAAAAAGACAATGTTGGGAGAGGGGACATTTTGTTTTCTAGAAAGGGCTGAGATAATGGAGAGAATAAGAATGTAGTCATCAAAGATATAAAAAAAAAAAAACGGTAGTGATGTAAAGGACTTACTATGTCTTTTTAAAAAGTATACTCACTCTTACTCTTACAGATCTTCATCAACTTCTCTTCCTTGTAGAATCTAAAACTATGACTTCTAAAGAAGGACTTGTCTCTGCAGAGAGAACTGATCCAGAAAGATGTATGTGGCTGCAGCCATGGTCGCTTCTCTGAGCAGTCACTAGTCTGGGCCAGCCTTGTTGGGTTCTCAGATAGTGATCCGCTTTGACTCTGCATCTGGCTTTGTTCACTCTGAGTGGAGTCACTACTATGAGTGGAGGGCAAGCAGGTTTGCCATTTTCTCTTGATGCTGAACACACCGGGTTCATTACCTTCTGAAAATGCCCAGTTCACATATCCGCCTCCAGTGTAACTGCTCTTGGCTTGGGAAGGAAGGGAGGTCATTGCCAGGGGTGTAGGTGTGCAACTCAGAGTGGGAAGAGTTTGCTCTACCTTGTCCTGTTTGTCTGGTGTCTGAGTGACTGGCTCGTCCTGTTCCTGGGGTTCAGCCACTGATGCCTGCTCTGAGACTACTGGTGTCTGCCAATTCGGGTGATCAGTAACCTCACTTTGGTACACCTGCTCAGTTGCCAGCACATCTTCTTTTGCTTCCATAGAGGGTCTGGACGGAGGCAAAATAGTTTCTGCAGAAAAAGGAACTTGCTTTAGATAAGAAGGGACCAGGAGAAACTTGCCATACTTGGAGTGTGCTTGCCTGTTGAGGGACATGCCAGAAGCAACAATTCTAGTTTCTGTTGCTTGCTGTTTCTGGTCATCGCTCACACTGGTAGTCTCTCTCTGACTGTCTGTAATCTCCAGAAGGACTTGCCGCTGTGATCCTAGCTGATGCTGGCTTCTAGCCAGGCTCCGCAGCAACGAAGGGGGCATGCTGTAGTACTGCAATTTCTTCCCCCCAGAGAGTCCCACACTGCCTAACATCTCTGCACAGATGACATTGTTCCAGCTGTGGGGAACTTTTCTGCAAGTAGGATGCTTTCTCTTGGCCAGGAGAGCCTTATCCTCTTGCAAGGTGTCGACAGCAGAAAGAACTTTGAGGGTGTCCACAGTGAGGGCAGAGAGGTCCTGCAGGTGTCCCACCTGGCTGTCCAGAGACAGTAAGGAGTCTTTTATAAAAGACACCTTTTCATTCATTTCCTTCATGTGCAGGTACATCTCTGTGACCCTGAGGGCGAAGAGAGAGAAAACCAACAGACACATTACGCCCATGTGAGCTTGCCTTGCTCTCTTCCTGTCCTACTTCTGTTCCTAGGAGGGTCCACAGCCTTAGTTGCTTCCCAGAGTTAAGTCTGTCTTCTGTCCGCTTCTCTCTCCCATTGAGTATATATACTGATTTACTCCTATAGTTCCCATTTCACCCCAATGAGGAAAAACTACAAATCCACCTTTCTAGCCCTAATTTTCTAATATTTCAGAACCACATTTCTAGCTTCCTGCCTATTATCCCTTCAATTATCTGATCAATTATTCCATTTTTTCATTAATTTATATGATAAAAACTCGAATGCTTCCTATTGGCAAGCATTGTACTATTCTAATGGGAAAAGGAAATCTTGAAGAAGAAAACAAAATGATGGGAATAAAATCAATAATCAAATATGTAACTAAGAAAATGGAGAAAAATGATAGAACTTTAAAAGGAAAAAAAACTTTCAACTCTATGCTTCAAATAGATTTACCAACAAAACCCATTTTTGGAAATCTATGTTAATAAATAATTTAAGATAATGATGTCCATCTATTGATTTATATAAAAGCAACACAACATATCTTCAGGTATCCTAGTATAAAAGTAAATCACAAGCAAGTGGAATAAGTATAATAATTTCATTCAGAGAAAGAGGGAGAGAAGGAATTGTTGATTAAAACTTACCTGTATAGATCTCTGTAAATATCTCTGATGGAGATGAGCTTTACTTTGTGTCCCCCCACAAAAAAAAATAAAGATTTGTTTAAGTCTGAATACCAGTAGCTTAGAATGGGACCTTCCTTGGAAGACAGATCTTTACAGAGGTAATCAAGTTGAAATGAGGCTAGGAGGTTGAACCCTAATCCGTTATGACTGCTGGAAACATTTGAGGAGAAGGAAGATGATGTGAAGATGGCCATGAGACTAGAGGGATGCACCTGCAAGCCGAAGGACACCAAGGATCGCCAGCAAACACGAAGCTAGAAAGGCAAAGAAGGATTCTGTCCTAGAGACAGGAGAGAGCATGGCCCTGCCAGTACCTTGACTTTGGACTTATAGTTCCCAGAAGTGTGAGACAAGAAATTTCTGTTGATGGAAGATGCCTCGTTTTTTTGTACTTTGCTATAGCAGCTCTAGCTATCTAAGCTTATTGCTAGAATAAATTTTAATGAATCTGATCTGACTACATAAGAAGAAATTTCTATTTAAAATATATCACAAAATTTTAACACAAAAAGAATTTGGAACATCAGTATTCTAACAAATAGGATGAAGCATTCACTGCCCTTAATACTCAAAATACAAGATTCCAAATGACATGAACAAATAATTCACAAAAAATAAAATACAAAAGGTAAGGAAATAAAATACAAAAGGTAAGACAACATCATCAGATAATCAAAGATGGAAATTAAGATAATAATGAGTTTGTCCACATTGTAACATTTGTTTTAACCTAGGAAATTAGAGGGCAGGCATTTCACCTACATCCCACATCCCATATCACACCCACATCCCGTATCTCAGAGTGCTAGGTTTGAACCCTGGTTCCACTCCCAATTCCAGCTTCCTGGAAGTGTGTACTGTGAAAGGCAATAGGGAGCCATTCAAGTACTTGGGCACCTGCCACCTACGTGGGAGGCCCAGATGAAACTGCTGCCTCTTGGCTTAAGCCTGGCCCAGCCCTGGCCTTTGCAGCCATTTGGGGAGTGAACCAGTGGATCTCTCTCTCTCTCTCTCTCTCTCTCTCTCTCTCTCTGACTTTTAAATAAGTAAGTAAAATAAATAAGAAAAAAGAAGAGTAAATGCAAAAAGACCAAGTTTTCACAGTAAGCTCTGGCTTATGACAATGGATTTTTTTTCTTTTCTTCCTAAGATTTTTTCTCTAATTATTGGGAGGTGGATTTAGTTTCAACTTCACAATAACTAAAATCTATGATAAATGATATTAAAATTTTAAAACAAAACAACAAGGGAGGGTATCTAGCCAACAGTTGCATGACTGACCTGACCACCTGCACATATAAAAAATGATCCTCAGTTTCATTTGGGGGCAGGAAGAAAAAGTGATTAAGCCAAGAAGAGTTTAACACTCAGCTGTAGAAAGAACTTCCCAAAATAGTGTGAGAGTTTTCATCCCTAAAACACATTACAAGTAGCAGGAATTGAAACATCTTATCTGGGAGCTTTGTAAATAGGAATTAAAGAATAAACAGAGTATTTTCCATTTTTATTATAGCCTATGTGGGTAGAACACTCTCTTGCATTTGCTATAGAATTCTACTTCCATAACTCAATAGCAGCTTAATAAATGCTTCCTGACCTCCTGGAACCTGCAAAATTAGAATTGGCAAGGATGATGTGGGAAAGAGCACAAAATATATGTATATTCTCTTCCAAATACGCTTAATTAGAGCCTCTCCAGCCAGTGCACTGTTTCATCTAATTCAAAAACAGTACAGTCTGCACAGCAGTAATGGAGACTCATTAAGTTCCATTAGCAGCAGTCACATCGAACGGACACAATAGGAACCAGCAAACTATTCACAGCAACAGGTAACATGCCACAATAGGAACCTGTTAGACAAATAACCTGGTCACCTCAAATCGGGTCCTCTTGCTTTTAAGGTACTTATTTTCTAAAGCTCAATGTCCTGTGCCTCATGTTTTAATTATATTCCTAGACCACCAAATACGCTAAATTCATCTACCCTTTCAGTCATTCTGACATATAAAATAAATTCTTATCATTTTACTTTCCTCTGTGCAAGGAATGAGGGTAGAGGAAAGATGAGTATTGATAACTGTTTTATTGTGAGTTTTAGAGAAGATTTGTTTAAGATTTTATTTATTTATTTGAGAGGTAGAGTTACACACAGAGAGGGAGAGACAGAGAGAAAGGTCTTCCATCCACTGGTTCACTGCCCAAATGGCAGCAACAGATGGAGCTGAGCTGATCTGAAGCCAGGAACCGGGAGCTTCTTTTGGGTCTCCCATGGGGATGCAGGGGCCCAAGCACTTGGGCCATCCTCCTCTGCTTTCCCAGGCCATAGCAGAGAGCCGCCTCGGAAGGGGAGCAGCTGCGATAAGAACTGGCACCCATATGGGATGTTGGTGTTGGCCTGCTATGCCACTGCACCAGCCCCATGGACAAGATATTTTAAAATTAAATAACAGGTATAATTATAAGCATCAAGTCACTAATATTCACTGAGTGCTCACTATGTGCCAGGTATTTTACAAAGGTTCCACATGTACTATTTTATTTCATGCATACCACACATAATAAGGTAGACATAACTATTATTATTTTCATGGAAAAGGGGCTGGGTCACACAACCAGAGTGTGCTACCCCAGACTGCCTGCATGACCAGTAGTGTGAACTACTGTATTCTATCTAGTACATCTTAGCAACCATCTAGGACCTAGGCAAGTCTCTGCAGGGGGTCCTGGAGTCCCAGGAAGTACTGAGTGAACGAGTGAACTACGACAACATTTCTCATGCTGGGAGGTGATCCCAGATGTTCCTCAATAAGGTGTCATGGTCAAATAAGGATGAGACCGCCTCAGCCTGTAACTCTATTGTTGAGTCACAATGCGCATCATGGTAAAGGGTTTAAACTTTTAAAAAGCCCCAGTATTTCCCCAATATAAGGCACTCAGAATGTTTAATGTGGAAATTGCCTAAAAGCATCTTACACCACAAGACAGAGAGAAGAGAGAGCTGGTTAACACTGTGAGGGTCAAAATAGAAGCCTGTGTTCCATCAGGAGAGTAAGACACAAAACAACTTTAATACATTCTCTCTTCTCTCTTTTACAGCTCACCTAATTCTGAAAGGTTACAGGCAAACTCCTCTTTAGAGGTAGCCAGTCACACAAACATCCTCCTAATCTCTCTTCCCTCCTTCTTCGAACTATTGCTCATTTACCTCCCCTTTCCACTTAGGAGCACCTCAGAAATGACTTCAACAAGGATGTCAGTGAAAAAACAGTGCCACTGTGATACTCTATCCAGGGAAAAGCACTGATTACAGACGAAGCTAAATTAGAGCCTCATAAGTAAATTCAAAGCCCCAGGAAGCATCTGTATCTTTCTAACTTTTAATACTTTCTTCCAATCCCAAGAACCTTAGAGAAATACAATGACTCGTGCTGATTAATGCTTTTAGAGTTTTGCTGTTACTATCATGCACTTAACGTGTTCGTAAATGTCTGGCTTGGGGCCAGGGTTGTGGCGCAGCAACACCAGCATCCTACATCGGCACCAGTTCAAGTCTTGACTGATGTGCTTCCGATCCAGCTCTCTGCTAATGCACCTGGAAAAGCAGCAGAAGATGGCCCAAGTCCCTGGGTTCCTGCAGCCACGTAGGAGACCTGGATGGCTTCCATCTGGCCCAGCCCCAGCCACTGCAGTCATTTTGGGAGTAAATCAGCAGATGGAAGATCTCTTTCTCCCTGTTTCTCTCTTCATCTCTCTCTCTCTCTCCCTCTAATTCTGCCTTTCAAATAAATAATAAATAAATAAATCTGTTTAAAAGAGAAGTAACTGTCTGTCAAATTTTCAGTCTACATTCATTCAACTCATGGTAACTACCCTCTCCTACTTCTCTTATACTCCTCACCAATTCTTCCCAGTCTTCTCTATAAAGTTCCTCCTTCTTTACCCATTATGCATGTACTTGCACCTCCCAGGTTTGACCCTCGCTCCACTGGATTTCTTCACCCTTCCTGCTTCTTGGGTTTCCTGGTATAATCACTTCCCCTGTCATGGTTCTGGTTTGCTACACTAGGCAGATGATCACCACAACTGATTGTCTCAAAAGGCAGATAAACTCCTTGTCCTCAGGGCTTCATACATCCAAAGCCTCCTACACTTCTGTGGCTAATCATGTTACAAGAATCTCAAAGTCAACAAATCTAAGACTCAATGTTTACTCCCAACACCTTTTGCACATCCTTGGCTTGGCAGTGCCCCTGCTCCCCTGACCACTCCACTACAGGTCAAATTCCAGGTTCCTGCCAAGGCACACTCTAGGAGGCAGCAATGGTGGCTCAAGTACCTGAGCCTCTGCCAACCATGCGGGAGAGCAGGATGGAGTTCCCGGCTTCTCCAATTCCCTGCTTTAGGCTGGCCCCACAGCCTGCTGAGGGTACCTGCAGGAGTGAAACAGTGGATGGGAGATCGATCACCCTCCCCACCTTTCAAATAAATAAAAACTAAAATATGTATATAATTGCATACAGCCTCCCACAATTGGTAATGCACATATATCCATGACAGCTTTAATCTCAGTGGCGTTTCCTAATGCACTTACCTTGACCAGTCTCTGAATGGCCTCCTGACTCTTCCCTCCTTCGCACATATCACACACACACAGATTGTCTCAGCCAGTGACTTTGCCTCAGACATGCATGCGTACCCCCACCTGCCTCCTGCTGTGCTCTGACCACAGTCTCTCCTGTGTGTGCCTGAGCTTCAGTGAAAAGCCCAGACTTTCCACCAACACAGCTTCTCAAGGACTTCCCTTCAGCAAATCACCTTCTCCCTCTTCCTTCTGCAGTTTCTCCCCTGCTGGCCAATCATTTCCAGAACCATTAAACATATTTTGTTATCTTCACATGAAATTAAAGCAAACAGGGGCTGGCACTGTGGCATAGTGGGTTAATGCCCTGGCCTGAAGTGGGCATATGGGCACCAGCTCAAGTCCCAGCTGCTACACTTCCGATCCAGCTCTCTCTGCTATGGCCTAGGAAAGTAGTGGAAGATGGCTCAAGTCCTTGGGCCCCTGCACCGGCGTGGGAGACTAGGCAGAAGCTCCTGGCTCCTGGCTTTGGATCAACACAGCTCTGGCCGTTCTGGCCAATAGGGGAGTGAACCAACGGATGGAAGACCTCTCTCTCTCTCTCTGCCTCTCCTCTGTCTGTGTAACTGACTTTCAAATAAATAAATAAATAAATCTTTAACAAAAAAAAAAATTAAAGAAAACAAAAGATCTTCACTCTCTTCCCATATCCCAGCCTGCTTCTCTTCACAGTGAGACTTCTACAAAAGCTGCAACGCCCATCTCCACTTCTATCTTTTCTTCTCCCGCTTCAGTGCAGTTGCCAGCCAGGCAAGCTGAGACCTCCACCATGCCCCACCCAGGCGACACATGTACACTGCCTTCTCTGGGCCTGCCTGCCACTGCTGGACGTGACCTGCTGCCTCAGGTGGCTGCACTTCCTGTTCTTTCTGCCAAGTATGCAATTCAGCCAGCAGGTCCTGCTCACTCCCTTCAGGCCTACTCCTCCTCAGATTCCTCCTGGCAACGTTTCTGGACCCAGCCACCTAAAATAGTCCAAAAACACCTACCTCCGCTAGATCTCATGCCACCATCACTTCCTATTCCCAAGCTCTTTTACCGCCAGATACTAAGCTACAAGTTCTGCTTATGTCTTTCCTTCCTTTTTTTTTTTTTTGTTGTTGTTGTTGTTGTTGTTGTTGTTGTTGTTGTTCATTTCCCTCTTCTCCTCTACACACACACACTGGAGCACAGGGAATCTTGTCTCTGATTCACCACTTAACTGCTGGTAAGAAGAGTTCCTGGGGGCCAGCGCTGTAGCATAGCAGATAAAGCCATCACCTGCAGAACCGGCATCCCATATGGTGCCAGTTCGAGACCTAGCTGCTCCACTTCCAATCCAGCTATCTGCTATGGCCTGGGAAAGCAGTACAAGATGGCCCAAGTGCTTGGGCCCCTGCACCTGCATGGGAGACCCAGAAGAAGCTCCTGGCTCCTGGCTTCAGGTTGGCGCAGCTCAGGCCATTGTGGCTATCTGGGAGTGAAACAGCGGATGGAAGACCTTTCTCTCTCTCTCTCTCTCTCTCTCTGCTACTGCCTCTCCTTCTCTCTATGTGTAACTCTGACTTTCAAATTAATAAATAAATCTTTAAAAAAAAAAAAAAAGAGTTCCTGAAACACAATAGATGTTCAATAGGTACACATTTGTCACATGGCTAGTCTACATTACTAAATGTCTCAGATTTTAGAGAACCTAAAACTCTTGGACTTGAACACAGATCTTCCTACTCTTTCAGACATTCTGTTAGAACCAAGGTTTGGTAATAGCTTGTGGATTCAAAAGTGAAATATCTTTTACCTTTCCGATGTCACGCGGATTCGTTCTTCAGAACTACAGTTCAGACATTCCATCTTCTCATGGAAGTATTTTTCCACACATTCTTCTTCAAAGTCATGAAGTTTTTTCAGATCTTCCTTACTCAGGTAGAGTTCTTTAGAAAAATAAAAAAGTATGGCACACACACTTAAGAGGAAATTGACATAAACAGGGGGCCAGCACCATGGCTCACTTGGTTAATCTTCCGCCTACAGCGCCGGCATCCCATATGGGTGCCGGGTTCTAGTCCCGGTTACTCCTCTTCCAGTCCAGCTCTCTGCTGGGGCCCGGAAGGGCAGTGGAGGATGGCCCAAGTGCTTGGGCCCCTGCACCTGCATGGGAGACCAGGAGGAAGCACCTGGCTCCTGGCTTCAGTTTGGCGCAGCGAGCCGGCCGTTGTGGCCATTTGGGGAGTGAACCAACAGAAGGAAGACCTTTCTCTGTCTCTCTCTCTTCACTGTCTAACTCTACCTGTCAAATAAACTTTTTTAAAAAAGAAAGTGACATAAACAATGCTATGGTTTGCATGTGCGTTGAGTGTGTTCCCCAAAGTTCATGCACTGAGTCTGGTCTCCAGTGTAATGGTATGGAGGTCGTGGGGTCATTGTGAGATGACTGGACCATGGGACACCATCCTCAGAAGGGACTGATGTAGTTTTCATGGGACCAGATTAGTTGCCACAAGAAACTATTGTTATAAAAGAGTGAGCCTCACCTTCCCTCCCCACTCTCCTGCTTCCAGCCTTGCCATATGACACTTCTCCTCCCTCTCCCTCCCCCCTCCTCTCCCCCTCTCCCTCTCCCTCCCCCCTTCCTCCCTCTCTCTCCACGGATGCCATCCAGCACGTATGATCCTCAACACAGGCTTACTAGATGGAGTCACCTGACCTGAGACTTTCTGCCTCTTAAACTGTGAGCTAGATGGACTTGTTTGCTATATAAAATACCCAGCCCCAGGTATTCTGTTACAGCAAACACAAAATGAACCAAGATAGTGTATGGATAGGTGGCTTTCTTTCCACTTGTGTTGCAAATGATAAACTGTAGCTTGTGTGATAAAAGTTGTTACCTCGTCACACTGTGTTCCTTATATCAGAAGAGAAGCAATAAATAGAAACAACTAGAAATACTATTCTGGGCCTCTTGTTCTTTAAAAATGATTCATATATAGAATAGATATTATCTCTTCAATGTTTTCATAGCTAAGAATGTTTCCACATAATAACAAGAATGTACTGTATTTATATGCAAAAAGGGGAAGAAATCTAATTGTCTTTTTCCTCTGTGTCAACTGTTTCAATTTTTGAAATTATAATAAGTAACCAATGGGTCAAAATCAAGGTTAAAAGAAGGCGAAGTCAGGGTGGCACTGTGGCTCAGCGGGTTAACGCCCTGGCACTGGCATCCCATATGGGTGCCAGTTCGAGACCTGGCTGCTCCACTTCTGATCCAGCTCTCTGCTATGGCCTGGGAAAGTAGTGGAAGATGGCCCAAGTCTTTGGGTCCCTGCACCCACGTAAGAGACCTGGGAGAAGCTTCTGGCTCTTGGCTTCGGATTGGTGCAGATCTGACCATTGCAGCCAATTGAGGAGTGAACCAAGGATGGAAGACCTCTCTCTCTCTCTGCCTCTCCTCTCTCTGTGTAACTTTCAAATAAATAAATCTTTTTAAAAAAAAAAAAAAAGAAGAAGAAGAAGGCAAAGTATTGACACTAATCAAATGAGAATGTTTTACCTTGTCACACTAGGTTTGTATGTTCTAAGTCCCTCTATTGAAGAATAGACAATAATATTAGTAATGACCTGTCAAGGCTATATACCTTCCCTGACGTAATCATACTTAGTTCATTAAAAGACACCTTTTTTGTGATATTTTGAGACCAATGAAATTCTTCATCAAACTTCAGCATTCACATTCAATTTACTACTGTGGTTCTCACTCTTACCTAACATCATCTTTTAAAAAGCAAGTTCCTTATATTTTGAAAATACAAAAATAAAATAATGTTTAAAAAGGGATAACATTGGAAAACTCTCTTGAATGGTTTCATTCATATTAAGAGAAAAAGAACTATTACAGTTCTCCAGAATATATTAAAGACCCAAATATTACATGAATTTTACAGTAAAATAAAGAACTATTTTAAATTTAAAAAAAGCAAAGTAATATTCAGCCATAAAATGTATCCACAACTTGAGTACAGAATGCTTCTCAATTATATGATATAGAAGAGGGGCCCTGGTACTGTGGCATAGCGGGTCAATGCCTGCAGTGCCAGCATTGCATACGGGTACTAGTTCGAGTCTCGGCTGCTCCACTCCTGATCCAGCTCCCTGCTATGGCCTGAGAAAGCAGTAGAAGATGGCTCAAGTTCTTGGGACCCTGCACCCACGTGGGAGACACAGAGGAAGCTCCTGGTTCCTGGCTTCAGATCAGCAGAGCTCCGGCCGTTGCAGCCTATTTTGAACTAGCGGATGGAAGACCTCTCTCTCTCTCTCTCTCTTTGCCTCTCATTTTCTTTCTGTGTAATTCTGACTTTCAAATAAATAAATCTTTAAAAAAATAGAAGAATCTTTCAGATGCTAAAAAATTCAATCTCTCCAATCTCCACCCAAATCTAATGCCTGCCCATTAGAGAAACTTCTACAGGCATGAAATTTTTTTTTCTCTTTTTAAAATTTTTTTAATTTTTAATTTTTTAGAGAACTTTTTTTAATAAATACAAATTTTGAAAATACATTTTGGATTATAGCAGTTTTCCCCCCATAACCACCCTCCCACCCACAAACCATCCTATCTCCCACTCCCTCTCCCATCCCATTCTTCACCAAGATTCATTTTAATTACCTTCATATACAGAAGATCAACTTAGTATATACTAAGTAAATATTTCAACAGTTTGCACCCACACAGACACACAAAGTATAAAGTACTGTTTGAAGACTAGTTTTAGCATTAATTCGCATAGTACAACACATTAGGGACAGAGGTCCTACATGGGAGTAAGTGCACAGTGACTCCTGTTGTTGATTTTTCAACTGACACTCTTATTTATGGTGTCAGTAATCACCCAAGGCTCTTGTCATGAGCTGCCAAGGCTATGGAAGCCTCTTGAGTTCACAAATTCTGATCTTATATAGACAAGGCCATAGTCAAAGTGGAAGTTCTCTCCTCCCTTCAGAGAAAAGTACCTCCTTCTTTGATGGCTCATTCTTTCCACTGGGATCTCACTCACAGAGATCTTTCATTTAGGTCATTTTTTGCCACAGTGTCTTGGCTTTCCACAGGCATGAATTTTTTACACCTGCATGATGGGAGCCTTCTGTGGATTCCTGAGAACGAACTATCCAAAGGGTAATTCCAGCGACAGGTGCAGGTTACAGTATGTGAAGATTTCCTGGAACCATCCACCAGATGGCACTGCTGCCCTATGTGTCAATGTCTCTACCATTAACATAAGGGATAAGGAGTAATGGCACAAAACTTCAAGAATGTTCCAGAGGTGAACTCATCTTTATCATCAAAAAAGTTACTTACATTTACATGGAATCACCCTATAAGCCCAGATCAAGGTGATATCAGGAAAGGTTTCTTTCATATGATACCTGGAATTCTGGGTAAACTCGAGTCAATTCCAGGGTCACTTAAATGGTTCAAACCCTACTATTAGATTGGCACAATTCTTTGTAAGCACCTGGGATGCCTCTCTATTAAAAGCCTAGAATGTATAAAATAATAAGCTTTCAAGTTATTTCAGGCATGCTTTGGCTTCCTAATAAAGACTGAATCTTTCAGAGCAACGAAATGACAAAGAAGTCTTCAAGGTGACTCAAGAGGAGAAAATATACTTCACTGAGCCAACTACCACAAGCAAAGGCATATCACCCTTTCAACCCCTTAACAGCATACAACCTGGGATAACTAGCTTCCTAAGGGTCCACGCTGGCATATAAACAGCCCACAATGCCTTGTCTGAAACTCTTGGTGCCAGAAACCATTGAGAATTCAAAATTTTTCTTTTCTAGTTGTAGAAAGATATTATGGTACTGGCCGGCGCCGTGGCTCACTAGGCTAATCCTCCGCCTAGCGGCGCCGGCACCCCGGGTTCTAGTCCTGGTCGGGGCGCCAGATTCTGTCCCGGTTGCCCCTCTTCCAGGCCAGTTCTCTGCTGTGGCCAGGGAGTGCAGTGGAGGATGGCCCAAGTACTTGGGCCCTGCACCCCATGGGAGACCAGGAGAAGCACCTGGCTCCCGCCGTGGCAGCCATTGGAGGGTGAACCAACGGCAAAAGGAAGACCTTTCTCTCTGTCTCTCTCTCACTGTCCACTCTGCCTGTCAAAAAAAAAAAAAAAAAGATATTATGGTACAAACACATAAATGTAGTAAAACTCCAGTTGGTGTTGGACAGTCACTGGAATCAAGCACACTCCTACTTCCCACCTCAAGGATAGAAAGAATTAAAGACTTTACATCAGTTATAGTCAAATCAGTCTTTTTACCCAGTTTATGCATAAAAATGACTTTCAACTTGCAGAATCATTTTTGGGGTTTTTTTTTTAGGATTTATTTTATTTAGACAGAGTTACAGAGAGAGGTAGAGACTGAGAGAGGTCTTCCATCCACTGGTTCACTCCCCAGATGGCCGCAACGGCCAATGCTGCACCAATCTGAAGCCAAGAGCCAGGAGCTAGGAGCCTCCTCTGGGTCTCCCACATGGGTGCAGGGGCCCAAGGACTTGGGCCATCCTCCACCGCTTTCCCAAGCCACAGCAAAGAGCTGGATTAGAAGCGGAGCAGCCGGGACTAGAACCGGCGCCCATGTGGGATGCCGGCACCTCAGGCCAGGGCTTTAACCCGCTGCACCACAGTGCTGGCACCATTTTTGGTTTTATGTTGTTGATGATGATGTTTTTAATATTTTACTTATTTATTTGAAAGGCAGAGAGAGAGAATCTCCCAACCACTGGTGTTCTCGCCAAATGCCTGTAACAGCAAGGGCCAGGCCAGGACAAAGCCAGAAACTTCATCTGAGTTTCCTAATAGGGCCCAAGCACTTGAGCCATCATCTGTTGTCTCCCAGGGTCTACATTAGCAGGAAGCTGAATTGGAAATGGAGCAGCCAAGATTCAAACCAGGCACTCCAATAGGGGTGCAGGTGTTCCAAGCAGCATCTCAACTGCTACACCAAACACTTAATCCTCAAGAGGTATTGTGGATTTAAGAATTGGGGTAAACAATTGAACATTTGTGAAACTTACTTCCTATATTTCTAGGAATTATCTAGAAATGGGCCTGGTACCAATAGTGGACATGTTTTACAGGAAATACAGAAGATCTATAAAACCACAACAAGCAATATTCTCTTTAAACAATTACTATGATAGTCACATCATACAGTCAAGATTTGACCAAAAGATCTGAACTAAGAAAATGTCAAAAATACGTAGACACTTAAAACACAACCACCAAAACAAAGTGAGAACCCATATTGCCATAATTCTGCACCCTGCACTAAAGGATTTGAAAATACAAAATCCATTTCATAATCACCTCCACGTTCAGTGGATTAGAGAACCAAAGAATCTGTGATTCTAGTTAGTAAATGAAGCAAAATCTTGCTGATGCATCACCTTAAACCTCAAGGCCTTCTCTAACCCCTTTCTATTTGAATTCCATTTCCACTCTCGGGAAATGAGCCTGGGTCAGATGACTGCTCCCTAGAAGTTACTCTGATGAGTTTCCAAGTCAGCAGAGGAAACATGTGATACAAAGCCTTTCCACGTTCAAGCAGAAATTCCATTCCTACTGATTCTTTCAAAGTATCAGTTGATCTTGGCAAAAGGCACTATAACCTGATAATATGGTCAATGTGTTCGCTTAGACCCATGGCATCAGCCCGTAACTCTACTGTCTCACAGTCCCCCCCATCCCCGTGCCCTGAATTTAATCCACAATGCTGCAGAGTATCTTTGCTAGAATCTCCATTCTTGACTCTCCCCCTCTGACCTCACCAATAAAAAAAACTTACTTAATCCAACATCCCCCTCTTCTTGGTCATTGGGAGTGCGTTGACAGCAAAGATGACGGAGGAGGAGGCCCACGTAGCTCAGCAGGATGAAGGGAGGGGGCAGCCACAGCTTCTCATGATAGGTCATGATGTAGCGATAGCGATTGTACCTCCACAGTTTATTAGAAACGGATATCATTTCCACATAAACATTGCTGTACATTGTAGGAAGGGAGGGACAATGTTTAAGTATGGAATCCTAGAACACAACAGTGAGATTCTTTCTTTTCCACATTTTATGATTTGGTTCAACTGTTACCAACAGTGAGCCAAGAAAAACGACATACGCTTAATTTATGATTCTTCACCTCCAAAACAAAATATCAACCTTCTACAATGAAATGTGGTAGTCAGAATAATGAGCAAAAGGCAGGAATTACAGTCAGAGAGAGAAAAATGGGAATATTTTAAATGCAACAAACAGAATCTGCCCTCTGGAAAACTATCCTTCTTATACAAGAATCTACTTTTCATTCCATAGCTCAGCCTTCATGCTAAGCAAGTTTAAGTTTCCTCTGTCTCATCAGCTTTCTGAAGATATTCTCCTGACATCAAAGGTGAGAACTGGTATAAGAATAATTCTAGATAAAATACTCAAATTATACAGTATTCCCGAATAAGAGCAGACAGGGGAGAGGTATCAGTTTGCCCTTAAAAAAAAAAAAAAACTAATAAGCAGAGCTTCTATTAGAAATTATGTAACCTATGTAGATAAATTTTACAAAAAAAAACCTCTTATCAGTAGATCCTTCTGAATTTTTCTTTGAATTACATTTATACTAGGCAGATAGTATAGTAAATATTGATGTCATAGAACTTGTGATGGAAGCTATAGTAGGTGGTTCAGTTACTGTAAAACAGCATCTCATCCTTGGCTACTTGACTTTAAGTATGTACCATACTATGGAAGAACAGCATCATGGAATGTTCATCTTGACATTTGCCTCTCCAAACAAAATTGGATTTCCACAGAGAAAAATAGCAAAGTAAAACTTGCATAGGGAAGCCAAATTCAGCAAATAAAAATAGAGGCACTCTAAATATGAGCAATGACAAAGACAAGGAAGTAGAACTATCCTGGAGATATCCAGCCTAGGAGAAGGAGGAGGAAGTTCACAGAATCCACAGAGGAAACACCAGGAATACAGGCAAGTGAGGCAGAACAGTAGTTCTCAAAGAGCACACACTGAGGAGCCAGAGTTGTGACGCAGGTTAAGCCACTGCCTGAGATGCAGACATCCCACATGAGCATCAGTTTGAATCCTGGCTGCTGTACTTCTGACCCAGCTCCCTGCTAAGGCACCTAGGAAAGCGGTGGAAGATGGCCCAAGTCCTCAAGGCCTCCTGACATCCACATGGAAGACACTCATGAAGCTCCAGACTCCTGGCTTCCACCAGGGAGGTTGAAGCCATTTGGGGAGTGAACCAGCAGGTGCAAGATATTTCTCTCTCTCTCCCTCCTCCTCTCTCTCTCTTCCTCTCTCTCTCTCCCCCTCTCTTGGTAACTCTGTCTTTAAAATAAATAAATCTTCAAAAAAAAAAAAAAAGAGTCATCACTGGAGCAGCAGCAGTCACAAGAACAGGAAAGAAATGCAAATTCTGGGGCCCTATCCCAGATCTGCTGAAGGAGAAACTCTGGGACTGACTTTATGGCACCAAATCCAGGTGATTTCTCAAAAACAAGTGTGACTCCTTCCAGGTGCTTTACTCAAATGTGACTGCAGCCTTCCACCAGCAGGTGGCGACTTTCACGGTGTATTTCAGGTTCTGTTCAAGTTTCGGTCTAAAGAGTTCTGCCACTAAGGGGCCTCCAGGATAAGCAGTCAAGCCTGGGGTCCGCAGACTGTGTTGTCCTCAGAAGTTCATCTCTAATGTAAAAAGTGGGTCTGGGCAGGGATTCCTCATCCTTTTGACATGATATTTTTTAAACTTTTATTTATTTTTTATTTGAAAGGCAGAAAGAAAGAGTCTCCCAATCACTTTTTCACTCCCAAAATGCCTGCAACAGCCAGAGCGAGGCTAGGATGAATCCAGAAGCTGGGAACTCAATCTAGTTCTCCCATACAGGTGGCAGGACCCTAACCACTTGAGTAGGCTGTCTTCTAATGCCTTCCCAGGAACAATAGCAGGAAGCTAGACCAGAAGCAGAGCAGCCAGGGTGCAGACCTATGCTCCAGTATGGGATGCCAGCATTGCAAATGGTGGCTTAAACTCCTGTGCCACAAGGCTGACCACCTGACATTTTTTTTTTTAAGATTTATTTACTTTATTTGAAAGAGTTACACAGAGAGAGCAGCAGAGGCAGAGAGAGAGAGAGAGAGAGAGGTCTTCCATCCAATGGTTCACTCCCCAATTAGCCGCAACGGCCAGAGCTGTGCTGATCTGAAACCAGGAGCCAGGAGCTTCTTCCAGGTCTCCCACATGGGTGCAGGGGCCCAAGGACTTGTGCCATCTTCTACTGCTTTCCCAGGCCTTAGCAGAGAGGTGGATTGGAAGTGGAGCAGCAGGGTCTCGAACCGGAGCCCATATGGGATGCCGACGCTTCAGGCCAGGGTGTTAACCTGCTAAGCCACAATGCCGGCACCCAGTTGACATTTTTGACAAACAAAAAGTTTCATACCATCTCAATATTATTTGAAATATCAAAAATAAAATAACTATAAGTAAATACCAACAAAAGAAATAAGTTCCCAAAATGATAGAGCTGAGAGAGATGATAGCTATCAGACAATCTCACAACCAAGAAAATATGTCCCTACCAAGTATAAGCAACAACACAACAACAGTCATTTTGGGAAGACATTCTGATTTATTTTGCCTACCACCAGCCTCCATATTCTGTACTTTGTTTACTTAGATTCCATATGTTTATTTTTTCTTTCCTTTATATTTTTACGTTTTAACTTTATTTATTTGAGAGGCATTTACAGAGAGAGAGAGAGAGATCTTCCATCTGCTGGTTCATTCCCCAGATGGGCTGATCTGAAACCAGGATCCAGGAGCTTCTTCCAGGTCTCCCATGTGAGTGAAAGGGCCCAAGGACTTGGGCCATCTTCCACTGCTTTCCCAGGGCATTAGCAGGGAGCCGGATTGGAAGTGGAGCAGCTGAGACTTGAACTGGAGCCCATATGAGATGCCGGCACTGTAGGCAGAGGCTTAAGCTACTATGCCAAAGTGAAGGCCTCCCTCTTCTTGTTTTTCCTCAGTGATACAATTGATGATACAAATACCTACCACAGTGCCTGCCATATAACAGGTGTTCAGAAAACAACAGTTTATTCCCACTGCTTCACTTTCTTTTTCTATCTATTAAACAAACTTGTGCTAGTCCCTCTTCTCAGTGTCTGGGATCAATTTATGAGCAAAAAATATAAAACACTTGTCCTTGTAAAGCTGCTATTTCAGTAAAGGAGTTAGATAACAGAAAAACATAAAGCATATGTTATAAAATATATTTGCATCTATAATATAAGTGGGTATAAGGAAAGAAGAGTAAGAGACACCAGGTGTGCTAAGGAGATGGCAGAGGAGAGGGAGCTGAACTTTTAACTAAAATGTTTAAGTAGGCTAATTAAAAAGAAGCAAAAACTGGAAGGGGTGATATCTGAGGAAAAGGATTCCAGGCAAAAGGAACAGAAAGTGCAAATGTTGTTTCTTGGGAGGTCAGTATGGTTAGAGAGGAATGGTTAGAGGAAGAAGAATATGATGTGTAAGTTAAGAGTTAATGGGCGGCCAGTGCCGCAGCTCACTAGGCTAATCCTCCGCCTTGCGGCGCCAGCACACCGGGTTCTAGTCCCGGTCGGGGCTCCGGATTCTGTCCCAGTTGCTCCTCTTCCAGGCCAGCTCTCTGCTGTGGCCCCGGGAAGGCAGTGGAGGATGGCCCAAGTGCTTGGGCCCTGCACCCCATGGGAGACCAGGAGAAGCACCTGGCTCTTGCCATCAGATCAGCGCGGTGCGCCGGCCGCAGCGCACTGGCCGCGGCGGCCATTGGAGGGTGAACCAATGGCAAAGGAAGACCTTTCTCTCTGTCTCTCTCTCTCACTGTCCACTCTGCCTGTCAAAAAAAAAGAGTTAATGGGAAAGTCAAATCACAAGATGCCATATAAGTCACGTAGGAACTTTAATTGTTTCCTAAAGGAAAATCAAGAGCTACTGAGGGTTTGGAGCAGAGGAGTGACATCATCTGATTTATATTTGTAAAAGGCCATGTGGGCTACTGTGTTGAGAGCAGAAGAATATATGGGTCAAAGACAGAAACAGGGAAAGAAATTAGGAGGCTCTATGGTAACAATCGGGTAGTGAAATCAGGTTGAATTGATTATCTATTTAAACACTGAGTCAACAGGAGTTCCTGACGGTCACAGAGACACAAGAGGAATTAAGAATGATTCCAAGGTGTTTTTGTCTGAACAAGTGAAAAGGTAAAGCTTCAATAGAAACTCATGTTCTCCTCCAGAGATTTGGGAAAGACTACAAGTATGTTGAGAAATAAGAGAGATATAGCCTAGAGTGTGGACATTTTAAAATTTAGAAATCAGTTGGGAAATAGCACATTAAGCTGTTGTTTGGGAAACTTGTATCCATACCAGAGTACTGCTTCAAGTCCCAGCTACTCTGCTTATGATCCATTCCCTTGTAATAAGCCTGGAAGCAGCAGATGACGGCTGAAGAACCTGCCTCTGCTAGCCATGTGGAAGACCCAGATGGAGTTCCCGGTTCCTAGCTTGAGACTGGCCCAGCCCCAGTTGTTGTGGCCATTTAAGGAGTGAACCTGATGACTAAAGATCTTTTTTTCTCCATCTCCCTGCCTCTGACTCTGCATTTAAAATAAATCAATAAATCTTGGGAAAGGAGGGCAGAAAGGTGGTAAGGGAGGGAGTGAGAGGGAGGGAAGGAAACTGGTTCCACTTCTGACTAGTGTAGGAGGGCAGTTGGATCCACATGACTAGAGTTTAAGAAAGAGCTGGGAGGCCGGTGCCGCGGCTCACCAGGCTAATCCTCCGCCTGAAGCGCCAGCACTCCAGGTTCTAGTCCTGGTCGGGGCGCCGGATTCTGTCCCAGTTGCTCCTCTTCCAGGCCAGCTCTCTGCTGTGGCCCCAGAGTGCAGTGGAGGATGGCCCAAGTGCTTGGGCCCTGTACCTGCATGGGAGACCCAGAGGAGGCACCTGGCTCCTGGCTTCTGCCATTTGGGGGGTGAACCAACGGAAGGAAGACCTTTCTCTCTATTTCTCTCTCTGTCACTAACTCTTCCTGTCAAAAAAAAAAAAAAAGAACCCTTTGGGCAACTTTCAACTCCATCAATATTATTCCTTCATGACTCTAACTTACCGTTTAACAGCCACTCACGATCTCCTTTCATATTGCTTCTATTATACTTTCTACTTATTATTTTATGGCTTCCAACATTGCTTCCTTCCTACCAGTAGCTGCATGCCCATATTTTAAAACCATAGTAATAAAACATGGAACACAATCAAAGGATATTTTCTTCAAAATACATGTGAATCCATTCAACATACTTGTTCCTGTTTTTTTTTTATTTCAATAAAATCATGATATTTAATTAAAATAACTTACTTGCAGAAAGAAATCAACAGGTTCACCATGATGATGTATTGCACAAAGAGGTAGACAGCTTGCAGGAATGGGGTAAGAAAAGAACCAGGAGGGCAGGATGGTGTGCTTTCACAAACTACAAAAAGAAAGGACGAGAATGAGACATAAGATGAACCATGGTCCCATGACCCTACACAAGCGTTTGACACATCCACTTTGTAGAAAACACAGATTTTATACAGTAAGATTCAGATGATTCTTTTTGACTTTTCTTTCATTTGATACCTATAAAGATTTGGTATCTGCATGATGGAAAAATCCCATACACACCGTCAATTTCTGAGGCATAGACTTCTCCATACATCATCCAGTATGGCTCAAATACTATATCTCGAGCTAGGCTCCATGATGGAGGCTCCTTCGGAGAAAGGATAGCCTTGCGTGCCACTCCAAAGCTCAGTAGAACTATGGCCATTATGATCACGATGTAGAACATGTTTGCTGTCTGCAACATAACATAGCACAACCAGAATTTTACTACAGATTTGGAATTTAAATCAAATCAAATACCAGCAACTATCATAATTATGCCTGCCAATAATAAGACCAGTTGGTCATTGTCTAAAATGCTTTAGTCCACGAATAACTGGCTTTTTTTTGGCTAACCTATTTTGTCTTCTCTGCACAGTATGTGCTTCAAGTCACAGTAGTCCTTAGAACAACAAATGAGCTGAAAGTATGGAAACTGTGCTGCTTTCTTTAATCAGTAATAGAATGGGAATAGCTTTTAATTTGCTAATATCCAGGGGCCGGAGCTGTGGTGTAGCAGGTAAAGTCACCGCCTATAGTGCTGACATCCCATATGGGCACTGGTTCTAGTCCTGGCTGCTGCTCTTCCGATCCAGCTCTCTGCTGTGGCCTGGAAAAGCAGTAGCAGATGGCCCAAATGGGAGGCCCAGAAGAAGCTCCTGGCTTCTGGCTTTGGATCGGCACAACTCCAGCTGTTGCAGCCAATTGGAGAGTGAACCATCGGATAGAAGACCTCGCGCTCTCTCTCTCTCTCTCTCTCTCTCTGTCTGCCTCTCCTCCTCTCTCTGTGTAACTCTGACTTTCAAATAAATACATAAATCTTTTAAAAATTGCTAATATCCAACTTCTTAGTAATTGAACCATAGATAAGGTTAGGAAAAGGGAAAAAAAAGGTATAGACAAATTAGTCAAATGAATCCTTATTCCCAGGATTATCTTTATGAATTGATTAAAACCTGAGAAACTGATAGGACTACTTCATTTCACCTACTAAATATGCATCAACTTAACCCATTTTTTCACTGTGGCAGAGACTTCATCAAACTCCTCATAAGTATTCCATGAGGTTATCCACATTCCTTAGCCTCGCCTGCATTAAGCTTCGGCCAATGGGCTCTGGGATGATAGTGACTTGGGTCACTTCCTGTCCAGAGCTGATAAAAGTCATCAGATGTTCCCTATCCCTTTCTTTCCTGTCATAAGAGACCTTAGAAGCCACATGTTAATGCGGGTATGCCATAAAATGGAAGGATTCTGGATCCCAGAGTCTGTATAGAGGGCAGGCCCAGGTGCACTCATCAAACCTTGCATTAGACAGACACAGCCTTGTGCTTAGACACTGAGTCATACAGCTTACCTCAGCAGGGCCTATCTACTAAGTACGTACCAATGTCACAAGGCCAGATCAAACATTTCTGGTCTATGAGAAGAGTGTCAAGTAAGGGGAAAAAATCTGTCTGGAGTCCTGGGTGGTCCTTTTCTGTCCTCTGCCCTTGATTGGACACTCATCTCCAATCTCCAGTTCTTGCCCCTTCCCTACCAGCGAATATTTTAGAAGAAAAAACCAAAGACAGCCTCTCAATACTGTGCTTCCTAAAGGATAAGTCTCAGCTCCTTGTGAAAAGGCAGATGGAACAAGCTTACAGGACAGGCTGGAGCCAGGCAGTTCATGTTTGAATCCCGGCTCCCCACACATGCCCTAGAGCAATTTCCCTAAGCTCTGTTTCCTGGATGTAAAATATGGATAATAACACAACCTATCTCATAGAGCGTTATGAAGATTAAATGTTAATATATTAAAGTATGTAGAACAGTGTGGCACATAGTAAGCACTATGGGGTGATTCAAAATGTTCATAGGAAAAAATAAGTTTATTTTGGTGCAAAAATGCGAAAAACATGTATAGTTTTTTTACAATATGCATTTTCAAGAATTTCTAAGGCTCCTCATATATATGATTTTTATTTTTGACACCAAAATACATTTTCATTCATAAATTTAATTAATAAATTTTAGTTCAATTTTCCAAGAACATTTTGAAGTACCCTCATATTTAACTGTTGTAGGATAGTGACAATAAGTTGATATTTTAGCAGAAAACATCATTGGTGGTAGCCTCACATAAGCCTGGCCCTTGATAGTTACCATGCTTACAAACAAATCTGACTCAATCCCATGCCACTGACCCTGCCAAAAGAGTAAGCTGAGTATACTCACACCCACTATGCTATCAAAGGAAATTTGTTAAATACAAGTTTGTTTATTCAGAAAGCAGTGATGAAATTATCTTGCCATCTGTGCTTCTATGAATAATTCCAAAATTAACTATCAAAAGTGAACCATGAAGTTAGGCAGAATCATTAATTCCAGACTGCACTCACCATTTTCGCAATCATGGTCACATATGGACCTGCATGTTGATTCACAGCAAAGAAGTCCAGGAGCTGTGTGTACCAAAATATGGTGTCGATGCAGTATATCAGTCTTCCTGCTGTGCGAAAAGGAGGCTCACCCCACCGAAGACCAAAACCAACTAAAAACAGGCAAATAGCCACAGATTCCATTAGATTCCAGTAATCACTAATCCATACCTTCACCTTTTGAGTGAATTTAACAGGTTCTGAAATATAGATCTAACAGAAAAAAAGAAAGAGGAAAACTTAAAGTATGGGATACAATTTAATAATCCTATCAATATCATCTTGAATACATCAACCACTTACATAAAGATTGATCTGAGTCCTGCCAAAACTTATATAACATGAGGTTTTTAGAAACTTAAGTTGTCCTTGGTAAAGAATTAAAGAAGCTTATGGGCTGGCGCCGCGGCTCACTAGGCTAATCCTCCACCTTGCGGCACCGGCACACCGGGTTCTAGTCCCGGTTGGGGCGCTGGATTCTGTCCCGGTTGCCCCTCTTCCAGGCCAGCTCTCTGCTGTGGCCAGGGAGTGCAGTGGAGGATGGCCCAGGTGCTTAGGCCCTGCACCCCATGGGAGACCAGGAGAAACACCTGGCTCCTGCCTTCGGATCAGTGCAGTGCGCCGGCCGCAGCGCGCCAGCCATGGCAGCCATTGGAGGGTGAACCAACGGCAAAAGGAAGACCTTTCTCTCTCTCTCTCTCTCTCACTGTCCACTCTGCCTATCAAAAAAAAAAAAAAAAAGGAAGGAAGGAAATTCAATACTATAGTAGATCTGCCTAGCAACAGTTTCATCTCATGAGGCATAGTGGAATGCTAAGAACACGGGATTGAAAGCAAGGGATCCTGGAATCTAGTACTACTAGTATTTAGTGTGTTACTGACAAACTACTGAAAATGTGATACAGAACTTACTATTATAAGAAATTCCTGGGGCTGGTGTTACGATATGGCGGGTAAAGCCTCCGCCTGCAATGCCAGCATCCCATATGGGCTCTGGTTTGAAACCCGGCTGCTCCACTTCTGATCCAGCTCCCTGCTGATGTGCCTGGGAAAGCAGTGGAAGATGGGCCGACATGCTTGTGCTCTTGCACATACGTGGGAGACCCAGAAGAAACTCCAAGCTCCAGCCTGGCCCAGTCCTGGCCATTGCAGCCATTTGGGGAATGAACCAGTAGATGGAAAACCTCTCTCTCTCTCTCTCTCTTTCTTTCTGTGTGTGTGTAAAATTCTGCCTTTCAAATAAATTAAAAATAAATCTTCTAAAGATATGTATGTAGGAAATTGCCCCTGAAATACTATATCAGACAACCTGAAATGTAAAATAGTAAATCTAGTTTTGTTAAGGCATTTTAAAAAAGGTAGAATTGACATTTCTCACCTGAATTTTCTTTTTTTAAAGATTTATTTATTCATACATTCACTCATTTTGAAAGAGAATACAGAGAGAGGAGGAGAAAAAAAGAGAGGAGACAGAAAGGTCTTCCATTTGCTGGTCCACTCCCCAAGTGGCCACAACAGGCAGGGTTGGTCCAGATTGAAGCCAGGAGTCTTGATATCCATCCAGGTCTCCCACATGGGTGTGGGGGCCCAAGCACTTGGGCCATCTTCCACTGCTTTCCCAGGCTCATTAGCAGGGAGCTGGAGCAGAAAAAGACCATTCCGGACTCAAACTGGCTCTCTGATATTGGATGCTGGCATCGCAAGCAGCAGCTTAGTCCGCTGCACCGTGCCACTGGCCCCTTGAATTATCTTCTATAATCTATAAACTCCACATAGTTACTAGAGGCAATTCAGATATAATTAGTAAGAATACATTTACCTGGTACATAATGTTGATCATTTCTAGCACATAATAAAGGTAAATAAATGCATAGACATAGAGACACAAACACATTAATATCTAAAACAATCCAAGTCCAAATTATCTGTGATTGCAATTATAACTGCATAAAAATTTTAATTCTTTTCTTTAAGTGACTCATTGAAAACTGGAAATGAAAACATTGTTTTGTTTTTTTTCTTGGGCTACTTTCCCCACAGGGACTTTCAGCTTCAATTTTCACACATGTTTAGTAGTATCTTTTTTTTTTCTTTTAAGATTTATTTGTTTGAAAGGCAGAGTAATAGAGGAAGCAAGGTAGAGACAAGAGAGAGAGAGGTATCTTCCATCTGCTGGTTCGCTCCCTGCATAGCTGTAACAACTATAAAAGTCTCCCATGTGGGCAGAAGCATCTTTGGCAGGGGCCCAGGCACTTGGGTTGTCTTCCACTGTCTTCCCAGGCACATTAACAAGGAGCTGGAAGCAGAGCAGCCAGGACTCAAACCATCACTCTGATGCCCGTGTTCTACGTATCAGCTTAACCCCAGCATAGCTTTCAAAAGCTATAAATATATCCTTTACATATTGCACAACTTCAGACATTAGCATGCAGCAATTTGAGATGAAACTAAGTAATGCTAAACTATAAAAATCAACCCCACCAAATAATAAATAAACAAATAAAACTTCTGGGAAATTAAATAGATGGAAATTTTAATAACAATTAGATGACATCACCTATCATTCTACAACTGATAAACATGCCAAGATATCTGCTTCAAAGCTAACTGCTTCCAAAGTCCAGCAACCAGCCAAAAGTATTTGACAAGGACAAGGAGTTGAAATCTGGAACTTTCCTCCAAATAACCTCTGGCATGCAAGTCAGGATCAGCATTTCTGTCTCCCCGACCCTAATCTTGACAGACAAGAACACTTTTAAGGAAGGTCTGCAGAAGACATAGCTGGAGGAGGCAACTCACCTCCCTGGCTTTCTCTAACGCACTGGTGATGATGTAAATGATAACAAGCCACTCTTGCACGCTGGGCTGGGGCTGCATCTCCACCAACACCGTGTAAGTGAACAGCATGAGGAACGCCAAATACGCCATCTGTGAGGGGACACACATTCCCTGGGCGTGAGTGAGGGTAATTCTGGAGAACGCCAAGCAGGTGCAAACAGCCAAACCACAGGCATGAATTTCATTCAACCTGATAACAAGCAGCTCTAACTGGCATGGAAGCATACAAACCAATGGATTTTTAGTAAAGGATTTGGTGGCAGGAATGAAAATCAGTGTTCTGAGATGCATGGAGAAGAAGGTTATCTTGTTGGTTCCTGGCCAGAATTTGTACATTTCAACAAGGACACTATCAGGGTAACAACAAGTGAAGGAAAAAAAATGAAGCACCATCCCCCATTTGTTTACATGGAAAATGTGGGCACCTAGGAAGCTGCTGTTAGTGGAAAAATGGAATTTAAAAATAAGCTTATTTTGGTGCAAAAATATTTAAATCTATGCATAGTTTTTTTCTAATATATATTTTCATGAACTTTTTGAAGATCCCTTTTTTAGGTGAATTTCAAAAATTTGGGGGCCAAAATAAACATACTCTTGAAATCATTTTCTATAAACCTTTTGAGGGCCACCCCCATTCACTGCTAGGTAAAATTAAGCTGCACTAAAACACTACATATTGATGATATTGCTCCTGACTCTCATTTCTTTCTAATTCTTTAACATTTGATCTAAAAATGTTTACACTTTGCTTTTACGCACTAACATTTATAACAAAATACTGCCTCAGTAAATCACATACCAAAGTCTAGCAATGTGACGGCCAACACTAATGTGCCTGAGCTCACTGTTGACACCAGCTGTTAGGGCAGCTTTGGCTTGATTGGTTCTGTGAGTTAATTTTGCTCTTGTCTCTAAAAGCTCCTAACCTAGAACTTGAATACTCCTTTTTCCAACAGTGTGTCTATGGTTAAAATTCTCTCAGAGCTCCTTCTGGGGTATCTTGAATATTCTGGTTGCATATTCCCAAAAGTGGTAAAACCTCATCATTTGGAGAGATCTGATTCTTGGAAACAGAGAGAGGTCATTCAGAGCTATATATTTATTCAACAAGTATACAAAATAAGTGTATGTTTAGCCAAGGAAATATTTTGATATATTACACATGTAGATAACAATCTTTTACAGTCACACTTCAAATGTTCTAGATACAGAATCTTGGCCATGAGCAATGTAAGCGTAGACAAGCACCAGAAAAATAAGTGGTACTAAATAAATGTGAAAAGCGCATAATACATTTAAATTTCAGTTCATACCTTCTCAGAATCTCTAGTATCCATAATAAATTTAGTATCTGTTCACACAACTAGGCTTCTAAAATCTCTATTATCTTCTATATAGTTATATGCATATGTTATTGGAGACAAAAAAACTAACACTCGCTCCCCCCCCCCCCCCCCACAGGCAGAGAGGACAGTGAGAGAGACAGAGAGAAAGGTCTTCCTTTTTTCCATTGGTTCACCCCCAATGGCCGCTCCAGCGGGTGCACTGTGGCCGGCGCACCATGCTGATCCGAAGCCAGGAGCCAGGTGCTTCTCCTGGTCTCCCATGGGGTGCAGGGCCCAAGCACTTGGGCCATCCTCCACTGCACTCCCTGGCCACAGCAAAGAGCTGGACTGGAAGAGGGGCAACCGAGACAGAATCCGGTGCCCCGACCGGGACTAGAACCCGGGATGCCAGCGGAGGATTAGCCTAGTGAGCCGAGGCGCCGGCTAACACTTGCTTTTTCTGTCTGTAAAACACATTACTCCTACAAAATAAAGTTGATTTGACTGCTGGTTTTCTTGCCCAGAGATCCTCCCACTTTATCACTCAGTTCTACAAACACTGCTGTGCATTTCATTAGACTACAAACCTTCAAATGCTCAGTCTTGGCTTTGTCACCTTCTCACTACTTTTTTTTGCTATACTTCTACATTTTCCTCTGGCAAATCAACATATCATTATTGACATTAACTAGCAACCATCAATACTACTATGTATTTTGTTGAAAGAGACCAACCGTATAAAACCAAAACTTGACAATGGGAGCACAGTAGAATTCATAGAGTTTCCGGGTCCATGGAAGGCTTTTGGGCCCATTCTTTATATCAAAGTGCTGATTTTCATCCTGTTTTTCATCAGAGCCTTTTTCCAAGTCATGATTTTTCTGTGAAATACACAAGTAAATAATCATCTCTTTACAGCAGCTTAAATAAAATATTACAGGTTAGACATGCAAAGAATAAAATAAACAGAATATAAGAAATTAACTGGGCATCCTCCTGTTAAGAAAATCTTAGCTTTGAAGAAAGAAAAACTAAATATACAAGGGTACTCTTCAAAGTTCATGGAAAGGGATCAGCACTGGTGTAGCCAGTAAAGCTGCCACCTGTGGTGCTAACAGCCCATATGGATATCAGTCTCAGCCCGGAACCAGCTCCCTGCTAACATGACTGGGAAAGCAGTGGAAGATGGCCCAAGTCCTCGGGCCCCTGCACCCACATGGGAGACCTGGAAAAAGCTCCTGGCTCCTAGCTTTGATTTGCCAAGATCTGGCCATTGTAGCCATTTAAGGAGTGAACCAGCAGATGGAAGATCTATCTGTCTCTCCCTCTCTCTCTCTCTCTGTAACTCTGCCTTTCAAATAAGTAAATCTTTAAAAAAAAAGTTCATGGAAAATGGAATTAAAAGATGAGTTTATTTTGGTACAAAAATGTTTTGAAATCTATACACACAAGGGTTCCTCAGGAAGTTCAAGAGCAGTGGGTATTACGAAAAACACTGTATGTAGATTTCAACATCGCTTGCACCAAAATAAAATTATTTTTTAATTCTATTTTACAAAAACTTTGAAATATCACCATATTGTATAAATCTATCAATACATCTCAAGGATCTACAAAAACAGATGAATAGACCAATGGAACAGACTAGAAACACCAGAAATCAATCCAACCATCTACAACCAACTTATATTTGATCAAAGAGCTAAAACCATTCCCTGGAGCAAGGAGAGTCTATTCAACAAATGGTGCTGGGAAACTGGATGTCCACATGCGGAAGTATGAAGAAGACCCCTACCTTACACCTTACACAAAAATCCACTCAACATGGATTAAAGATCTAAATCTATGACCTGACACCATCAAATTATTAGAGAACATCAGAGAAACCCTGTAAGAAATAGGCACAGGCAAAGACTTATTTTACTTTTTAATTTATTGTATTTATTTGAAAGAGTTACAGAGAGAGCTAGAGACAGAGAGGGAAGTCTTCCATATGCTGGTTCACTCCCAGATGGCTGCAACAGCCAGAGCTGTGCCAATCTGAAGCCAGGAGCCAGGAGCTTCTTCCGGGTCTCCTACGTGGGTGCAGGGGTCCAAGGACTTCGGCCATCTTCAACTGCTATCCCAGGCCATGGCAGAGAGCTGGATGGGATGTGGAGCAGCCAGGACTAGAACCAGTGTCCATATGGGATGCGGGTGCCTCAGGCCAGGGCTTTAACCCACTGCGCCACAGCGCCAGCTCCCGCAAAGACTTCTTGGAAAAGACCCCAGAGGCACAGGCAGTCAAAGCCAAAAGTAACAACTGGGATTACATCAACTTGAGAAGTTTCTGTACTGCAAAAGTAACAGTCAGGAAAGTGAAGAAGCAACGGACAGAATGGGACAAAATACTTGCAAATTATGCAACTGATAAAGGATTAATAAACAGAATCTACGAAGAGATCAAGAAAACTCCATCACAACAAAACAAACAACCCACTTAAGAGATGGGCAAAGAACCTAAATAGACATTTTTCAAAAGAGGATATCCAAATGGCCAACAGACACATGAAAAAATGTTCAGGATCACTAATCATCAGGGAAATGCAAATCAAAACCACAATGAGGGCCGGCGCTGCGGCTCACTAGGCTAATCCTCCGCCTGTGGCGCCGGCACACCGGGTTCTAGTCCTGGTCGGGGCGCCGGATTCTGTCCCGGTTGCCCCTCTTCCAGGCCAGCTCTCTGCTGTGGCCAGGGAGTGCAGTGGAGGATGGCCCGAGTACTTGGGCCCTGCACCCCATGGGAGACCAGGATAAGTACCTGGCTCCTGCCATCGGATCAGCGCAGTGCACCGGCTGCAGCGCGCCAGCCGCGGCGGCCATTGGAAGGTGAACCAACGGCAAAGGAAGACCTTTCTCTCTGTCTCTCTCTCTCTCTCACTGTCCACTCTGCCTGTCAAAAACAAAAACAAAAACAAAAAAAATGAGGTTTCTTAATTAATTAATTAATGCAGTATTACTGGAGCCTCATATCTTATCTGGTGCATGTAAGATGGCCATTAAATAGTCATTGAATTAATAAATCAATATGTCCCAACCACCTGAGCTATAAGCAGAGACACTATATTACAACCAAAATGTCATTTTTTTAGGGAACTGAGAAAACTTTTATTTCTTATTTAAATGCCATTTAAGTAAGGATTTTTTTTTCTCTGAATCTCCCCTTTGAAAAAACTACTTAGTGCAATGTTCTAACTATTTACAATGCTTTATCCTTCTATAAGCCTGTGAGAGCCAAAAGTGAAATTATAGCTACTTGGCAAAGTTCTACTTGCTACCAACTATAAGAAACTGCTGGGGCTGGCACTGTGGCATAGCAGGTGAAGCTGCAGCCTGCACTGCCCACATCCTATATGGGCACCGATTCAAGTCTCAGCTGCTCCACTTCCAATCCAGCTCTCTGCTATGGCCTGGAAAAGCAGTAGAAGATGGCGCAAGTCCTTGGACCCCTGTACCTGCGTAGAAAGACCCAGAGGAAGCTCCTGGCTCCTGGCTTTGGATGGGCCCAGCTCTGGCCATTGCAGCCAAATGGGAAGTGAACTAGTGAATGGAAGACCTCTCTATCTCTCTGCCTCTCCTTCTCACTCTGTGTAATTCTTTCAAATAAATAAATAAATCTTAAAAAAAAAGAAACTGCTAACACATTTATATATTTGTTTATGTATAAATACAAATTTCTTCATAGTTCATGTGAACAAGAAAGCTGAACTTAATGTGAATAATTTAAGAAATATAAAGCCAAAAAGAATATCTCAGATAAAAGCAATACATTCTATTTCTAAACAGGTTAGATCAACATCACATTTCTTCTCGTACTTCAAAAAGTTGTGAAATGGCCTAATCTTAGCAAATGTACCATCCAGCCAGTACAGTCACAAATGTGGGAACTTGACTAACCCAGACTGGCAAACACTAACTTCTCACACATCCTACAGAGACTAAAGTGTACTTGTCCTCTTGGACTCTGAGAATACCAGATGGAACTGTCAGGCTTAGAAAAGAAAGGAAGGAAGCCGGCGCCACAGCTCACTAGGCTAATCCTCCACCTTGTGGCGCTGGCACACCGGGTTCTAGTCCCGGTCGGGGTGCCGGATTCTGTCCTGGTTGCCCCTCTTCCAGGCCAGCTCTCTGCTGTGGCCAGGGAGTGCAGTGGAGGATGGCCCAAGTGCTTGGGCCCTGCACCCCATGGGAGACCAGGATAAGTACCTGGCTCCTGCCTTCAGATCGGCACGGTGCGCCGGCCGCGGCGGCCATTGGAGGGTGAACCAACGGCAAAGGAAGACCTTTCTCTCTGTCTCTCTCTCTCACTGTCCACTCTGCCTATCAAAAAAAAAAAAAAAAAAAGGAAGGAAGGAAAGGAGGGAGGGAGGGAGCAAAAGAGAAGTGAAAGAGAAAGGGAGAGAAGGAGGAAGGGAAGGAGGAATACATAAATATCCCAATTAATGTGAAAGTCAAAATATTTAACAACTGATCTGGAAGATGTATTAACCAATCAGAATGAATGCTCAACCAATCACAACAGAAGCCAGTCATAAAAACTAATTATAGGGGCTGGGGCTATGGTGTAGTGGGGAAAGCTGCCACCTGCAGTGCAGGTAACCCATATGCACGCCGGTTCAAGTCCCGATTGCTCCACTTCCGATCTAAGTCTCTGCTATGACCTGGGAAAGCAGCAGAAGACAGCTCTAGTCCTTGGGCCCTTGCATCTGTGTAGGAGACTCGGAAGAAGCTCCAGGTTTCCAGCTCCCAGCCATTGTGAACGGAAGACCTCTCTCTCTCTCTGTCTCTCTAATAAATAACAAAATCTCTTATAAAAACCTAATTATAATTAATTAGTTTCTTTTACCAAATGTTTAAAATATTTTAGCAAATACCTCAACAATAAGGAAGCACATCACACAAAATGCTAGACAAGAATTCTTTGTTAAAGTATTAAGTATCAAAGATGTGTATGACACTTCATAGTAAATGGCTACTTTATAAGCAACTTGAGAAATGAAAAGCAAAGAATACATGTATTCACAGTATATTGGGCATTTTGCAGTGAAGAGGGATGGTAAAAGAGGAAGCTCAAGTTATCCATGAAAGAACTAGCACGAATCTAGAATTCAAGTGAAATTACCCATAGCCCCTGGGTGTAACAAGCAAAAAGATTTGAGCAGTGGTACAGGGAACCAAAACACAAATTCTCATGCGCATCTTTATAAACACACATTCTAAGGCTATGAGGTATTCTTCTTTGCTGTATTAAATACATAAGAAGTCTATTTATCCTATTAGTCACAAAGCAAAATGAAAATTCAGGCAGCTGTCAAGGATAAAACAGTCTTTGATTTGGCCTCTGAAGTAGAAATGAAATATTTGGCTTAATTATGTCTAGGAGTTAATTAGGTTTATCATACATGCTAATCTGCGCATCATATAATATGACTAACATCAGGGAGAAGAGAACTAAACTCTTGGCTGAAGAGTCGGAGGCATTTTAGAACAATGCCTAAACCCAGGAACCATGTGTCATCACTAGACTGAAACAGTGGCAACAGAAATTTTTAGCAGATTTCTATATAAGTAAACTTCATGTGTGTGTATATTTGTGTGCAGTCAATGCCATGGAAAGTCAATTCAGTGTAAGGTTCCACTAACCGGGCAAGCATTTTCTTTGGTGGTGCTGGGGTTCTGGTCACCATAGTACCACGTGAACTGGAAGTCCTGGGACTGTGGAACATGTGACATCTCAGCTTTGCTCTTAAATTCCAATGTCAAAATGGTGGGTGGCAAAAGAATACTTATGATGATCTGTGAAAGAAAACAAAGCATAGTGAGCAGTAAGGGTTAAACTCACACAAGGTGCACACACTGTCATTTTATTTCAATAACAAAATTAAAGCCGGTGCTATGGCTCACTTGGCTAATCCTCTGCCTGCGGTGCCGGAACCCCAGGTTCTAGTCCCAGTCAGGGTGCTAGTTCTGTCCCAGTTGCCCCTCTTCCAGTCCAGCTCTCTGCTGTGGCCCGGGAAGGCAGTGCAGGATGGCCCAGGTGCTTGGGCCCTGCACCCACATGGGAGACCAGGAGGAAGCACCTGGCTCCTGGCTTCGGATCGGCGCAGCACGCCGGCCATAGCAGCCATTTAGGGGGTGAACCAACAGAAAAAGGAAGACCTTTCTCTCTGTCTCTCACTCTCTCACTAACTCTGCTTGTCAAAAAAAAAAAAATTGAGGATTTAAGTGTTTATCAAACGTCAGACTCACCCCCAATTCAAAAAACAAGACTCAAGAGTATGGACCTTCACATTAAGTTAACATTAAACTCCAGAGGGCAATTCAGTTTACCTTTAACCAAGAGTTTTTCCTCATTTTCAGGCGCCCTGTCCACATGTCTGTCAGCAGCATCTGGGTACAAGAATGTGAAACGACAGGCTGCAGTCCCCCAGACACTGCCAGTTTCAAACAGGTGGAGTTGCTCCAGTTCTTGAGTTCACAGGTCAACAGCTTCATGGCCATTCGCTCATTCTGCTTGAATGCCTTCTCCAGCACATCCAGGGCAAGCTGGCTAAACTGTCTGTAATGACACAGCGGTGAGTGGGGGACACACACACACACACACACACACACACAAAAGCTGGATCACTGCACAGCAATCTCAGTTTGCAGACGTGATTTTAAAGAGATGGCTGCTCAGGAAAGGGAAGGTTCTCCCTTTTAAGAAGGAACAGAACTGGACGTGTTGCTCAGCAGCATTTAGAACTCAGTGTACTCCTAAGCTATTCACTGTATACTATTGACAAGTTATTTCTAGCTTGGTTTGGGACTCCCTAATTAGGCCTAATAAAGAATCTTTGGACAGAAAACATTGTGCATGACTAAATTATACAGCCGGCATAGTGGTAGAGAGGGTCAAGCCACAGCCTGTGATGCCAGCATCCTACATGAGCACTAGTTTGAGTTCTAGCTGCTCCGCTTCCAATCCAGCTCCCTACTAATGCACCTGGGAAAGTAGTGGAAGATGGCTCAAATGCTTGGGCCCCTGCAGCCACATGGGAGACCTGGGTGGACTTTCAGGTTTCTGGCCCAGCCCTGGCTGTTGCAGCCATTTGAGGAGTGAACCAGCAGATGGAAGGTCTCTTTGTGTCTCTCTCACTCTCTCTGAGTAACTCTGCTTTTCAAATAAATAAATAAGTCTTTTAAAAATTTAAAAAAGGACTGTACTAGCAAAAAAGAAACAAAGAATTCCCTTTTTCCTTTGAAGATTTTACAAATGCATAGAAGTCTTCAATATGAAGCTAGACCAGGAGACACTCTGGAGGTTTTCAGGAGTTGTTTTCATGCTGTTGTTTGCAAATCAACATCATAAATAATTGTTCATTATCTCTAGGCTTCCTATCTTTCCTCACTATGATAACACTTTCTAACAAAGAATCCAAAACTCTCCTCACTTCTCTATTTTCTACCATGGCTCTCTGGCTCTTTAATACAATGCATGCATTGTTTCTCACTCCTAAGATATATATATATATATATATTTTTTTTTTTTTTGACAGGCAGAGTGGACAGTGAGAGAGAGACAGAGAGAAAGGTCTTCCTTTGCCGTTGGTTCACCCTCCAATGGCCGCCGCGGCCGGCACGCTGCGGCTGGCGCACCGCGCCGATCCGATGGCAGGTGCTTCTCCTGGTCTCCCATGGGGTGCAGGGCCCAAGGACTTGGGCCATCCTCCACTGCACTTCCCTGGCCACAGCAGAGAGCTGGCCTGGAAGAGGGGCAACCAGGACAGAATCCGGCGCCCCGACCTGGACTAGAACCCGGTGTGCCGGCGCCGCAAGATGGAGGATTAGCCTAGTGAGCCGCGGCCCCGGCCCCTAAGAGATATTTAAAGTATACAATTCAGGGCTGGTGATTTGGCACAGTGGGTTAAGCCACCACCTGTGACACCAGTGTCCCACAACAGAGCACCAGCTCAAGTCCTAGTTGCTCCCCTTTGGATCCAGCTTCCTGCTAACGCATCTGGGAAAGCAACAGACAATGGCCCAGGAGCTTCAGTACCTGCCACAGATATGGGAGAACAGGAATTATTTCCTGGCTCCTGGCTTCAGCCTGGCTTAGCCCTGGCTGTTGTGGCCATTTGGGGAGTAAACCAACAGAAAGAAGATATCTCTCTCTCTCAAAAAATTCTTAAAGACCCTTTAATAGGAGAGTCCATGAAATGCACTGTGTGATGTTTAATTTAAATCTCAATTTGACTAGATTGTGCAATCTCTGGAAACATGACAAAGCATTATTTTGAGTGTCTTTGAGGGCATTCTGGACAAGATGCGCACATGAGTACAATTGGACTACATGGAGAAGATTCACCCTCAGTGTGGCAGCACCATCCTCTCAGGGCCTGGAGAGAACAAACACAGAAAACAAATTGGTCTTCATCCTGGAAGCTGGGACACACTGTCTCCTGTCTTAGACACCAAAAATCCAAGCTGTCTGGCCTTTAGACTCCAGTACTTCTTTTTCTTTTTAAGATTTATTAATTAAACTGAAATTCAGAGTTACACACAGAGAGAAGAGGCAGAGAGAGAAAGAGAGAGAGAGAGAGAGAGAGGTCTTCCATCCAATGGTTCACTCCCCAGATGGCCACAACAGCTGGAGCTGCACCCATCCGAAGCCAGGAGCCAGGACCTTCTTCTGGGTCTCCCTCATGGGTGCAGGGTCCCAAGGACCTGCGCCATCTTGTACTGCTTTCCCAGGCCATAGCAGAGAGCTGGATCAGAAGTGGAGCAGCAAGGACTCGAACCGGCATCCATATGAGATGCTGGCACTGCAGGAGGTGGTTTTACCTGCTATGCCACAGCACCAGCCCCTAGACTCCAGTACTTAAACTAGCAGCAACCTCATCACTGGCCCCCTGGGTCCTCAGCATCCTGGTTCCCTCAGCTTCCCTGATTCTGAGGCCTTCAGACTTGAGCCACCTTACCATCATGCTAGGTTTTCCAGCATGAAGATGGCCCGTCATAGGACATCTCAGCTGCCATACTCATGTGAGCCAATTTCCTAATAAATCCCATCTCACATATCTCTACACATAACCTACAGGTTCTCTCTCAAGAACCCTGACTGGTTGACATGGCAATAAGCCTACTTGTCTTACAAGTTCTAAAGTGAGGGAAATACAAGTTATCTAATCATTCTAAGAATTGTTGATGCTTATTAGGAAGTGCAGAGAGAACTCCTACTTTGAGTAATTTTTCAACTCTTCTGAAGTGTCATCAACCATGTTGTTCTCCTCAGCTTCACGGGCCATTGCTTGGTAGAGTATACACGCAATCACTGCCTTAACCGTGGCCTCCTCTCCATGCTGCCAGAAGAACATGGCCATCCTCTGCCTTTTCATTAGCACAGCCCAGACCAGGAGGTCATTGTATGGGTAAGTGAAGCCAGGAGATTCAGGGTCATCTGATAGAGTCTGTCCATCTTTTGACTTCTTCCTTGATTTATGCAGGACTGTAGCAGACTTTTCCTATTAGAAAATAAAATAAGGATACATTTCCAAAACTCAGATGCATGAAGTTTTACCCAATGTAATAAAGCAGGCATCTTATACATTTCTTCAAATCACTGCTAGAAGAAGAAAAAAAGAGACAGGCAAATAACCATAGCTCTTTATCAAACAGCAAGAAAAATTTACTTTTTATGGTGATCTGTTTCTTCTATTTAATAGATCCAGAGTCCCTAACTGGAGATACTTAAAGTTCATTTAGCACAACTTAAAACAATGCTTCTTTGGGATAAACTCAGTAACTACATGAGAAATTTCAACTTCCAAAAAAGTGGGTTGAAATAATATATTGGATAAATAAGAATTATTTTTAAAAAAATACCTTTAACCTCATCTTAGCAATATTCATTACCTTCCCTATAGAAAAGTGCCACTGGTGTTGCCAATATGTATCCCAATAGACTGGTGTTATGTTTCCTTTCTCTTATTCTAATTCTACTTCTCTAGTGATGATAATAGGTAATGATGAAATAATATTCTCCATCTGGCAAATCCACTTTTTACAGTTTACCTCTAGTGCAATATAACTCCTCATGTACTTCTATATCATTTAGTATGTCTCTATTTCAATGCTCATCATATTAGATATTTGGCGTATGTACTATACATATATCAGATACTTGGTATATGTACACTGTATTATGGTTACTTATTTGAGGGAGGTGAAACAATTTCTCAGTAATCATTTTATCTTCCCCTACTCACTCACCCCCTCAAATTCAACCCACCATAATTTTTCAGCTATAATGTCTGGAAGATAATAAAGATGGAATAATTACTTTTTTTAATTTGAGATGTCAGTGAAAAATTGAAATCTGTTCTATTTTTCAGTGAAAACCAGGGTGATTTTATATAACAACTTTTCATCGCAGGAGAGGTTAGCCATGGAAAGCAAACCCCTTTCAATCAACAAAGTAAATGGAAACTATTAAGAAAAAGCATTTGGCCGGCGCCGCGGCTCACTAGGCTAATCCTCTGCCTTGCGGTGCCGGCACACCGGGTTCTAGTCCTGGTCGGGGCGCCGGATTCTGTCCTGGTTGCCCCTCTTCCAGGCCAGCTCTCTGCTGTGGCCAGGGAGTGCAGTGGAGGATGGCCCAAGTGCTTGGGCCCTGCACCCCATGGGAGACCAGGAGAAGCACTTGGCTCCTGGCTTCAGATCAGCGCGATGCGCCCGCCACGGCGGCCATTGGAGGGTGAACCAATGGCAAAAGGAAGACCTTTCTCTCTGTCTCTCTCTCTCACTGTCCACTCTGCCTGTCAAAAAAAAAAAAAAAAAAAAAAAAAAAGCATTTATCTCCAGATAAAAGTAGAGCAAGAGTATAAAGAGTAAGAGGGAATAACAACACTGCATGTGCATGTGCCCACTCTCATTGTCATTTTATCATTGTAACATTAGGCTAAAACTAATCTAAGAAAACCTCAAAAGAGAAAAAAGAAGATGCAAAAAAGCAGGCAGAGAGCATGAAAGAGATGGAAGCAGGCTTCGAACTCAGAGGTCTTAGGGTAAGGGAGACAAAGATGTGGAATTAAGGTAATCGCAAATTTTCTGTCTCATCACACAGAGTGCCCACATGAATCAGATCCAGACACGACAGAGGTAGGACAAGGAAGAGAGGCTGACGTGCAAGCTCGGATGATCATTTCAGTGCTCATGCTGTGTCCTGGACATTTGCTGGCTGTTTGACTTGCCCATCTATTGACAGTACTTGTAAATGGTCTCGCTATTCTGACCTTCCTTTCCACAACTTTAAATGAAGAAACAGTCTCTGTTTGCAGAACACTTTTACTTCCAAGTCAAAAAACAAGTAGGTGGTACCTTGACTTTGTAGGGCTGGGCAGTTCTAATGAACTGAGAGTGCAGTGTGCTTTCCGCAGACTCATTTCTAGTTCCCGAGTGGCGTCTCCGGTGAAGGGAATGCTGGGAAAGGCTTTGAGGAAAGCTATTGGCCCCCTGGCATATGTTGTTATTTTGGTTTTTTAAATTTAAAAAGAAAAGGGAAAAAGAAGATTATAGTGGTAACAACATTTTAGTTCTGGGCAGTAATGAAAATCTAATATAACGTTGTGCCCTACACAAACATCCAAAGGTTCTCGCTGGCTTTCATTCATGATTAACAATCAGTCTCTCTGGAAAGCAATTACTCACCCAACAAGAGTCTCCTATGTATGATCTCTTTCTTATTATGTTCTCTGTTGTTTCCTAACAGCTTAGAGAACACGCTCTCTGTTCCCTAGTATACATCTGCATGCCTCCTCCATGTGGAAATTCCATTAGAATCAATGGATGTTCTATACTTGGAACAAATTCAAAATAAGCAATAAAGATTTATAGTTCTGATAAGAAAAAGTTTCCATTCACAAGCAGCTCCAAAGATAAGGTTAAGTAAGAGAGTTATGGAATTTCTCCAAATGTTATATAACATCTGCACTGGCATTCCAGCAGCTAGACCAGGTAACAACTAAAGCCATGGTCATCAGCATGAAGTTTCCATCAATAAGAAATAAGAGCAAAAAGAAGCATATATAAAAGGGTCTGGCATAAAAACACAAGATGGAAACTATAGGCTTTCAACTTCATTATTTATGTGAATTTGTTTTATGAATAAAAATTGAACACTAAAATAAGGAGGCATAGACATATTAATATGTAAATTATCACTATCGTAATGCAGAAATAATAATATCATTATAGCGATAATCTTAATGATTACTATTATTAATAGCTACTCTATATCCACTATGGACCAGGAATATAGATTTTTCAAGCACCATTTCACTTAATCCTTCTGACAAATTTATGGAAGAGGTATTAATATTTCCATTTTACAGATGAGGAAATTGACTACACAGAAGTTAAACTTACTATTAAGATTACACAGCTACTGATGCACAAAATTTAATCCCATATCTCCCTGATTCCAAACCACATACTCATTGGTGCTATGACATAGTTTACTATAAAACACCATAAATCTAGTACTTCTTAACTGTTAAACAATCAGAGGAATGGAAGATGTCATACCAATAGGTCATTTTAGAAAGGGTACTATAGGAGCTTCCTAGCAAGCTCAATACTGGGCTACAGCTAGTCCCCATAAATGTCAACAGGAACCTCACAGCTATATCCAATTTGTTTAATGAAGTAGCTGGTACTTCCTAAGTGTATTCTTATGGCTTTGAAATCATAAAATCATTAAGAATATTTTCTGTGGGATTTGCATTTCTTCTTGTTTTATGTTTTTTTCATTTCCCAAAATCCAGTTGGATTTTATGTCACCAAGTTTTTATAAATAAGGTCCAAGCTTAATATTCAAGGTTTACTGGAATTCATATTTGAGTTTACAGATCTAATCCTTTTAAGCATTTGACTTCTGTATTTTCAGAAGAAAAATAAAGAAAAGAACCGATCATTTCTACCACTAACAAGTATCACCACATTACTTTCATGTCAACATAGCACATATTGTTTCCTGTTTTGTATTATGGCTACTTGTTCATACATATGTTTCTTCTAGGACTTTCTAAACCTGTGATATTTATATTCATCCCAGCCCAGCACGCCAGAACTGAGCACAGAACTTTGCATACAGCACGTAAGAAAACTCCATGAAGAGAAAGTCCATTGTAGAAGCAAGCTATTGCCATCTACACTTTCCAAGCCATTCTTCTAAAACTGTGATTTGTAATTACCCTTAATTTTACTAAGGCACTTTTCAATTATGCTACCTTATATGTTCTGTAGAAGTTGTTGTAGAGGGCTCTGAAATTTTTTCTAGTGTAGCTGCTGCGATATGCTCCACCAATGAGGTGTTCTATTACCAATCCAATATCAATCAATGTTATTTTATAGTTTGAGAGAAGGGTATGCTGCAACAAAAACATACAATAATTATAACTTTCAGTTCTCTTTTCCTATCTTTTTTTCCATGCCATCAGAACTTAAACTAATTGCACTGGGTAGACTTATTCTTTGTAATCATCTTTACCAACTGATCAATAAATATGGCCAGTCACTGATGCCACCTGCTTGTTCAGGAGGAAAACAAATCTCAGATTTAATGTTTTTTTAGTTTCACAAACATTAGAGGTATGCTTAAATCTGTGTGCACCCTCCCTCTCTTTCTTTCCCTCGCCTATCATGCATATAAACACACTTGTATAAAATAAAATTAAATAGTATAAGATTGCTTTTTAACCAGAAATAATATAAATAATACAACAGAAGTGAAATCACAAGAAACTCTAAATACATGTGATCCAACATTGGGTTAACTTTTCACCTGCACTCTTTGTTGAAATGGGTATAACACTTTACTGAATTACTGAATTAACTAACACTGTATGTAAAACAAGAACATGAAAGGAAGTAGAACAAATAAAAACAGGAAACAGAATGGCAGAGCCAAATGAGATAGTAAAATGTGAGGTAGTGCCAAGACAAATATTATGGCTGGTAGGAGGGTTGAGTGGCAGATTTCTAAGTACACAGGTCTAATTCTAAATGAAAATTATTTCAACCCCTCAAATGTCACCTTGCTACTTCTTCATAACAGTTCAGTTCAGAACTACCATTCATAGCAAATGTTGAAAGGTACCCAGAGTGCTGGACAAGGTGTCTGAAATGAATGCATTATGAATAATGTTCACAAAGCTATGACCAAGAAATGAGGTCATAGGTGTACAACCTTAAATAATTTAATTTTTCTTTTTCACATTCATAATGAACTTTTTTCAAGAAACACCAGAAACAATGTTCTCATTTGCTGCTAGCTAAAAGTGTACTGAACCTAGTTCATCACTCTTTTTCAGTTTACTATGATAGAGTTCAAGGAAATAATTTAAAGACAATATCTCAATACAGCATAAATCAATGCAAGCTAATTTACATCTGCATGGACACTTTTGCTTACTACTAATTTGTAAACCAAATGTCTTCCTTTCATTCTGGCTCTCCTACCAACTCAACATGATAAAAAAGCACACATTCTTTTCAACAAGACATTAGACTTCAGAAAAATGAGAAAACTTTTAAAATATTTTTGGATGGATTTTAACCTTTGTTACAGATAGAAAACATGCCAAATTTTCTTGGGATGCAGTCTGACTCTAAAACAAGGCTTAGGCTCACAAAAAAGTAAGGCGTATCTGAGCTATAACTCATATTCAAAACTGTAACAAAAACAGTGGAAATCACATTAGTATTCCAATAAAGAGAGATGCAAAATTCTTAAATATCAGTTGATATTATTATTATCATCATTGGTTCCAGTGTTGTATCACATGAAACTAAAGTTCTGTTTGGAAATGTTTCATGTCTCTGACTCACAATTTTTTACCAGCTAATGTTACTTACTTGGTGGATCAGATCTTTAAAAATATAAAGTAAATTAAGAGGGGAATTTGGTTATGAAATTGGTCACAACTGCAGGTAAAGAGGGTAATAGACTATTTCACTGGAAAATCCAAATCCACATTGTAGGAAACAAAGTCTAGTGACTCCTCTACCACAAAGCTAAGGCAGTTTACAATGGTATTTTCACACCTTTGTAATTAGGTTACCTGTTTTACATCTTGGACAAGATGATGCAGGAGCATATTGGTAGGTCCCTGTTTCTGTGATAAAGAACAAAAGTAACAATTATTCTCTTTATGCTGGAGGGAAACCTTATTTCAGAATGCATAAGTAATCCAGAATATCAAAAATTTTGTTCAAAATCTTTAATAATGAAGCTTAAGCCAATTAATTCTAAGGAAGATGTTTCCTAAGAGAAGCTGTAATTAGATGAACTACTATCAAAGGAAGATACATATAGATGAGGACTTGACATAGCAAGAGGTAGGAATAAATCTTACGGAATTCTTAACTACCCCTTATCATGTAAAAATAGCCACGGGTGCAACAAGAGAACCCATGTGGGCACCAGTTCAAGATCCGGCTGCTCCACTTCCCATCCAGCTTCCTGTTAATATGCCTGGGAAGACAGCAGATGGTGGCCCAAGTTCTTGGGTCCCAACACACACATGGGAGACTCAGATGAAGCTCCAGTCTTTTGGCTTCACCCTGGCCATTAAGGCCATTTGGGGAGTGAACCAGAAGATGGAAGGTTTCTCTCTCTGTCTTTCATTCTCTCTCTCTGTACTGCCTTTCAAATAAATAAAATAAACCCTTAAAAATCGGGGTGCCAGATTCTGTCCCGGTTGCCCCTCTTCCAGGCCAGCTTTCTGCTGTGGCCTGGGAGTGCAGTGGAGGATGGCCCAAGTGCTTGGGCCCTGCACCCCATGGGAGACCAGGAGAAGCAAGTGGCTCCTGCCATCGGTTCAGCGCGGTGCGCCGGCTGCAACGCGCTGCGCTGACCGCGGCGGCCATTGGAGGGTGAACCAACGGCAAAGGAAGACCTTTCTCTCTGTCTCTTTCTCTCACTGTCCACTCTGCCTGTCAAATATATATATATAACCCACAAATACAACCCATCATTAATAATTTATTGAAACTTTACTATGTTCAGTCTGGCTTCTAAGGAATTCAGTGAGTGTTAACAAAAATTGAAGAGTGGATACCCTATAAATAACTAACAGTATGATAGTGTGGGCACTCAAAAAAGAGCTGTAAATAATTTGTACTCTTGTAACAGACCACTGTGCACTAGCTGGAGTAATCAGAAAGACAGGACTTAAATCAGCTTTTGAAGAAAGACAAAATTCAAAGGACAAGGGAAGCTATTTCAATAAGGATGTGTGGCTTGCACAATTGGTGTTTTCACAATGAGAAAAGCAAAGCAGCATAGTTTCAACAAGGAATTTGCATAGCAAACTTGAAGGAACAGCATTTCAACAGTGACTTTAGGTTGAGATACTTTCAACAATTCAATCAGAAGCAATTTGTACTTAGTAACATCTGTGTCTTACTGGGATAAAATGAAGTGGTAAGAATGTTACTCCTTTCACTGAAAAGTTTGCCTCTGTAAACTATGTTTGTATATGAACAAGGAAACAGGTAAATTTTAAGGAATTAATAAACAAATCTGAAGAGTGAACATTTAGTCTAGTGGTTTAAGAAGCTTGCTTCCTATATCGGAGTATCTATACTCACTTTCCAACAACAAAGTAATTGGGTTCCTATCATCTTTGTGGAGAAACTGGATTGCATTCCTGGCTCTGGCTTTGGCCCCTGACCAGCCCCATAGGTTGCTAGCATTTTTGGAGCAAACCATTCGATAAGAGCTATCTCCATATATTTGTCTGTCTGTCCGTCCATCTGTCGGTCTTTCTTTTTCTCTCTGCCTCTCAAACAAATAGTAAATTAAAATTTTTAAATAAATAAATCTTAAGGGAGGTGATTGATGAGTTGTTCCATACTCACTGTATTATAGAGCTCTTCCAGTCGGGGGATGGTAAGAAATCGATGGAGGTTCACTCCATATTCTATTAAGAGTTTCACAAAATCTACCCGATCCATCACTAAAGCATCTAACATTGCTTGTTCCAGTGCACCAGACTTCAGAAGCCATAAACAAACAAAGCATATAAAGGCAATTAACAAAGTAGAAAAAACTAAAGAACTACATGTTTCAACTCAAAACTACACATATACAATAATCATAAAATGTAACATTAGTAAGAAATGTGCAGGGTCTAACTGTATATACTTTGAATAAATCAAGCAATGGTCTCAGATGGGAAAATGATGGTTGCAAACATCTTGAAGCTTCTCAAATTCATGTACAGGCTAAACGTAAACCTCAAGTTTTCTTTCTCTCTTTTTTTTTTTTTTTTCACTTGTAATGTTTCCAATTAAACTTCTAGATATAGATGGCAAGTTGAACATATTCATCTAATTTTGATCCCACCTAAAAATGCATCAAAACTATAGTAGCAGAGCCAGCTCTGTGGTCAAGCTGCAGCCTGCAATACCAATATCCCATGTTGAAGTGCTGGTTCAAATCCTGACAGCTGTGCTTCAAATCCAGCTCCCTATTGATGCACCTGGGAAAGCAGCCGAGGATGGCCCACGTTCTTAGGCCTTTGTCAACCATATGGAAGACCCTGATGGAATTACAGGCTCCTGGGTTTGACCTGGTCCAGCCCTGGCCATTGCAGCTACTTGGAGGGTGAACCAGCAGATGGAAGATATCTCTCTCTCTCTCTCTCTTTCTCTCTCTCTTACCCCCCACCCTCTCTATCTCTGTCACTTTGCCTTAAAAATAAATAAAATAAAATATATCTTTAAAACAACAAGAAAAACTACAGTAAAAGAATTTTAAGCAATACATCTACAAGGACATGGAAGATAAGAGCAGAGATTAAGAATACAACATTTTGGAAGCTGGGAAGCAGTTGGTCAAGTGGTAATTGACTTACCAGAAAGCCAAAGAGCTGAAGTGGAAAATGTCATGGACAAAATAGACCTATGCCACAGAATTCCAGCAACACCAAAATGAAATAAATGTTGAAACCCTGATACTGGGACTTTCCCAGTCATCTCCATTTCACTCTCTATAACACTAGCACCCAGGCTTGCACCTTCCGGGCAGGTGAAAGTCACCAGTATAAAAGAAAAGGTATAAATATGTTGACATCTGGTGCCCCTCCCTACTCCAACAAATGGCAGTCAGATCACCCTATTGTGTAGCTATAATCTATGGCAATCTCAAATACAGGCTCAGAATCTCTAATGAGCTTTCTATCCCCCTCCCTTAAAACAAAAAGACCAAAACAAACAGATAAATATAATAATAATGATCAGGAGGAACCAGATACAGTATGAAGAGAAAAACTTCAGAGAACCATCATTAATATCTCAGAAAGCCAAAAGAGGACAATGTATATTGGATGCTATTGAAAAAAAAAGTGTGAGCTCTGGCCTCAGAATCAGCCCTTAAGGCACACAGATCTGGCTGAAAAGCCCATGAGAGTATTACAGGCATGGAAAGCCAAAACACTCTGACAAAAAAACAAAACAAAACAAAACAAAACAAAAAAAACCTAAATGAAAGATCTCCATGAGTGAGATCCCAGTGAAAAGAACAGGTCATCAAAGAAGGAGGTACCTTTCTCTGAAGGGAGGAGAGAACTTCCACTTTGACTATGACCTTGTCTAAATATGATCAGAGCTGGTGAACTCAAAAGGCTTCCATAGCCTTGGCAACTCATGACAAGAGCCTAGGGTGATTACTGAAGCCATAAACAAGAGTGTCAATTTGTTAAGTCAACAACAGGAGTCACTGTGCACTTACTCCTCATGCAGGATCTCTGTCCTCAATGTGCTGTACATTGTGATTTAATGCTATAACTAGTACTCAAACAGTATTTTTCACTTGATGTTTCTGTGTGGGAGCAAACTGTTGAAATCTTTACTTAATGTATGCTAAACTGATCTTCTTTATAGAAAGAGAATTGAAAATGAATCATGATGTGAATGGAAGGGGGGAGGGAGAGGGAAAGGGGAGGGTTGCGGGTAGGAGGGAAGTTATTGGGGGGGGGGAAGCCATTGTAATCCATAAGCTGTACTTTGGAAATTTATATTCATTAAATAAAAGTTAAAAAAAAAAAAAAAAGTACAGACTACTGAAAAGAAAGCTCACAGACGTGCAATTGTGTTTTAAAAAAAAAATCTTATAAAAAAAAAATGCTCTTAGAAATTAATGGGGGGCCGGCGCCGCGGCTCACTAGGCTAATCCTCCGCCTAGCGGCGCCGGCACACCGGGTTCTAGTCCCGGTCGGGGCGCCAGATTCTGTCCCGGTTGCCCCTCTTCCAGGCCAGCCCTCTGCTGTGGCCAGGGAGTGCAGTGGAGGATGGCCCAGGTGCTTGGGCCCTGCACCCCATCGGAGACCAGGAAAAGCACCTGGCTCCTGGCTCCTGCCATCGGATCAGCGCGGTGCGCCGGCCGCAGCGCGCCGGCCGCGGCGGCCATTGGAGGGTGAACCAATGGCAAAAGGAAGACCTTTCTCTCTGTCTCTCTCTCTCACTGTCCACTCTGCCTGTCAAAAAAATAAAAAATAAAAAAAATAAAAAAAAAAAAGAAATTAATGGGGGCTGGTGCCGTGGCTCACTAGGCTAATCCTCCGCCTTGCAGCACCGGCACACCGGGTTCTAGTCCCGGTCGGGGCACCGGATTCTGTCCCAGTTGCCCCTTTTCCAGGCCAGCTCTCTGCTGTGGCCAGGGAGTGCAGTGGAGGATAGCCTAAGTGCTTGGGCCCTGCACCCCATGGGAGAACAGGATAAGTACCTGGCTCCTGCTATCGGATCAGCGCAGTGCACCAGCTGCAGCACGCCGGCCGCGGTGGCCATTGGAGGGTGAACCAATGGCAAAAAAAAAAAAAAAAGGAAGACCTTTCTCTCTGTCTCTCTCTCTCACTGTCCACTCTGCCTGTCAAAAAAATTAAAATTAAAATTAAAAAAATAAAAATTAAAACGCTGTGTTCAATGCCAAAAAAAAAAAAAAAAGAAAGAAAGAAATTAATGGGTTAAGGCCGGCGCCGCGGCTCACTAGGCTAATCCTCTGCCTGCGGCGCCAGCACACCAGGTTCTAGTCCCGGTCGGGGCACCAGATTCTGTCCCGGTTGCCCCTCTTCCAGGCCAGCTCTCTGCTGTTGCCTGGGAGTGCAGTGGAGGATGGCCCAAGTGCCTGGGCCCTGCACCCCATGGGAGACCAGAAGAAACACCTGGCTCCTGCCATCAGATCAACACGGTGCGCCGGCTGCAGCACACCGGCCGCGGTGGCCATTGGAGGGTGAACCAACGGCAAAGGAAGACCTTTCTCTCTGTCTCTCTCTCTCACTGTCCACTCTGCCTGTCCAAAATCTTTCAAAAAAAAAAAAGGAAAAAAAGAAATTAATGGGTTAACAGCATGCTACCAAAAATTTTCATAGAAGGCTTGAAAATTAAAGTTGAAGCAATGTATCAAAGAAAAGATATGGAAAGTGCCGGCGCCGTTGCTCACTAGGCTAATCCTCCGCCTTGCGGCGCCGGCACACCAGGTTCTAGTCCCGGTCGGGCGCTGGATTCTGTCCTGGTTGCCCCTCTTCCAAGCCAGCTCTCTGCTGTGGCCCGGGAGTGCAGTGGAGGATGGCCCAAGTCCTTGGGCCCTGCACCCCATGGGAGACCAGGAGAAGTACCTGGCTCCTGCCATCGGATCAGCGCGGTGCGCCGGCCGCAGCGCGCCGGCCGAGGCGGCCATTGGAGGGTGAACCAATGGCAAAAGGAAGACCTTTCTCTCTGTCTCTCTCTCTCACTGTCCACTCTGCCTGTCAAAAAAAAAAAAAAAAGAAAAAGAAAAGATATGGAAAGCAAGAGAGGAAAGATAAAAAAAAAAATAAGAGTAGCAGCCCACAAAGTCCAACATTCAAATAATAAGAATCAAGAAAACAAAGGGGGAGTATGGAATAGAATGGCAACGTGACCGTCAATTTTCAATCATGTGCCGAAAATGATGGATATATGGACCTACAATAATATACCTCATTGTGAAATCTCAGAATAGCGGCAAAAACAGATTTTTTTTTAACTTCTGAGGGGCATGGGAGAGATGGGAACAAAAAATCTGAAAACAGAAAGAATTTTACTTCCCAAAAATAATGTTGAATCTTAGAAGCTCGGTACTCAAAATTCTAAAGAATAATTACTTCCAGTCATAAATTAAAATACACTCAATACATTAAGTCTTCAGAGTATTTATCTGCTATACTTCCTTTCTCAAGAAGTTATCAAAAAAAGGGCCAGCATTGTGGCGCAGTAAGTTAAGTTGCTGCTTGAGATGCCAGCATCCCATATCCAAGGGCCAATTCAAATCCCACCTGTTCCACTTCCAGTCCAGCTCCCTGCTAATGCACCTGCAAAAGCAGCAGAAGATGGCCCAAGTATCTGGGCCTCTGCCACGCATGTGAAAGACCCAGATGGAGTTCCAGGCTCCTGGCTTCAGCATGCCCCAGCCACGGCCATTGAGGTCATTTGGAAAGTGAACCAGTGAATGGAAGATCTCTCTCTCTCTCTCTCTCTCTCTCTCTCTGTCACTCTACCATTCAAATAAATAAAACAAATTTTTATTTAAAAAGAAGTTACCAAAGGATATGTGACAGCAAAATAAAGTAGTAAACCAGGAAAGAAGACCTAGGATACAAAAAACAGGCATCTTATCACAGGAGGAGCTAAAGGGGATCCCCAGTGATGAAGGTAGGCCCCGGGATGACAGCTGAGCACCAAGAATAGAAGGCAACTAGTTCATCCACAACCATGTGGCCCCCAAAACAGAAATGTGGAGAGGTTTCTAAAACTGACACATCCGGGGCAGGCATTTGGCCTGGCAGTTGAAACACTGGGTGGAAGGTCTATGTCACATCAGAGTACCAGAGTTTGATATCCGGCTCCAGCTCCTAACTCCAGCTTCTAGCTAACACACGTCCGGAGAGGCAGCAGTGATAGACCAAGTAGTTTGGCCTGTGTCTCCCACATGAGACACCTGGATTGAGTTTATTGCTCCTAGTTTAAGCCCTCGCCCAGCCCTGGCCTAACCCTGGCTGCTGTTGTGTTTGCTCGCTCGCTTGCTCTCTCCTCTCTCTCACTCTCTGTCTCTTTTGGTGTCTCACTCTCTGCCTCTCAAATCAATTAATACTTTTAAGTAAAAAATTAAGTTAATGGATCATGATATATGCCATTATTTAGATTTATAGATGTCAGAATAGTCACAAAATGTCGAAAGTGGGATAAGCATTTAGCCTAGCTGTTAAGACACCCACCTTCCATATGAGAGTACCTGAATTTGAATCCCAGGTTTGACTCCTGACCTCAGCTTCCTGCTAATGCAGACCATAGGTGGCAGCAGTGATTACTCAAGTAATTGGGTTCCTGTCACCCATGTGTGTTAGTAAAATGGTGCTGTCTGATCTGTGGCATCATCTTAAGCCCTGAGCACCATCTTAGGCTCTAGCCCCACTAACATCTTGCTCAGTAAGCTTAGGTCCTAAGCCCAGCCTGGCTTGCCAGAAGTGAGGTGACCAGATGGCCCAACCACAAGCGTCCACTCCACCCCTACCCTAATGGGATTTGCTGCTCCTACTTCACTCCCCAGGCAAGACTATAACAGGACCTGCTTCCCACACACGTGCTCTCTCTGCTGTTTAGACCCCTCTCCCTTTTCACTCTCTCTCGCCCTCTCCCTCCAACCTGTCGGGTTTAACTCCATTGTTTGGTGTGTTTTGTGGTGGCCTTCCAATGTGGGAGACCTGGATTGAGTTCCACTTTCAGTCCTGGCCCAGCCTTAGTCATTGTGGGTATGTGGACAGAGAACTAATAGACAGATGGGATATCTCTCTTTCTCTGCCTTTAAAACAAATAAGTTTTTTTAAAAAAAACTTTTGAAAAATTTCAAAAGTACTAACTTCTTATGATTACCAGGGTAGGAGGGAACTACCATTTCTTTTGGTAGTCTTTTAATATCATTTGACACTTTAAAGAGTGTACATACATTAGTTTGACATAAAAATAATATACCTATGATATAGTCACAACTGTAATTTTTTAAAATGAAACAAGCCATTGGTTCACCCTCCAATGGCCGCCGCGGCTGGCGCACTGCAGCCGGCGCATCGTGCTGATCGGAAGGCAGGAGCCAGGTGCTTCTCCTGGTCTCCCATGCGGGTGCAGGGCCCAAGCACTTGGGCCATCCTCCACTGCCTTCCCGGGGCCACAGCAGAGAGCTGGTGGAGGATTAGCCTATTGAGCCACGGCGCCAGGCCAAATTTTAAGATTTAAATAACAATGTAACAGTTGAGAATCAATTCCATTTAAAAAATAAATTAAAAATAAATTCTTCCATTCCATCTTTCTCTCAGCTTCGTTTTCCAGTTTCAATTAGGCTGCAAGCCAAAGAAAAAATGTTTAGAGGGAGACAAAGTATGTATGTGTCCAGTGAGAGAGATGCTAGCCTCATATCCATCCTAAAACAATCTATCTCTCCTCCAGTTTTCTGTTCTTCTCCCAATCAAATCAACATACAAAAATTTTTTTTCCAAGTAACTTCATGTTATTATACCTTCCAATGTTGTCCATAAATTAGGATATGTTTCTTGGCAATGTCTGTTCTGTCCCAAGCCATTGCCAGATTTAATTGTTCTGACGCTGATAAATTTGTTCCTAGGGTAAAAGAAAAGAACAATCATGTATTCTATTCAAAATATACACAAAAAGCACAAAGTGCCTCTGAATGTGACAAGGAAGTGAGGAACAATCACAATTGTGCAAATACTCACTCTTCAGCAAAGCTGTTAGGATTGCTAAGTCAAGGTCCTGCTGTTCTTCAGAATCAGCATCAAATATGGTAATCTATAAGAGTTAAAAAACAGAGAGCATGATTTGGGGAACTATCCAAAAAATTCTTTGAAAGAATACTCACATAATTCATATAATGAACTGAGAAAGTATTTTTTCATTAATGTCAAACAACACAGTTTTAATTTTTTGTTGTTACTTACAGAAAACTTTTTAAATAAGGTAATGAAGAATTGTGAACACAATTAAAAACTTTTAATTCCATGAATACAAAGGAAAACATTCATGAAAAAATATTATTAATGTACTATTCACATGTGGTAATAAAAAGAACCTCAGCCGGCGCCTCGGCTCACTAGGCTAATCCTCTGCATGCGGCACCGGCACCCTGGGTTCTAGTCCCAGTTGGGGCGCCGGTCCTGTCCTGGTTGCTCCTCTTCCAGTCCAGCTCTCTGCTGTGGCCCGGGAGGGCAATGGAGGATGGCCCAGGTCCTTGGGCCCTGCACCCGCATGGGAGACTAGGAGGAAGTAGCCGGCTCCTGGCTTTGGATCGGCGCGGCGCACCGGCCATAGCAGCCATTTGGGGAGTGAACCAATGGAAGGAAGACCTTTCTGTCTCTCTCTCTCTCACTGTCTAACTCTGCTTGTCAAAAAAAAAAAAAATTCTTAATGTAAATACAATCATTCCTCTTTCAGAAGAGATTGCACAGGAGAGCCTTAGAAGCTTTTGCTTTTAAATGAGAAATGAATCCTGGAGGATGAATGATGCCATTACAATGGACCCAATGCACAAGTACAATGGAGACCACACAGGGTATTCACAATGTCAAAGTCTGCAATGCATCCTTGCATGTGATTGACTTTTAAAAAAATAAGCACTTTATTATTTATAGTTATGAGTCACTGCTATTAACGAATGTATTTCAATCTTCCAAATGAAAATATATTTCACACAGTGGAGGAAGCTACCTTAACTGAAAACAGCTAAGACTAGCAAGTTTCTAGTCCCAGGTATGCCACTAACTAGGCAGCCTTGGGTAAATATCTTAACGCCACTGATTCTCAGGTTCTTCACCCACAAAAAGAGAGGAATGCACTGAATAACCTCAACTATTGAAGAAAAATACAAAAACTGTGATTCTACAATTTCACTCGGGTTACCTTCACCTAATTCCCCCTCTATGTGCATAAATAAAATCAACCTCAATTGTACAGGATCTGAGTAAACAGTTCCTGCAACATGCAAACAGCTGGCTTCTCCACCACTCTTAACCATTACACTGCTCACTAATTATTCTACTTGAAGACAAGAAAACACAAGGGCCATCTCTTTAACACGTTCTTTTCTTAACTTCCTTATTATTACTGGAAATACGAACTAAGGTGGACTAAGAATAAGATTTCATCTCTGAGCTCAAGTTCCAGGTCTATTACTTCCTAACTGCATGATTCTGCACAAAACACTTTAAATTCTCTAGACTTCAGCTGTATCACCTCTGAAATGGAAAGAAACATCCACTGCTGTATTGAACTCACTCACAGGGTTGTTTTGGGTGCAATAACATTTGAAAGCACATTGCTAATGGTAAACTTGGTTGTTATTCTATCAACTAAAATTCTACAAGTTTTTCACTCATTTTTGTCACTCCTTCTCCAGACTGAACTGATTTAATTTTTTTGCTGTTGTTCAGCTATTCAATTATTACCAACATTCTTGTATTATTTGGGTCAGCTTTCAAATCCTGGAAAGATCCCTTTGAGCCATGACAAATACATATATTTACTGTAATTTCCAAATTCATATCATCCAAATCACTGATAAAAATACTGATCATATTCCAGATCCCTGCTAATATGCCTTGAAAAGCTGCAAAAAAATTTTTTAAAGATTTATTTATTTATTTGAAAGTCAGTTACAGAGAGGCAGAGGCAGAGAGAGGTCTTCCATCCTCTGGTTCACTCTCCTGATGGCCACAATGGCCAAAGCTGCACCGATCCAAATCCAGGAGTTTCTTCTGGGTCTACCACGTAGGTGCAGGGGCCCAAGGACTTGGGCCATCTTCTACCGCTTTCCCAGACCATAGCAGACAGTTGAATCAGAAGTGGAACAGCTGGGGCTCGAACCAGTACCCATATGGGATGCCAGCACTGCAGGCGGTGGCTTTATCCTCCACACCTCAGCACCCACCCAGCAGCAAAAATTGATTCAAGTGCTAGGCCCCTGCACCCATACAGGAGACCAGATGGAGTTTTTGTCTCCTGGTTTTGGCCTGGTCTACCCCTGGCCATTGTGGCCATCTGGGGTGTGAACCAGTGGTTGGAAGATCTCTCTCTCTCTCTCTCTAACTGCCTTTCTAGTAAATAAATACATCTTTATAAATAAAGCTGCTCATATTACCCTAAAGTACTAAGAACTTTTCCTGAGTCAACATTATGGTCAAATTCCATAGTTTGTGGGTATTCTTTTCTGTCCAAGAATTTATTTTCACATTTCCCATTGTCTGATACATTCACAATTTTCTCAGAATGCTGTGAAGCACTCTTCCAAAGTCAGCTGACTTGATGGAGTTCACTGATGAAGGAAGTATTCCCTTACTCTCTGCAGGTATTTATATGCGATTTTCACTAAAGTTGATACCTTTTCTGTAATGCTGCCATATTACTTAAGGAATCTGAAGCATGAAGGGTGGGGGAGGATTGGAGGGGCAGTAAGAAGACAAGTTTATTCAACTAAGGATCAAATTCTCTACACTCAAGTTCACAATGGAAAACATTCCTATTTTTTAAGTGTGAAAATAAATATTACAATTTTTGGAAATTTGCACTTTTAGGTCAGTTTGAAACATCAACTCATACTCACAGAATCCCTGTGCACCATACACTGCATTAGAATTTGGAAAAGGTGCTGGGACTGTTTCAGACTAAAGTTGAAAGTGCTCTGAATCATGCAAATGATCTCCTCTTTCACCTGAGGACGCAGTATCCTGAAAGAAAAATAAATGGCCATGACTTGCCATGACCCAGAAAAGGGAACAATCCAGCAACATCAATACAAGCAGACCCAACCGCTGCACCTGAGAAGGTGTATACAGACAGTTCTGCCAGGAAAGAGGTGAGTGGGGGGCAAATGGAAGCAGGGCCCCCAGGAAAAGGCAGAATTTAAAAGTGAGAATGGATTGGTCTGAAAAGAATGCACTCTTAGGCAGAGTTCTTGAATTGATAGATTTACAAAGAGCTGTGAATCTCCAGTAATTGTAACCATCATATTCTCAAAAAGATCTGAAACTCCAAAAGGCTTAAGAATTTCTCATCCTGGGTGACTTTAGGAAAAGAAAAATCTGAAAGGACTAGGAGGGGCAGAAAGTAGAATTAGAGGGCTGATGGCTGAATGGAGGAAGAAGTCGTAAAGAGATCCCAGAGAGCTGACAGAATTTAAGCAGTGAATAAACATTAGTAGAGTCAACACTTGGATTTTTAGGCATTGAACTTATTTATACAGTACAAATACCTTGCTTTTGACACTGGAATACTCACACCGAATATAGGGATGGACTCAGAAACACTGTCTTCATATTTGAGAGAGGGGAGAATTGAGGCCTGCAATAAGAACTCCCTATACTACAGAAATGCCAGGATATCAATCCCCCTGATTCCTGCCATTGTTAAGACTGATGAGTGGGCAGGCGCCGTGGCTCAACAGGCTAATCCTCCGCCTCGTGGCGCCGGCACACCAGGTTCTAGTCCCGGTCGGGGCACCGGATTCTGTCCCTGTTGCCCCTCTTTTAGGCCAGTTCTCTGCTGTGGCCAGGGAGTGCAGTGGAGGATGGCCCAAGTACTTGGGCCCTGCACCCCATGGGAAACCAGGAGAAGCACCTGGCTCCTGCCATTGGATCAGCGCGGTGCGCCGGCCACAGCGCGCCAGCCGCGGCGGCCATTGGAGGGTGAACCAACGGCAAAAGGAAGACCTTTGTCTCTCTCTTTCACTGTCCACTCTGTCTGTCAAAAAAAAAAAAAAAAGACTGATGAGTGAATCTGAAGGTGATCTAGAGCTAGTACTGGTCGGCCCTCACACCAGGGCTCTTTCAGCAGTAATGGCCAAATGCAGGAGCGTCTCCTCCCTCTTCCCTGGAAATGCCTCCTCCCAAGGCTCAGTTAAGGCTCAAGTTTCTTCAGCTGAGAAAATAGCAAATCTCATCATTGGAGGGCATTTTGGTGCTGATTAAGAAATACAGTCACCAAAAAATGAATAAACTTCTATGCTCAGGGGATATCTAACACACATAAATGCACAGCCTAAGGAACCAAAATGCGGAAATAGTCACTCTAGTTTCAAACATGAAGAGTCAACAACTCACCCTTGGTCTCCTAAGTGTTTGTAGGTGAAGGCCAGGAGGTCAGCAGCTCTGCCTGTGCCCTCACACACCACCACTGGGTCTTTGTCTTTGACAGTCTCCCACACGGAGAGGATGACATTGGGGCCTCCTTCCACCACCAGCCCCACCACAGGCACGCCTTGTCTTGAGCCTATTTCAGATAACAGACAATACCAAACTGTTACAAAGGATCCCTCTTGCAGACAGCCAGCTAAGCCACTTCGATATCTAGATACAAATATTTCTGTTAACACATATCTTCACTACTTGCACTAGCCTCTCTCTCTTCTATTACACAAGCTGGCTTAGATCAAGGCTAAGCCAGAAGCTTGGACTTCAAAAAAAATGTAGCATAGACATGATGGGGACATCTTCAAGCATTTGCCAAGTAAAAGTGGAGCTAAGACTTTCAGTAATTGAGAAAAGTAAAAGTACTTTGGAACATTCCAAACATATTGGAAAGTAAACAGAATAATCATTAAGCACTACAAATCCAATAAACTTTTATTGGTTATGATTTCTATAAACAAAGTGGGATGGGCAACTCCAAAGACTTTTACATCTCAGCTTAGTCCATTTACTACTGTTTGAATGTTTTATTATGACTATCTTACTTTATTAAAGTAAGGAAGATAAGGAATACCAAAAAAAGGTACAAAGTGAAAAAAGTCACAGAATGGTATGCACATTATATCCTTTTTATAGTTTCAGAGTCATATATATGGGTATATATTCTATATGTACTCATAAGTATGTACCTACCTATATGCATAGCATATTATATAAATGTCCAGAAAACTCTGGAAGCATATATATATATATATATATATATATATATATAAGTATTAACAGTGGAGGGGGAGGGGAGTTTGGGGGAATGTAGAAAAGGAACTTTGCTTGATTCCATAGATTTTTTATTTGATTTAAGTTTCACCACACACATACTGCTTTTCAATCACTTTTTTTGTCATTTATTTTTCAAAAGAAGAAAACTTGGCCAGCAGTACCATGCTGACTCCTTAGTAAGCGAGGACTCTGCCCCAGGTCCCAGTGTTGCAGGGCCCTACTCTGCCACGGCTCTGGCCCTGCCTCTCCCCTCACAGTGAGAAGTCTGCAAAGCCAAGGTTCAAGGGAAACCTATGTCCCCTCCCATACGAGTACCCAAGACCCCAAAAAGCCTGCTGACAGGGGATGCTGGAGCCTCTGCCTAAGGTATATCCTCCCCAAAGACAAAATTGCCAACTAAAGGCAGCTTGATGGGTACAGAAGTGGACAGAGCCTGGACATCCAGGCTGGTGCATCTGACAGACTACATCTGTATGAGGCCCCTCTGACAACATGGGATTGAGCTAAGGCTAGAAAGGAAAGCAGAGCACTGGCTGCAAGCTGGGGTCAAGGTGCTGGCTCTGTCTCACTGGCCCATTCCGGCTCAGTACTTCCAAAACTCCAAACACTAAACTCAAATCCAGCCCTCCAGCTGTATGTGTCAAGATAACTAACTCAACTTTTCAAACTTAAAAATTTTGAAATATTTAAACATACAGCACATGGGTTTCCATCGTATCCTTGTCCCAGACTCTATAAAAAAATAAATCAATAAGGTGATTTGGTGGGAGAGGGAATGAGAATTCAGTTTCTACTAAGTTACACAACAGAAGCTGGCATTGGCCCCCTTGAAGACAGCCAGGGATTCCTACAGTAACTCTAGAAAGCAAATCTCATTTTTTTGAAAACACCCTCTGCCAACATTAAGGTTTTGCCAAGGACTCTAAGAAGCCAGTTAACAACAAACTCAAGTATTTTCATCACATCAAAGTGAAACCTTTTTTGACCATGTCAGTAACAAATACAAATATGGTAGAAAATCTCCCTCATGAACCTGCTAGGTATAAATACTAGCCTTAATACACAAGAATCTTAGGGTTTTCAGGGACTTTTTCCTTTGATCTTTTCTTTCATGTTTGTGTATGTGTGTGTGTAGGTGGTTTATTATTTTTCCTGTTTTCCTATGGGTTTTCTTAGAATAATAAATGTAACAAATCCATTGGACTTGACTCCACATTCTTACTCCACAGTCAGCAAAACTGTAGGTAAATTGTAAGTTTCAAGGTCTTTGAAAGTAGAAATGTCACCTGCTGCTATATGCAAGCTCAGAATTACTTACATTCAACAAAACTGGGAAATCAGCAGGGAACAAGAAAGACAAAGACTTTGCTCTCTTGGGACATACTTTAGAGTGCTGCACAGAACTCATGCAATGGCAATGTAGGTGATAAGCACAAGTCAACAGAAGCAACAAAGCTCTACCAGGCCTTTCCCCACCAGAGTCCTTCTTCAGCGCCACTCTCTAACTTCTTCCCTCTGCTCTGCTCCTCTCCTCTCCCTGTTCCTCTCATCCCTGTAGAGGACACTTACCGGATCCTCCCTCCCCTTCAGTCAGCCTCAGAACCTTCATTCACTCTAAACTCTAAGTGATGGGCAACAATTCCCACAGTCCTTTCCTCTCCTCACCATACTCTTCAACCATAAGATGACCACTCTACTAAAGAGGAAAAGAAGGAAAGAAACAAACGGATATTTATTAACAATCTACCGTGGATCCAACACTATTCTAGACACACCCAGTGTGCTTTTTTCCTCAATTAATTCTCAAAAGAACAAACAAAGACAATTCCTTCCATATTTATAAAAAGAAGACAGCTTGACAGATACTAACAGCATTGCCCAAGACGACAGACAGTACAGGGTAGAGCTTTGACCTCTCTAACCTCAGGACATTCCACTGCCTCTGGGGATCAAGGCCAGAAAATAATAGGACTAGGAGCACTTCCCCAACAATCCATAAAGGTGGAAGAGAGAGTAAGCCCTCCAGGGCATTCGCACCCCACCCCCCCACCTCTGCCTTAAAGGATGGGAGAATTTTGTGGAAGATTTAATTCCACACAACAGTCAAGGATCCACCCTGTGCTGTCTAGGAGGAAAAGTCTTGTTTCTCCAGGTAGCACCCAGCCCTCCTCCTCTGTGGGAAGGAGTCACACCTCCCTGTGCAAAGACCCCCAGTGATTCTGGCCCTCCCCTATTCTCCCCTCCACAGACATGAACAAAATTGTAGGCTTGAAGCTCTGTGCATGCATGATACGACCCTGATGCTTTCCAAGGCCCTAACCTCTAAAAGTCGTGTCTGGTTTTAACCATTAACCTATCTGGCCACCATATGCATATATATGAAATATCATCTTACCCAGCCTTCAAAGCTCAGAGCCCATTCTCTCCCGATTCTCTCTCTTCGGCCACTCCCATCTTCACACACAAGTCTTCCCCTCCTCTCTCCCTCCAGGGAGCCAACCCTATAGACTCTTCGCTAAAGTCCCCATCCTTCCATAAAACCTGCCCTGACTATACTGTCCCCCAAAATGTTTCTTCCTTTCTCCCACTGTCACCACATTTTTGCACGATCTTGTATCCTGCTTTCTTCCAGCCATGGGTTCACACATGTAAACTGAATCTCTGGGAACTCCAAGGTTCTGGCTACCCTAGGGTACTCACAGCTGTGTATCTTCTGCAGAGAGAGGTATTTTTCCAGGTTCCTCCGGAGTTTCATTTCATTGCCATACTTGCCCACGGTACCATCGTCAGCCAGGATGAAGTGTGAATGCATGCTGTTGAGGGTGGTGAGCTTGCTAAGGGGGTTCCCCAGAGTCTGGTATAGGCACACCACCTAGGACAGAAGGAATAAGACGGTCAGCACTCTAATCCCTTCCCCAGGCTCAACTGCTCCAAAGCCCTGTTCTATGCACAACAGAGCTCCTGTCAATTGAGATTAGAAAGAACTACCTGCTTTTTAGAGCAGTTCTTCTCAAACTATCTGTGTGAAAGGACTTTTTTTTAATTTCTCATTTTTTAGGGACTAACATGTGATCCTACTCCGCACAACTGGGCTGTAGCTCATGATACATGGGACTTGCAACACAAGTTCAACAACATGGTCAGAAAGTCCACTGACCCTGCCACATGGTCACATTACAACAATGATTCTAAATACTTATTTTCCATTTCTGAACTTATTCTGCTTAAGACCATTAATAAACAGTACAAAGACTGCCACCAGTACATAGATCACATCATTAACAAATACTGTGTTTTAGTATATCTATTCTGAAAAAATACTTTGATTCTGAACTGTCCTAATACGCCAAAAAAATGAATAGCAGCTAACCAGCAAAACTGCATTTCATTCAATATAAAACATCAGTATAAACCATCAAGATCTTTATTATGTCTATGGACTCTCCTTTAAGCAGCCCTAATTCTTATTGGCTTTTATTGTTTTTAAGTTTATGTATTTATTTTTATTTAATTGAAAGGCAAAATGACAGAGGGAGAGACAGAAAGAGATAAAAACTTCCATCTGCTTGTTCACTCCCCAAATGCTCACTTCCAAACCAGGGCTGGACCAGGCTGAAACCAGGGGCCTGGAGCTCATTAGCAGGAAGCTGAATCTGAAGCAGAAGCAGAGTTAGGACTCGACCTCAGGCACTCCTATATGGGATACAGGCATTCCAAGTGGTGGCCTAACCCACAGAACCACACACATGTCCCCATATGTACTTTAGAAGCAAGCACACAGTATATAGAATCAGAGAGACCAAGTTCAAGTTCAGCTTCTTCCACTTACTAACTTTAACTCTGAGTCATTGCTGCCTCCTTTCTTAGGCTTCTTTTCCTAATGTGTAAGTACTATGAGACTTCAAAGAAATAATGGACGTAAAAAGCATGGTGAATTTTAGAAACATTAGATTTTTTTTTTTTTTTTTTTTTTTGACAGGCAGAGTGGACAGTGAGAGAGAGAGGCAGAGAGAAAGGTCTTCCTTTGCCGTTGGTTCACCCTCCAATGGCCGCCGCGGCCTGCGCACTGCGGCCGGCGCACCGCGCTGATCCGATGGCAGGAGCCAGGAGCCAGGTGCTTATCCTGGTCTCCCATGGAGTGCAGGGCCCAAGCACCTGGGCCATCCTCCACTGCACTCCCTGGCCACAGCAGAGGGCTGGCCTGGAAGAGGGGCAACCGGGACAGAATCCGGCGCCCCGACCGGGACTAGAACCCGGTGTGCCGGCGCCGCTAGGCAGAGGATTAGCCTAGTGAGCCGCAGCACCGGCCAGAAACATTAGATTTTAAAAGTAACCTTAATTCTAAAGCATGACCCTGAGGCCAGAAACCAAAAATAAAATGATTAGTAGACTCAAAAATTATTTCATATTTATTGATGACTATTATAAACTATGTAAAATTTAAAACTGAGAAATGCAGCATATACAACTAAAATGTAACTAGATTAAATTACAATATAAAAAGTCTTTCAAAGGTAAGTATAAAAACCTTACTTAAAAATGCATGAAAATCATATGAAGAGATACTGAATCTCACTAGTAATCAAAGAAATAGAACTAAGAATAATTAGGTCTTATTTTCTTCTTATCAGAATGGCAAGGTTTAATAAAGCCAGATTACCCAAACTGTCAATGGTCTGAGGAAATGGGTTCCCACGTATCTTGTTCACAGAATATGAATTGTTACCACATTTCCTAAATGCACACACTAACTGGTTCATCCATTTCTTCTACCTTGAGAATTATCTTTAGGAAAACAAGCAAGCTAGTACTAAATATTTATATATTTTTATCACAATATTGATATAATTTTTTGACAGGCAGAGTGGACAGTGAGAGAAAGAGAAAAAGGTCTTCCTTTTGTCGTTGGTTCACCCCCCAATGGCCACTGTGGCTGGTGCGCTGCAGCCGGCACACCGCACTGATCTGAAGTCAGGAGCCAGGTGCTTCTCCTGGTCTCCCATGCGGGTGCAGGGCCAATGCACTTGGGCCATCCTCCACTGCACTCCCAGGCCACAGAAGAGAACTGGACTGGAAGAGGAGCAACAGGGACAGAATCTGGCACCTCAACTGGGACTAGAACCTGGTGTGCTGGCGCCACAGGCAGAGGATTAGACTATTGAGCCATGGTGCTGGCTTTTATTAATATAATTTTCCACAAAAGCAAAAAACAGGAAACTACTACAATGAACAATAACAGAGGAATAGTTGGTTAATTCAAAGTACTCAAATACTATTAGGCACAAGAAATCAAAATGCACCCTTGACTCTCAACTATAATCTCCTCATATTATGCCCTACTAAAAGCAACCAGCCATTACCTTAGGGAGCAAAAAGTATACACACTGGGCCTGAGAGTTGTTTCATATTTAAAAAATAAACGAGTTATGAAAAACAATACAATTGTGTTTAAAAAAATGCAGGAGATAGCTTAAAAAGCTCCACTGGCCAAAATAGGACAATTTGAACATGATTAAAGGATAGAAACACATAAAATCTGCTGAAATTCTTGAGTAAGAAAAATCAGGGGTGGGTATTTATCCCAGCAGTTAAGATTCCCATGTTCCATTTTAGAGTACATAAGTTCAAGGTTCAGTCCCAGCCCCTGGCTACAGCTTCCTGCTCATGCAAACACCAAAAAGTAGCTTGATAGCTCAAGTAATTGGGTCTCTGCTGCCCACATGGGAGACCCAGGCTGAGTTTCAGGCTCCTGGCTTTGGTCTGACCCACTCCTGGCTGTTGTAGACACTTGGGGACTGAACCAGGAGACGAAAGATAAAGATACATCTTTCTGTCTCTGCCTTTCAAATACATTAAATAAGAAAAAAACCTCAAGAATGATACATTCAATGCCCTAACAGTAGTTAACCTTCTTTATTATGCCTTTTCCAATATCTGATATTTTTATTGAAAAGTTATTAGCCCTCGCCGGCGCTGCGGCTCACTAGGCTAATCCTCCGCCTAGCGGCGCCGGCACACCGGGTTCTAGTCCCGGTCGGGGCGCCGGATTCTGTCCCGGTTGCCCCTCTTCCAGGCCAGCTCTCTGCTGTGGCCCCGGGAAGGCAGTGGAGGATGGCCCAAGTGCTTGGGCCCTGCACCTGCATGGGAGACCAGGAGGAAGCACATGGCTCCTGGCTTCAGATCAGCACAGCGTGCTGGCCATAGCGGCCATTTTGGGGGTGAATCAACGGAAGGAAGACCTTTCTCTCTCTGTCTCTCTCTCTCACTGTCTAACTCTGCCTGTCCAAAAAATAAATAAATAAATAATAAGAAATACCTGTGATGACGCTGGCCATGCAAGGTTAAATCTCTCATTAAAAAAAAAAAAAAAAAAAAAAAAAGAATGAATGAAACCAATGGGAGAAGAGAAACAGCAAGGCCCAAATTAAGAATATGCCTTATGCGACTGGCACTGTGTCATAGCAGGTAAAGCCACTACCTGCAGTGCTGGCATCCCATATGGATACCCGTTTGAGTCCCAGCTGCTTCACTTCCAATCCAGCTCCTTGCTAATGTGCTTGGGAATGCAGCAGACAACGGCCCAGTGCTGGGGCCCCTGCCCCCACATAGAAGACCCAGAAGCAGCTCCTGGCTCCTGGCTTCGGATCAGTCCAGCTCTGGATGATGCAGCCATTTGAGAAGTGAAATAGCAGGTGGAAGACCTCTCTCTCTCTCTCTCTCTCTCTCTGTCTTTCTCTCTCTCTCTAACTCTACCTTTCAAATAAATAAATAAAAAATTTTAAATTTATTAATTTATTTGAAAGAGTTACACAGAGAGAGAAGGAGAGGCAGAGAGAGAGAGAGGTCCTCCATCTGCTAGTTCACTCCCCAGTTGGCAGCAATGGTCGGAGTTGCACTGATCCAAAGCCCAAAAGCCAAGAACTTCTTCCAAATCTCCCACGCAGGTGCAAGGGCCCAAGCACTTGGACCATCTCCCACTGCTTTCCCAGGCCATAACAGAGAGCTGGATCGAAAGTGGAGCAGCCAAGACTCAAACTGGTGCCCATATGGAATGCCAGCACTGCAGGTAGTGGCTTTACCCGCTACGCCACAGTGCCGACCCCAATAAAATCGTTTTTAAAAAAGAATATGCTTCATTTCACCACTAGCAAACCATTACAAGCATCAAGCAACACAAGAGCAATAGAAAGGTTTTGTCAAAAGGAACAGCATGCTTTGGTTTCTATTTTACATGAATCATTCTAGCTGCTATATTAACAACAGACTGCAATCAGAGATAAGAGCAAGGGTAAGAAAGGAGATTATAATCACTCAGATGTCAGATAATGATGGCTAGGCTGGGACCTAGAGAAGAGGTCAGATTCTGGGTGTATTTTAAAAGTCAAGATAAGATAGTTTACAAATGGACCAGATCTGAGGTGTGAGACAAAGCATGGTTCTAGGATTAGTCTGAAGCTTTTCACTTGAGTATCTGCAATGCCATTTTCTAAGATACAGTGAGGGAAGCAGAAGGAAGTCCAGAGTTGCCTTTGAATACATAACATCTGAAGAATCTTCTAGAAATCCAGGTGCAGTGTTATGTAGGAGATTTTGGACACATACTGATTTCCTTGTTGTCAAAGGACTGTCTACTTACATCTTTTCCAATAAGATCTTTCTGGTTCTCAATGACACCCCAAGGAGGGATTCCAACTGTCCAGATTTTTCTCAAGGAGTTAGAGGAATGAGCTTTCAGGGCATCTCCAACATGCTTTGACACTCCTACAAACAACCAGTTTAGAAGTCAAGTTTTAACTCACAAATCACATAAAACACAGTGACTGCCAGGGAGAGAAAAACATGACAAACAGACAAGTGTAAAGGCCACTCAAAAAATGTTGCTGGCAGAGAGGAAATAGCTTCTGATATCTTGGCTTCCTTATTCTCACTCAATACCTTTTTCTGTTATCACTGACCTCTGTACCTACACTATTCCCCTCTGGCTTTGGGCAGTTTCTACTTACCACCTTGGTTCTGATCCCATTCTTGCCTAAGCAGAGCGTCTGTGTATTGCTCTTTCTTAACAAGCCAATCCTGACACCAGGAATATTTTAAGTTTTTGTTTCTAGTCTTCTCTGATGCTGATGTCCCAACAAAACATCTTACAGATGTGTCCCTTGCGTCACTAAAGTAAACTGATTCAAAGTTATAAATAGTTATAACATACCAGGGTCTTTGATATGGGGTGTGAATACCATTTACCCAATTGCTTTATATATAGTAGGTTCTTTAGGTCCATGACAATCAATTTAAGCAAATGTCAAAGATTCATGCCAAATTATGTTTCACCATAGCTGAGAAACATCTCAAGAACAGACAGAAGTTCAAAAGCAGAGTTCCTCTAGTGTAAATACGCACAGAATTAACTGTGCATGCTGTTAAAATGTAGATTCTGATGCTGCAGTTCTGGAAGTAGAGCCTGAGACTGGTGTTTCCAACAACCTCTCCGGGGATGCTGCCACAGCTGCTCCCAGGACCAGTCCTCCAAGAGTTGGGTCCTAGAGAAGCTCTAGTTGAATTAAGTGAGATGTACTGCTATTTGGGTATTTATTTCCCACATCTTTTGTATAGGAAATTGGATGGTAAGGTGAATCACCCATTTATTAATAGTACTGATAACAAGATGATGGTTAAAGTTACTTCACAAGCAATTGTATGACTGTTTGGAGTGCTCCAGTGAGTGTAAATTTTTAATTTGATGTTCATCCCATGAATTACCTCACATTATTGTATTTGGGTTCCTTTAGGTTAATTATCCCTAATCTTTTTTAAGTATGGGGTGGGCATTATTTCTCTCTCTGCCTCTCAGATTTTTTTTTTTTAAAAAGCAGTCAGTAAAATAAAGGACCTAATGCAGTTACTCAAAGAAAAGGCCTTGCCCAAGTCCACTTTTCTCTGTACTCTGTAAAACTTCCCCACCCCTATAAAAAATTGGAAATAAAGTAAGTAATGTACAATGGACTTAGACCTCTTTTACTTCCCAGAATGTGAAACAATTATTATCTACAAAATGTGAAAGATGAACTACCAGATATTAGTAACAGCTCAAATCTCTTAGATATACTTTTTTCTCTCTCTCTTTCTTCCTCTGTCTTCCTTCCTTCCTTCCTTTTTCCCTCCCTCCCTTCCTTCCTTCTTTTCTTTCTTTCTATCTTTCTTTCTTTGTCAAAATACACCGTTGGTGAAACCAGTGTGTGTTATTAAATGTTTAGGCAGATCTGCAGATCCTTTCCCCTAAACCAAAACCAGGAAGGAGAGATCCTACACAGATTCATTGCAATCAGTAAGGCAAAATTTAAACAGGCTCCCTGAGCTCCAGGCAGTAAGCACTACACAAAGTAAGAGACAGAAGTGAACAGCTCTAGTTGAGATACTGAGGTGCTACTTCATGGGTCTGTTGGCATCTTGTTTAGATCTTAAAGGACACGCAGAATTTAACAGAAGACACTGGCTAAGGAATTTCAAGTCAAGAGAGAAAAGTGAAGGGGAGATGGGAAACCACAGGTTAATATGACAAAGGAGAAGCTGTGTGGAGTCACTAGGTCTCCATTCTGGCTGCACATCAGACAAACTTTGGAAGCTCCACCCTGAAAGCCTATGATTCATCCACGGAAGAGCCTGTGCCTATGTATTTTTTAAAAGCTCCCCAGGTGATTGTAATAGGCAAACAATTCATAAATACTGAGGTAGAGAAATAAGGTTTAGAGACCACTGTAGGAAGTTCTTGAATGTCAGATTTCAAAGAGCATAAAAGAGCCTGTGACAGAGACAGTGAATGTACTGGCAACCATAGCAGCAATCCAAAAAAGTAATTACCTTCTCATGCCCAATACACTCTATGCAATTTTGCACACTTCACTGATATCGATCCAGTGTCTGAGAACTTGCCCATGACTGCATGAGTTTAGGTAATGGCCAGGGCCATACATACTATACACTGGCATGGATTCAATGTCCCTTCTACTCTCACCATAGTCTGAAGTTCAGAAAAGAGTATTTTCTGGGGCCAGTGCTGTAAAGCCACCGCCTGAAGTGCCAGCACCCCATTTGGCCGCCAGTTCGAGTCCCAGCTGCTCCACTTCCACTCTCTGCTATGAACTCTGGAAAGCAATAGAAGATGGTCCAAGTCCTTGGACTCCTGAACCCTTGTGGGAGACCAGGAAGAAGCTCCTGGCTCCTGGCTTTGGATCGGCGCGGCTCTGGCCATTGTGGCCATTTAAGGAGTGAACCAGAGGATGGAAGACCTCTTTCTCTCTCTCTCTACCTCTCCTTCTCTCTCTCTGCAACTCTGACTTTTAAATAAATAAATAAATCTTTAAAAAAAAAAAAAAGAGTATTTTCTGTGCCAGAAGTTTATTTGAAGTTATGTTGAAACAGTGTATTCTGATAATAGCAGAGACACATTCCAGGAACCATTTATGACTCAGCTAGACTTGTTTTCCAGTCACTAGGATTTTTGTCTTCCCACTTTACACCACCATATCTCCTGAGAGTAGATTAGAGCCGATTGGGTGCCATGCTACCTGCTTCATGGCAACAAAGAGAAAATACAGAGAAGGACAGAAATGCAAAACGGAGGGAGGGAATGAAGGAGGGAAAGAAATAAGTGGAGGAAAGAAAGAAAGGAAGGAAGGAAGAAACGGAACAGAGAGAGAGAGAGAGAAGTGTGCTTTACCAGTATTGATGCCTTCGGTTATTATCCACGCTCCTGTGGTCTCTGCGGCTTTGACCAAACCTTGACTGAAGATCTCCTTAATCTTGGAAGGCATCTTAAAGCTCTGGATGCCCCCATGGACAGAGATCACCAGCTTTGGCAATTCCATCTTCCACTCTTGCAACATTAAATGTAAAAGATGATCCAGTTTTGTATCATAAGATGTTCTGATATACTGAAACACACACATACATGCATGAACAGAAAATAGTGAAAAATACATGACAGGTACAGGAATAATAAGCACACAGCAGGGCAACCGAAATAACCAAACCCTGAAAGGAAGTGTCTGGGGTCTCTTTAAAGCTTCATGGAATGGAAATATTTACTTTTACATGATCCCACACCCCCTTCAGTTCCTTCTGGGAATTACAAATCACTGCAGGAAAGCTTCCTCTGGCTTCAGGGCTAGCCCACTAATGTTCTCCAAAACGCCTGGTCAAAATCACTACATCAGCAAACCCATTAATAAAAAGCTTTAAGACATAGGTAAAATGGGATTTTTCATAAGTGCTATGGTTTTTAATTTACTTGGCCACTCCACATATTTGTACAATTTAATTAAGATTCAGGAGCATGTACATTTCATCTATTATAAATTTTACCTTCTAACTATTTCTTTCATATACCATTATCCCTCCAAAAAAATTTTCTTCCCCAAAATAAACACTTTTCACAAAGCAGTAATGTCTGAATAGTCAATCCCAGCAAAAGAAAATGAAGAAATTCCAAACCAGCACACAGTAGCTCCAGAATCATTTTGCATTTTGTCTAGGAGTATATGGCATGACTGGTTTTCTTTTTCTAGAAAATTCTGCCTCTTCAGAACATTGAAAGAGTAAAATCTTGAAATTAATTTTCCTTCCTCTAGCATTAGCCAACCAATAGCAAAAATAAGTCAGATATATAGAAATAAGGAATAAGGGCAATAAAAACTATTAATTAAAAACTAAGCCAAAAATAATCACAGTCAAGCTCTCTATACAAGCAAATAGGATCTGTCTTCCAGAGTACAACAGCAATTTAAACCATTCATTCTTCCATGAACTTAATCATACACAATCTTAATTTCATAACTAAAATACAAGAGTTTTTGTTTTTAAAGATTTGTTAATTTATTTGAGAGACAGACAGAAGGAGAGACAGGGAGAGAGATCTTCCATCCACTGGTTCACTCCCCAAATAGCCACAATGGCCACAGTTGAGTCAACCTGGACTGAACCATCATGAGGGTACAGCCATCACAAAATGTATGATAGGAAAAGAAAATCTAAGGAAAATCATGATTCAATTTACAAGTGAGGAAAGTGAATTTCCCTGGTTTTATTATATATTAATATAGTAGGAAAAAAAATACAAGTTGACCTTGTGGAATGGTTTATATTGCAGCAAACAAGAAGAAGGGCAGAGAAGCCAGCCCTGTCCGGTGCACCTCCTCTCTACCCCAGCTCTTCCTCCCAGCTGTATGCTCCTTCAGCTCTAAGTCCTCCTGGTCCTAGAAGACATCATGCCTTGAGATTTCAGGATAAACTCCCAAGGTGATCTAAATTATCACTCCCAGAGTCTTCTCTCCCAAAGGCTGATGGAAAACTATGCCAAAGCCTCATGACAACTGCCCTACATCTCCTTTGTAACCAACTCCCTTAGGCAGAAGCCACGGGCAGAGATTCACCTAAGATCCTATGCACAATACGATAAAAAGATAAACCCCTGGGAAGGGGAAAGCAGCGTCAGAAGATAAATAACTGACCCCTGCTGGCTTTCCGGCTGCTCCAGATGAACCTGGACAGAATTTTAGGTCTAAACACAACACTTTCTTTTCTGAGACACCAAATAAAATTCAGATACACAGACTGTAACGTGAGCCTCATGCTACACATAAAACGTATTCATGATCAAGAAATCCGTCTAGCTGCATATTCAATCCTCCTAGAAGCTATTCTTCACCCTGCAGTGGGCTTACCCTTCAACTCCATCAGACCCCATTCACCTTACTCGCCTTTCCAGTCCCAGCACAGCTGCTCTTCCATTCAGCTGGCCCCTCTCTCCACACAACCCCCCAGGAGTCCACCTTTCATCCCAACATTCCCTTTGCATGGCCCTCTCACACTCTATGATAACTGTATATTTATTCCTCTGTCCTTCACCCGACATCATGCGCTGTTAGTACATGCAACATATGCACTTAGGGGTACAGCAAGTATTGGAGGCCCAATAAATACTTATTAAGTAGATGAAAAATGAGTATATAAAAATGACTAAGAATAAATACAAAAGCAAAAAAAAAAAAAGAGTAAAACTTAAGGTGAAATTTTCACAGAGGGTTCTATAAGAAATTACCCTTCAGGGGCTAGCTGGTGCTAGCTGGCACTGTAGCTTAGCAGGTTAGGCCACCACCTGCAGTGCTGGCATCCCATATGGGTGCCAGTTCAAAACTTGGCAGCTCCACTTCCGATTCAGCTCTCTGCTGTGGCCCAGGAAAGCAGCAGAAGATGGCCCAAGTCCTTGGGCCCCTGCACCCGCATGGGAGACAGGGAAGAGGCCCCTGGCTCCTGGCTTTGATCAGCTCAGCTCCAACCGTTGCGGCCAACTGGGGAGTGAACCAGCGGATGGAAGACTCTCTTTCTGCCTCTCCTCTCTCTCTGTAACTCTGACTTCCAAATAAATAAATAAATCTTTAAAAAGAAGAAAAATAAATTAGTCTCCAAAAAATTGGAGAAAGGAATGGAGTCAATTTTTTGTCAATTAAAGAAAATATCTACATACAAAGTTAAATGCAAGAGGCCTAATAACTGGAAATGCAGATTATTGTGGAGCCACTTTGTGAAACTGTATCAGGATTACAATATTAAGAACTGGTGTTTCAAATCCATCCAACTGATGGCCATATTCTGGAGCACAGATGAGCCAGAGCTTTCCAGAGGGGCGCTCCACCTGAAGTTTCCCTAGCAAAAGCTGCCTCTAAGAAAGCAGCAGGTAATTAACCTGCAAAAAACAAAACACATGAGGGACAGCTAACCCGTCAATACTACACAAATCACATGCAAAATTCCCCTGAAGGGACAGGAAAGACCAAGTTAGTATCCTTTGGTGGGTGAAGACCTGTATCTTTCCTTAGAAGAGGCCCTCACAAGAACTTAGGAGATAAGAACAGTCACAAGCTATTGGTAATCCCTATGGCCATCATTCAGCTAAAACCTGATCATTAGTACTAACTTTTCTATATCCAAGAGCAATAAGCCTGGCCCGGTGCTGTGGTGTAGAAGGTAAAGCTGCCATTTGCAGTGCCAGCATCCCATATGGGCGCCAGTTCAAGTCTCAGTAGCTCCACTTCCAATCCAGCTCTCTGCTACGAACTGGGAAAGCAGTAGAAGATGGCCCAAGTGCTTGGGCCCCTGCACGCATGTGGGAAGACCCAGAGGAAGCTCCTGGCTCCTGGCTTTGTGCAGATCTGGCCATTGTGGCAAATTGGGAAGTGAACCAGTGGATGGAAGACCTCTCTCTCTCTCTCTGCCTCTCCTTCTCCCTCTGTGTAACTCTGACTTTCAAATAAATAAACAAATCTTTTCAAAAAAATAGTAATAAGCCACAGTCTTCTGCAGAGAGTAGAAACTTGCTGAAAGAGGAAAGTTAATCAATGAAAGAGCTGGCCACACCACAACTGGGAAAGTGCAATGACCCTCCGACATAAAGGAAAGAGAGAATCATGTTCTTATCAAGGGATTAATAACTTGGATTTCTTTACAACAAAACCAGGGCATCTGATTATCTACACTTCATCTATGGCCATATCACCCTGAACGAGCTTGAGCTCATCTGATTATCTACACTTCGAGATACATTTGGAGGTTATCCTCTGTTCAAAACCAGAAAAAAAAAAAACAACTTAGTTTATTAGCAAACCTTGGAGTGGTAGATGTGATCTCCATCTTGGAAGTTAATGGTGCCAAAGGTATCTGTAGGACTTTTCGTTGTGTGTTTCTCAACAGACCATTGTTCATTTTCATCATCCTTTGCAGCTGACATGGTCCAGGAATAATCTATCCCATGATGGTCTCCAATCAATCGACCACAGTAACATCTTAAATTCAGAGAGAGAGAAAAAACTTTAAATAGGAAATTGATGCAATATTTCTGCATTTTCCTAAAGGAATATATAAATTCCATAAATAAGGTTACTTCAGAAAGGTTGTGAAATAATGGAATTAAATAAGTTTATTTAAGCAGCGAGAAAGAGAGAGAGAGATCTTCCAGCTGCTCCAAATGCCTGCAATAGTTGGGGCTGGATGAGGCCAAAGCCAGGAGCCTAGAACTCAGTCTGAGTCTCCCACACAGGTGGCAGGGACCCAAGTACTTGATTAATTATTAGCTACTTCCCAGGAGGCACATTAACAGGAAATTGGATCAGAAGCAGAGTAGCTGGGATTCAAATGAGACATTCCAATATGGGATGTGGGTGTCCCAAACTGTAGCTTAACTCACCACATCAAAACACTCGACCCTAGTATGAAAATTTTGAAATCAATACATTATTTTTCGATTTCTTTCTTTTTTTTTTTTTTTGACAGGCAGAGTTGGACAGTGAGAGAGAGAGACAGAGAGAAAGGTTTTCCTTCCTTTGGTTCACCCCCAAAATGGCCGCTATGGCCAGCACGCTGCGCCGATCTGAAGCCAGGAGCCAGGTGCTTCCTCCTGGTCTCCCATGTGGGTACAGGGCCCAAGGACCTGGGCCATCCTCTACTGCCTTCTCAGGCCACAGCAGAGAGCTGGACTGGAAGAGGAGCAACAGGGACAGACTCTGGTGCCACAACTGGGACTAGAACCTGGGGTGCCGGCGCCGCAGGCGGAGGATTACCCTAGTGAGCCGTGGCGCCGGCCCAATACATTATTTTTCACAATAAGCATTGTCCATGAACTTCTTGAAGACCCATGTATTAACAATTCATAAACCTTCACAGTGAGATTTCTAACATTGTATTGTTTTCTAAGTTTAAAGATTTATTTATTTTATTTGAAAGGCAGAGTTACAGACAGGTTGGGGGAAGAGAGAGAGAGAGAAAGAGAGAGAGAGAGAGAGAGAGAGAGAGGTCTTTCATTCGCTGGTGCACTCCCCAAATGGCTGCAATGGCTAGAGCTGGACCATACTGAAACCAAGATTCTGGAGCTTCTTCTGGGTCTCCCACATGGGTTCGGGGCCCTAGCACTTGGGCCATTTTCTACTGCTTTCCTGGGTGCATTAGCAGGGATTGGAAGTGGAGCTGGGAATTGAACTGGCACCCAAACGGGATCCCGGTGCTGCAGACGGCAGCTTAATCTGCTACACCACAGCGCAGCCTCATGTATTGTGTTCTAAGTTTGGAAACATCCTCAGTGGTCCTTTCCCTTGACTGCAGACTATAATCATTTGGGAATGTTTTAAAAACAATACTAAGGGGCCAGCATTGTAGCACAGAGGATTAAGCCACTGCCTGCAACACTGGCATGCCATATTGGCACCTGTTGGAATCATGACTATTCCACTTCCAATCTAGCTCCCTGCTAATGGCAACAGAAAAATGCCCCAAATATTTGGGCCCCTGTACTCACATGAGAAACCTGGAAGAAGCTCCTGACTCCTGGCTTCTGCCTGGCCCAGCACTGCCCACTGGGGAAATGAACCAGAGGATGGAAGAGATATCTCTATCTCTCTCTCCCACCCTCCCTCTCCTGTAACAGTCTTTGAAATAAATAAATGAATAAAAAATAAAAATAAAAATCTCTTATACGTTCATGTTCAGAGCAGCATTAACAACAGCCATGAGACAGAAGCAACCCAAATATCTTTCAATGGACAAATAGATAAAACTCGGTGTACAAAGCAACTTCAAACACAGCAGGTTGGGCTGTTGCTTGAGATGCTCACATCCTGGAAGTCAAGTTTGACACATGTGGAATTGCCTGGTGCGAGTGCCTGCTTCTGATCCAGCTTCCTGCTGATATTCCTGAAAAGCAGTTGATCGATGGCCCAAGTGCTTGTATTCCTGCCAACTACGTGGGGCACTTGGATAGAGTTCCTGTCTTAAACTTGGCTATTACAGACATTTGGTGCATGAATCAGTACATGACAGATCTCGATCTCGATCTCTCTCTGCCTTTCAAAATAAATCAATAAAACATTTTTAAAAGTTTTTTGGAGGGGTCGGCGCTGTGGCATAGTGGGTCAAGCCTCCTCTTGAAGTGCTGGCATCCCATGTGGCGTCAGTTCTAGTCCCAGCTGCTCCACTTCCGATCCAGCTCTCTGCTATGCCTGGGAAAGCAGTGGAGGATGGCCTAAATCCTTGGATCCATGCACCCACATGGGAGAACCGGAGGAGGCTCCTGGATCCTGGCTTTGGATTGGCGCAGCTCTGGCCATTGTGGCAAACTGAGGCGTGAACCAGCAGATGGAAGACCTCTCTCTCTCTCTCTCTCTCTCTCTCTCTCTGCCTCCCCTTGTCTCTGTGTGTAACTCTGACTTTCAAATAAATAAATCTTTTTTTAAAAAGTTTTTAGAAATACAAATGTAAACATTGGTCATCAATAAAAGCTGACATCAAGGTCAGCACATTTTTTCTTAGCAATGATACCAGCCATTTAGTACCTCCCTAAGGAACAGAAGGTTCTGGGTATTCAACCATGTCAATGCAGTCGCTATTTTACATTATTTACTGAATAAAAGCACAGGTGCCCTTTTAAAAAAATTTTAAGATTAGAGACAAAAAGAAATCATAAGGAACAAATCAGGTACATATCTAGTAATTTCCTATTGAAACTCTCACAAAATTCCCCTTATTTGATGAAAGGCATAAGCCAGGGCATTGTGGTGGTGAAGAGGGACCATCTGGGGATGCTTTCCCAGACATTATTCTTTCTGCTAAAGCTTTGGCTAACTTTCTCAAAACAATCTCCTAATAAGCAGACATTATTCTTCTTTGGCTCTCCAGAGACCCAACAAGCAAAATGCCTTGAATGTCAAAAGAACTGTGGCCATGACCGTTGCTCTTGACAGGTTCATTTTGCTCTTACTAGAATATTTTCACCTCTTGGTAGCCATTGCTTTGATTGTGTTTTGTCTTCGGGATCACACTGGTAAAGCTATGTCCCATCTCCTGCTCCAAATCTTGGAAGAAATGCTTCAGGATCTTGATGCCATTTGTTGAAAATTTCCACTGAAAGCTCTGCTATTGTCTGCAGCTGCTGTGGGTACAACAGTTTTGTCACCTATTGAGCAGAAAGTTTTCTTCACTTTAATTTTCCAGTGAGAACTGTGATTATCATGTTGGCTATTGTTTCTGATAACAATCATTGGTACAGAAGGCAGGAGCTTCTTCTGGGTCTCCTACACAAGTGGCAGGGGCCCAAGCACTTGAGGCATCTTTTGCTGCTTTTCCCAGGCAATTAGCAAGGAGCTGAATTGGAAGTGGAGCTGCTAGGACTTGAACCAGTGCCAGTATCCCAGATGGTAGCTTGACATGCTACGCCACAATACCAGCACCACCTTTTATAAACAAAATATATATTTATTTGAAAGTCAGAAATCAAAAATATTTATTTGAAAGCTACAGAAGTAGAGGGAGAGGCAGAGAGAGAGACTCATAAACTTTTCCTAGAGCATCAGTGATTTCACCATTCTTCCACCCATGCTTCACTTCAATTTGATTTTTTTCCTTGCTTTAATTTCAGTAAAATTCCTGTTTCTTTGACAGGGGCTCTTTTTCCTTCTTAGCACCTCAAACTAGATCCTATTCAGACATGTTACAACCAGTTAGTACAAATTCATTTTGGTGCAAAAAAAAATGAAATTCATGCTTAGTTTTTCATAATCTATTTTCCATGAACTTTTTGAAGATCTCATATACATACAAAGGAGTATTATTAGGATTTAAAACAGAAGTAAATTTTGACATATACAACGACATGGATGAATCTTGAGTATTAATGCTAACTGAAATAAACAAGTCATAAAAAAATTGTATAATTCCACTTAAATAGGTTATCTAAAATAGTCAAATTTACAGGGAGAAAAAGCAGAATGCTTATTTCCAGTGGCTGGGGAGGAGACAAGTTGTTATTTAATAGTTATTTAATGGATACAAAGTTTCAGTTTTGCAATTTAAAAAGTTCTGGAGACCCACTGCACAATAATATAAACTTACTTAATACTAGTGAACTGCACACTTAAAAAATGCTAAGGTAATTTTAAAAAAGTATTTATTTTAAACATCTATAATTTATTATATGTCAAATAATACCTCAATAAATTTGCTAATAATTCAAATATTAATATGCAAGTAAAATTATCTTCATGTTAGTTCCTCATTCAGATAAAAATGAAGGAATGATAACCAATGCAAATAAAAAAGATGGAACATTAAAGATATATGTAAACATAGAATTACAATTTCAAGAAAGCCATGAATGACACTTCACTATAAATTCAAAAATATAGTAAGTTCTATAATAATTTTAAAGGAAGGAAAATTTAAGAAATACTCCTGAAAATAATTAGAAACTTTTCAAAACATTGGTATTTTAAAAAATTCTAACAGCTGGGGCCGGCACTGCGTCGTAGTGGGTAAAGCTGCCGCCTACAATGCCGGCATCCCATATGGGCGCCAGTTCTAGTCCCAGCTGCTCCTCTTCCGATCCAGCTCTCTGCTATGGCCTGGGAAAGCAGTGGAAGACGGACCAAGTCCTTGGGCCCCTGCACCCGCGTGGGAGACCAGAGGAAACTCCTGGCTCCTGGCTTCAAATCAGAGCAGCTCCGGCAGTTGCGGCCAATTGGGGAGTGAAACAGCAGATGGAAGACCTCTCTCTCTGTCTCTCCCTCTCACTGTCTGTAATTCTACCTCTCAAATAAACAAATAAAAAAAATCTCTAAAAAAAAAGTTTTTGGAGGGGTTGGCGCTATGGCGTAACAGGTAGAGCCACCGCCTGTGGTTCTGGCATCCCATGTGGGCACTGGTTCGAGTCTCAGCTGCTCCACTTCCAATCCAGCTCTCTGCTATGGCCTAGGAAAGTAGTGGAGGATGGCCCAAGTTCTTGGGCCCCTGCACCCCCATGGGAGACCTGGAGGAAGCTCCTGGCTCCTGGCTTTGGTTCGCCACAGCTCCAGCCGTTGCAGCCTACTGGGGAGTGAACCAGCAGATGGAAGGCCTCTCTCTCTGCCTCTCCTTCTCTCTCTGTGTAACTCTGACTTTCAAGTAAAATAAACAAATCTTTTAAAAAAAATTCTAACAGATACATAAAACATATTTATGGGGTACCATGTAGTGTTTCAATATTTTTTCTAATTTTTATACTTTTTTTAATGTTCAAATAAGGGTAAACATATCTATATCCTCAAACATTTATCACTACTTTATGGTAAAAACATTCAAAATTCTTTCTTGTAGCTTGTTTTTTAGATTATATTACCATTTTAAATTATACTACAGCCACTCCACAGTGCAGTAGAATACCAAAACTTATTCCTCCTCCCTAACAATAAATTAGAACCCATTAACTCTCCCCACACCTGTCACGCCCATTCTCTGGAGCCTCTGGTAACTACCATTTTACTCTCAAATTCTATAAGATCAACTTTTTTTAGATTCCATATATGAGTGAAATGATGAAGTACATATTTTTCTGTGCTTTAGTTCACTTAACATAATGACTTCCAATTCCATCCATGTTGTCACAAATGGCAAGATTTTAGCCCTTCTTATAGCTGAATAGGATTCTCTTAGGGATATGTACCACATTTTGATTACCCGCTGATCACCTGAGAGACACTTAGGTTGTCGGCAATTTTACAAAATATTTAATAGAATTGCTATTGTTTCTATTATAAAACAAAATAAACTAAGCAAACTAAAAGGTTAAATTTTTTGAAAATTAAAATTATATAAAAATAACAGAAAATATAACAATTATATTCATGAAAGTGAAATGAATTTCTAATTTTTGATGAATTATGGACAATCATAAGAATTAAAATTCTAACATAGAATTTAAAGCTTACGTATACTTATTTATAAATTATACATCGTCAATTCACATATTAAATAGTAGTTAATCTACAAATGAAATTATAGATGTCCTAATTTATTCATTGTGGTTCTGTTCACAATTGTGAAAGACTGAAAATAACTAAATAATCCAAATGTCCATTAAGACCAAACCAACTAAATAATTTATGACGCATTCTTGTGTTGTGAAAAAGAAGCAAAGCATCTCTGTCCTGGATAGAAAGAGCTCTAAGGCATATGGTTAAACGAAAACAGTGAAGTTCGGCAGAGCATGCACAGTAGAATGCAGAATGTCTGCATCCTCCCCAAATTCATATGCTGAAATCTTAACTTTTGGAGATAAGGGCCTTTGGGAGGTGATTAGGTCATGGGGCTCTGCCCTTATGACTGAGATTTATTACCCTTATAAAAGACTAAAAGACACCTTGGGGTGGTGCTGTGGCCTATACAGTAGGCTAACCCTACACCTGGGGAGCCAGCATCCCATATGGGTGCCGGTTCATGTCCCGTTGCTCCTCTTCCAATCCAGCTCTCTGTTATGTCTTGGGAAAGCAGTAAAAGATGGCCAAAGTCCTTGGGCCCCTGCACCTGTGTAGGAGACCCAGAAGAAGCTCCTGACTCATGCGTTTGGCCTGGCCTAGCCCAGGCTGTTGTGGCCATTTGGAGACTGAACCAGCAGATGAAAGACCTCTCTGTCTCTCCCTCTCTCTAGATGTCTACCTCTCAAATAAATAAATAAACTCTTAAAAAAAAATAAAGACATCTCAGAGAGTTACTTTGTCACTCTCACCAAGTGACACTAGAGCAAAAAGGCACTACAATGAAAAAGCTGGCTCTCACCTGGCACCAAACCTGCCAGCACTTTCATCCTGGGCTCCTCAGCCTTCAGAACAATGAGAAATAAATTTCTGTTCTTTAGGAGCTACCTAGTTGATGAGATTTTGGTATAGCAGACTGAATAGACTAAGACACATCCAATAACAAATGATTTGTGGAAAACAGAGAGCTGAATAAAAATTTTAAAATGTATTTATTATTGCTTCTTTATGGATTTAAAACTCTGAAAGGAATCTTAAAACACTAGTAGTGAAGGGAACCATGAGTAAGGGAAATAGGACTTGTCATCTCTCTAGGGACAAGAGTAGAAAGGAGATTTTTTTCATCACAAAATTTAAAAAATATATTTAAATTAGTTTATTGGGATTTTTTAGTTTTAAAAAATAGAAACGGGGGCCATGGTGTGACACGGCAGGTTAAACTGCCATGTGCTATACCAGTGTCCCACATGAGCAATGTTTTGAATCCCAGCTGTTCATTTCCAATCTAGCTCCCTGCTAAAGCACCTGGAAAAGCAATGAAAGATGGCCCAGGGACTCGGGCCCCTGCCCCCCATGTAGAAGACCTAGATGAAGCTGTAGGTTTCTGCCTTCGACCTGGCCCAGCCCCTTTGCAGCCATTTGGGGAGTGAACCAGCAGAAGCAAGATATTCTCTCTCTCTCTCTCTCTCTCTCTCTAGAACTGCCTTTCAAATAAACAGAAATAAATCTTTAAAAATAAATAACAAATGCCGGTGCCGCGGCTCAATAGGCTAATCCTCCACCTAGCAGCACCAGCTCACCGGGTTCTAGTCCCGGTCGGGGCGCCGGATTCTGTCCCGGTTGCCCCTCTTCCAGGCCAGCTCTCTGCTGTGGCCAGGGAGTGCAGTGGAGGATGGCCCAAGTGCTTGGGCCCTGCACCCCATGGGAGACCAGGAGAAGCACCTGGCTCCTGCCTTCGGATCAGCGCGGTGCGCCGGCCTCAGTGCACCAGCCGTGGCGGCCATTGGAGGGTGAACCAATGGCAAAAGGAAGACCTTTCTCTCTGTCTCTCTCTCTCACTATCCACTCTGCCTGTCAAAATAAATAAATAACAAAAATAGAAATTCTAATCTCTATTTAAGAACCCCCAATGTATTTTTCTAATTTCATTGAGTTAATGAATCCCAATTGGCTGACCAGTATTGTAGAAAATACATAGCTATAGAATTCTAAGATTTTGTGTACAGCTCATGCACAGGTTCTAGAGGGCAACTGAAATCAGGAAAAGTAGACGGAATCAATACATAATTACTGATAACTATCCACCCTGGAAATATTGAGCTAAAGGCATAAAAGCCTTGTGTACAATCAAAAAAGTACAAAAAGTTTCTTAAATTCAATCAAATTGACCAGATATTCTTAGTGTTATAAGTACAATATAACAATCACAACATACAAAACTTAGATGGTGCTTTAGGTTTACCAAGTGTTTCACATAAACTTTGTAAGTCTGCATAAAGAAATAATTTTAAATAGAGAAGTTACCAGGAGCAACTTTAATAAGCTACTGCATAGAAAAGCCAAGAGTGAACAGCCTCTCTCAAACAACAGGACTTAAAAGCAGTTTGTGTAGTACATGAGTCAGCAAAAGCAGGTCAGGATGGATGGATGGTCGGATGGACAGAGAGAGAATGGACTAAATCATTAAGTTATATCTTCAATGACTTTTATCAGTTGAGTTTTAGAATTCATGTTAACAAAATAATTCTTTCCTCTAGTTACACTGTATTATTTTATGCATTATCTATATAACATGTTGAATAAAATTGGACAGAAATACAAATATAGAGACTGAGGGGTAAAATTTAGATGAGTAAAATGAGTAGGAAAACAATGTGACATCAATTCTCATCTCCTTTAAATAAATATAAAGAGGAAAAGTTTGTCACTTAACATAAGTAATTGAGAACAGTTCCCCTACTTGCAACTTTCACTTCACCTTTACTTTTTTTTTTTTTTTTTTTTTTTTTTGACAGGCAGAGTGGACAGTGAGAGAGAGAGACAGAGAGAGAAAGGTCTTCCTTTTGCCGTTGGTTCACCCTCCAATGGCCGCCGCTGCAGCTGGCGCACCGCGCTGATCCAAAGGCAGGAGCCAGGATCCAGGTGCTTTTCCTGGTCTCCCATGGGGTGCAGGGCCCAAGCACCTGGGCCATCCTCCACTGCACTCCCTGGCCATAGCAGAGAGCTGGCCTGGAAGAGGGGCAACCGGGACAGAATCCGGCACCCCGACCGGGACTAGAACCCGGTGTGCCGGCGCCGCAAGGTGGAGGATTAGCCTATTGAGCCACGGCGCCGGCTTCACTTCACCTTTACTAATCAGCAGGTAAGTATTTTGTTGAGCTGTCTAGATAGTAAATTTCTGTTTTCTTTAGCTTTTATCAACATAAACAAGTCAACTTGTGATCTAGTACATGAGTAGACAAAGTACAAATTTGCTTCACTCTCTTTAATTAAAGCAATTCTCCTCTTAAAAGAAAATTCATAATCCTAAATTTACATATCTCTTTTTCAAGAAGGACCTTATTTTATTATTTTCACAGCTAAAGCTCCCAATTATACTATTTTAGTATGAGCTTCAGTGACAAATTTAAATAAGATTTAGGGGGTCAGCATTGTGATACAACAGGTTAAATCCACTGCCAGAAATGCCAACATTCCATATCAGAGAGCCAGTCTGAGTGGCAGCTTCTCCATTTCTGATCCAGCTCCCTGCTAAGGCATCTGGGAAGGCAGCAGAAGATGGCCCAAGTGCTTGGCCTCTGCTACCATGTGGAAGACCCAGATAGAGTTGCTCCTGGCTTCAGCCTAGCCCAGTCCCAGCTGTTGTGACCATTTGGGGAGTGAACCAATGGATAGAAGTTCTCTCTCTCTCTCTCTCTCTCACTCTGTCTCTCTTCTTGCTCTCTGTCACCTGCCTTTCAAATAAATAAATCTCTGGCACCATGAACTAAATCACAATGACAATCTTAACACCACCCCTGGAAAGGTAAACAGCATTCATCTTCCACTGAGTCCACTCCAATGTTAGGAAACTGCTCCAGATACATTTTAAATAAGGTGCCTTCCAGTTACAAGGAATCTTACATATCTAAGTCTTACCTGATTAAATTCTGACACACCTGGCATCCTGAAGTACATCTAAATTAAAGAAATAAAATGCCTGTTAGCTTACTGATAAATTTGAAGAAATACTTAACACTTATACAGTAAATATCTACTGTTTCCCAAGATCTGGAAATCATAGTTTGCTAAGTATTCCTATATCTCTTCCTAAATAGTCCCACATGCCATTTACCAAATATAATTATATTGCAGCAACTATAATCTAATTGATAGAATATTGAGCTTGGAATTAAATTTCATTGATTTAATTATTTCTCTAAGCCCCTGTTTTCACATCTGGAAGTAATATCAGCCCCATATGCAAAGGACTTAAACAAGTATTTTTCAAAAAAGGAAATCCAAACGGCCAACAGACACGTGAAAAAATGCTCACGATCACCAGCCATCAGGGAAATGCAAACCAAAACCATAATGAGGTTTCACTTCACCCATGTTAGAATGGCTTTCATACAGAAATCAACAAACAAATGCTGGTGGGGATGTGGGGGAAAAAGGTACCCTAATCCACTGTTAGTGGGAATGCAAACTGGTAAAGCCACTGTGGAAGAAGACAGTATGGAGATACCTCAGAAATCCAAATATAGACCTCTCATATGACCCAGCCCTGGTCATATTCCCACTCCTGGGAATTCACCCAAGGAAAATGAAATCAGCATATGAAAGAGTTATCTGTAACCCCATGTTTATTGCAGCTCAATTCACAATAGCTAAGATATGGAATCAGTCCAAATTTCCATCAGTTGATGACTGGCTAAAGAAATTATGGGATATGTACACCATAGATTACTACACAGCAGGAAAGAAAGAAAGAAAGAAAGAAAGAAAGAAAGAAAGAAAGAAAGAAAGAAAGAAAGAAAGAAAGAAAGAAAGAAAGAAAGAAAGAAAGAAAGAAATCCTGTCATTTGCAACAAAATGGATGCAAGTGGAAAACATCATACTTAGTGAAACAAGCCAGTCCCAAAAGGACAAATATCATATGTTCTCCCTGATCTGTGGTAACTAAAAGAGCACCTAAAAGGTAAACTATAGAAGTGAAAATAACACTTAGATATGCAATGACTTTGAACAGCCCATGTCTAGACTGTTGAGGAACAGGTTTTTTTATACTATCTGTTGATCTCTTTACTTAGTATAATTTGATGTGTATAAGGTTAATTGAAAATAGATCTTAGTAAAAAATAAGAATGGGAATAGGAGAGGGAGGAGGAAAAAGGGTGGGGGCGGGGGTAGGATGAGAAGAATCACTATGTGCCTAAAGTTGTATTTATGAAGTACATGAAATTTATATACCTTAAAATAAAGGTTTCTGGGTTAAAAAAAAAAGCATTGAAAAAATGTTTTTAAAAATCTGAAGGTAAAAAAACAGAAGTAGGTACTGTAATCTGTTTAAACTTAATAGATGTACAATCATGAGAAAATTGCAAAGCAGTGAATAAAATTTATTATGGGGATTGCCCAAAAAAAATTTTTTTTAAATATGCACTATATGAGTTTGAAAGGATTATAAAAGCTAACATATGTGAAATGTCTTAGAGTACCTGTAAGTATGATAGCTGTAATTATTAAATATGAGGGTAACACAGAATTCTTGAAAACCAAGTAAGAAAACACATCAAAAATAATTTTTAAACCATGAAACACTATCAAGTCAAACATTGTCATTGATGTATTTCTACTCCTGCCAAAAGCCATTCTGTTTCACTGATTTATGATTTGTAATTTATCTTGATAAGTGATATGGCAAATTCTATATGTTTTCTTCTCCTTTGTCAAAACTGTTTTACTTTTCTGAACATTTCAAACATGCATATGAATTTTTGTCAAGTTCCATGAAATATCTTTTTAGGATTTTGATGGAAATTGTATTTGTGAAACAATGGGGGGTGTTGGTATGATTATAATAATTAATTTTTTAAGATTTATTTATTTATTTGAAAGGCAGAAATACAGAGAAGGAGAGAGAGAAAGAGAGCTTCCATCTGCTGATTCCATCTGCAAATGGCCACAACAGCTGGGGCCAGGAGCGTCTTCTGGGTCTCCCACAAGGGTTACATGGGTCATTCTCTGCTGCTTTCCCAGGCCATCAGCAGAGAGCTGGATCAGAAAAGGAGCAGCTGGGACTCAAACCAGTGCCAGCACTGCAGCAGAGGCTTAACCTTGTACGCCCCAGCATCAACCCTGAGACTTTTTTTTTTAACCTACATAATGTAGAAGATCTTGGGTTACTCACAGAATTAAGAATACTGATATTCTTGCTGAGTCCATGGACTAATTTATAGACTTAGTAACTTTGTGTCCCTTTTCAGGAGATTCCAGGAAACTATGTAGCTTCCTCATCTACAGAAGTAAAAGGAGCCACCTGGAGCCCAGTCTGTTTTCCACTGCGGCCACCATCACATTACAAGACATCATAAACGACGAAGGGAACAAGCAAGGTTACCTTGGCATTCTGTAATGCTGTGTAAGTAGGTAAAATGAGAATTTCCGATCACAGGGCTTAAAACCATAGGTAATTCAATGAGGTGGGACTGGTAAATGTTTAACAAATGCAAGGAATACTATTGTAGTCATCCCCAAAGAACTAGAATTTCATGAACTTCACCATGCTACCCTTCCATCAGCACATAATCATGTTTTCTAAACTTTAAATGAAAATAAGACCAACAACAGAAAAGAATCTAAAAATAGAGTGATTCTCCTAATTAAAACATTGTTTTTCTATTTTCCTTTTAATTTTTCCACTAAGGGCAATGCCATCCAGTCTTAATTTCATGGACCTGATTACCCTGGGGAATTTTCCACAGCCCTTTTTCCTCCTGTCTTTCACTGATTGCCTTTTTGAACTTTGTTCCACAAGTGGAGCTTCCAAATGGTTACAGTAGTGAAACGCAAATCATTCCATTCTGCTGTCTCACATCTGCCCAAATGAGAAGGCAGAACTAAGATCACCGGTTACATAATCTGAGAACAGTTTCCTGACATGTCCTCAACAGCTACTATTTTCCACAGATACTCATACCCTTCTCGGGCATAGGACACACCCACAATGATTTGAAAATTTAACATTCAGATATTGTCAATTATTGAATATCACCCAAGCCCAGTGGAATGGATGTATTATCTCTCTAATGTCTATGCATCCCTTCCCCATCAAGAAGAACAGGAGCATCAAATGGAATTAAATCCACAAGAATAACAGTGATGTCGTCAGCTTTAACCTCCTGCTTCTTTATACTTCAGTAACTTGTAAAGCAGGTGTTTATCAGGAGCCTACTAGGCACTGGAGTTGGAGTAAGGTACAAAATTGACAAGGTCCCTATTCTTACCATATTTTCTATAATAATCACATGCTGCCTTTATGAAGTGAAAGAAACAAATATTCATTAAAACTAATAAATACTAACTTTATAATATGATGAAATACTGAAGATAGGTCATACTTCTAAGCTACTACAAACAATTCTCCAAGTAGCATTGCTTTAAAAAGAAAAATGTAATTAAAAAGTATACCTGTGTGGGTCTTTTGAACTCGGTATGACTTTGTTACATTCTCTCTTTTCAAATACTCCTTCAATCCAGGATTTCTGAGACTGAACAGAAAGTGTCATTATTAGGTGAAAAAGCAGTATAACCACAATTCAGGTGGGCAAGATATACATGTCACAGGTCCAAATTCAAATGCCAAGGCCACCTGCAATGTAACAAGCTAAGCTTTTATTGATTTCACTTACATTTATAACATATGCACAAATAAGCCAAATGTGGACATAAAAATACAAAGTCAACATGCTCATAATCTCACACTAAGTAAAAAGATCCTAGTAAAGATTAACTGGTGGAGTCTCTTAAATCTGTTAAAAGTCAAGGTTGGCACTGTGGCATAGCAGGTGAAGCCACTGCCAGGAACCCATACAGGCACCAGTTCAAGTCCTGTCTGTTCCACTTCCAATCCAGATCCCTGTTAATATGTCTGGGAAAGCAGCAGAAGATGGTCCAAGTGCCTGGGCCCTTGCACACACAGAGGAGACCCAGAATGAGGCTCCTGCTCTTGCTTTGGTCTGGCCTAGCCCTGGCCACTGCGGCCACTTGGGGAGTGAACCAGCAGATGGAAGATCTCTCTTTCTCTCACTGTCTCTCTTCTCTCTGTAACTCTGCCTTTTAAATAAATAAATCTTTTTAAATATATATATATTACAAGTCATTTTTCCTATGGAATGAATATCAAGCTCTGAATACTTCAAATTTCTCACTCAAAAAGTCCCACTTTAGCTAAGATTTCATAGGAAGCTAGAAAGTGTTAGAAGAGAGACATGATAAATATGTATTAGAACATAGATGAAAGGGAGGGGAACCAGAATCTATCAGGGGCTTTTTCAAATGCCTTATTGGTGTAGTACCTATCTCACTATTACACCTACTCCTATCTTACCATCAAAAGAAACACATAGAAAACTTGGGATAAATACAGCTGTGGCCTTCATTATCACAGTGTTCTCAGGTCTCCGGATGATTGCAAACAATGCAAGTTATAAAATCCTTTACATCCTTCTCTTGTTAAGCAAAAATGAAAAACAAAAGGAAAAAGTTAAAATACAGATTGATTGATTGGTTCCTGTGCCTTTAAAACTTATCTGCAAACAAAAACTTCCCAGATCAAGGCCAGGCATCTCCAGTCATTCTATTCCTTTATCCATATTGCATGGCCAGCTACTTTTTAACATATAAAGCCACTAGCTAATTTGTCAAAGCACTAAAAACATAAACTTGAAAAAATCCAAAGTTACTTAATTTAAAATGAACAGCAAATTCAAAGTTTACTTACTATAACAAGAAATAACAGAATACTCTAGAATCAGTAAGTGCTGTTCCCTAATCAAAAATATTAACAAATTCATTAATTTATTTCTCATTCATTAAATACCTAATTTTTGCAAAGAATTGACAAAGGAGCTACAGAAGAGTCAGTGTGTCTTCAAAGAATTCTTCTTTCTGATTTTCAAAATATCTATTAATTCATTCAACAAATATATGCACAGGCTTCCATACTGCATGCTGGGAATTCATGGCAAGAGAAGGTTCCTAGGCCGGCGCCGTGGCTCAATAGGCTAATCCTCCGCCTCGCGGCACCGGCACACCGGGTTCTAGTCCCAGTTGGGGTGCCGGATTCTGTCCCAGTTGCTCCTCTTCCAGGCCAGCCCTCTGCTATGGCCCGGGAGTGCAGTGGAGGATGGCCCAAGTGCTTGGGCCCTGCACCCGCATGGGAGACCAGGAGAAGCACCTGGCTCCTGGCTTCGGATCAGCACGATGCGCCGGCAGCAGCGCGTTGGCCACGGTGGCCATTGGAGGGTGAACCAACAGCAAAGGAAGACCTCTCTCTCTCTCTCTCTCTCTCTCACTGTCCACTCTGCCTGTCAAAAAAAAAAAAAAAAAAAAAAAAAAAAAGACAAGGTTCCTGCTCAGAAGGAAATTAGGAAAAAAGGAGTAAATGGGCAAGAAATTGATATCATTACACTTCTTGTGTACCAATTAACTCGCAAAAACAGCTGTAAAACTGGGTCTCTAATTTAGGAGCCGATATGAGAGATCTTCAGAAGATTCATGGGAAATGTGTATCACTAAAATGGAATGCATGCATTTCAAAAGTTTTTGCATCAAAATAAGCTCAAATTTTAATTTCATTTCTCCACAAATGTTTTGGAGTCCCCCCATATATACAAATTCAGCTGTGCTCCATCACTCCCTTATTTTAAAAGGCTGGATAGACATCTCTGAAGTAGGACTATCTGGGCAAATTATTCAATTCTTCATGCCTGTTGGCTTATCTATAAAAATGGAGATGATAAAAACTCTATGTCAGAGTTGTATGAGGATTAGATAAAGGATTAGAATTCTCCCAGGGACTTATTAAGTCTTTATAAAACTTAACTATTATTATTGGTGATATCAAAGGTAAAAATGAACTTCTGGTTGGTGCCCTAGGATCCTCATTCTTTAAGGTTCATTCATTCACTTATTATTTATTTGAAAGTTAGTGTGACAGGAGGTTGGGGTGGGGGGACAGAGGGATATCTTCCGTCTACTGCTTCACTCCCCAAGTGGCCATAAGTCTGGGCCGGGTAGAAGCCAGCGCCTGGAACTCCATCCTGGTATGCCACATGTGTGGCAGGGGCACAAGTACTTGTACCATCATCCGCTGCTTTCCCAAGGGCATTAGCAGGAAGCTGGATCAGAAGCAGAACAGCCAGAACTAGATTCAGCACTCTAATACAGAACTCTGTGGATCACCAGTGGTGGCTTAACCTACAGCACCACAACAGCAGTGGCCTAGGATCTTAATTTTGATGTACTTTTTATTGTAGGAAAATACCTCCTGACCTTCAAATCTACCTCCATAGGACTCTCATATTGCAACTTAATATCCTTACAGACCCACATTCCCTCCTGGACTTCAGCTTCTATAAGCCCATGCCAATGGTTTTGGTTGCCCGAGGGCCCATCCTGATGATTGTGGAATGAGAAACAAAATGAACATACTTAAAATAGAACTTCAGGCACCCTGGTAAAAATTTTTCCTCCAAAGGTGTAAACAGGAAGCCTGCACCATAACAAGAACATAAAAACCTTCCTCCTGCAGCTCCCATATCTTATCTCAAAACTCCAGAAAAAGAAGACCAGCCTTAATTAGCAAGTGTTCCAAACAATCCTCACTTCAGCACTTTACTTTTCCCCCTACTTCACAGGGAATTATCCTTTTCTATATATTCTCTAGCACACACTGGAGAGGCGCACGTTCATCTCAACTAAGAACCAAATGTTTGTTGGTTCTGACTCAACAGCCCAAACTGATACACGGGGCACACACCCAATGTGCTGGTTCCCGTCACTGGAGCAGCAAATTGTTGTGTCGGTGGAAGCTAACAATGGGGACTGTGCCATTTCTGTAGAATGTTATCATGGCATTCTTCAAAGACTGAATGGTTTTGTTTGTTAACTGTTGTGTTTGGGAGGAGGGAAAGACAGAGAAGAAAGAAGAGAAATAAATGGTGTCAGTTTCAGTTTACCTAACCCTAAAATATAATCAGTCTTTACATCTAATCATGGGCCTGAGGTGAGAGTGGGGAATTACAAGAAATGCCCAAAATCTAGTCCTCCAACAGCAGCTGTATATAAACAAATCTCTTTCTTGACAGTATTTCTTCTCCAAGGATGTTGAGGGCTTCCAGGTCACGATTCTTTCAGGGGAAGCTCAGGGAAGGTGCAATCTTAGAAACAGTCCTTAATTTTCAAAAAATGATTTTTTTTTTACTTCCACAGGACCATGTAAGCAAGAGTAAAGAGAGATAAAAGCCATATGTTTTCTTCTTATATCTATTCATTTATTTATTTAAAAGGCAGAGCAAGAGACAGAAAGAAAAAGAGGGAGGGAGAGAGAGAGAGAGAGAGAGAGAGAGAGCATGCTCCCATCTACTGATTCACTCCGCAAATGCTCACAAGAGCCAGGACTGGGCTGAGAATGAAGCTAAGAGGCAGGAACACAATCCAGGTCTCCCACAGAGGTGGCAGGGGCCTAACTACTTGAGTTACTAAGATCTACACTGCTAGGAAGCTGGTGTCAAAAGCTGGTGCTAAAAATCAAACCCAGGCAGTTGAATGGGCACCTTAACCACTAGGCTAAATGCCTGCTAGTATAACTTTCTTACCTTAAAATAAAAAAAAATCTAACCTCTAACAAGTACTTCCGCTTTCATGGTACTCACTCTTACACATATCACAGCTGTGACAATGCATAATTGCAATCAGTTCTTTATCTCTTAACTATCTTTGCAATCCACTTCAAAAGAAATCATTCTTGGAATCTACAACACACAAGGCAGCATCAGAAAGAAGCAAATAGAGAAATAGTATTTCAGACCCAAGCTGACACTTGAAATTTTCTCTACAGAGTTCCTCCCTTGGAACAAGAACTCTGTTAAACTGAGTGACAGGCAGATGGACTTCTGGGTACACCAACAATCTGTTGGCTCTGCTGAAATGTCTCATCTGACTCCAAACTCAAAATATCCAAAAACCAGGGGGCTGTTCCACCAACACCACATGAGGTGCATCGACTGTCCACTAAACATTCTTTCCAGGAAGCAGCATTCAGCAGTATACCTCATAAAGAGAACACAAAACAACCTTACACATCTTTTGCTTCTTTTGGTAGAAAAAGATGAGCACCGTTATTGCTGAGAGTGACTTTTTGGGAGCATCATCTATAAAAATGAAATGTCAAGTAAATAGTCTCACAATATCCTAAAATGCCATTTGTCCTCTGTAGGTTGAGAAATTTTACTAACTTTTGTTTTTAAACTTTTATTTTATAGGCAGAGTGACATGGAGTGTGTTGGGCTTGGGGAGAGATCGTCCATGCTCTGGTTCCCTCCCCAAATGGCCACAAGAGTCAGCTGGAGCAGGCTAAACCCGGGTGCCAGGAATGTCATCCAGATCTCCCACATGGGTGGCAGGGGCCCAAGGACTTGTGCCATCTTCCACTGCTTTCCCAGGCACATCACCAGGGAGCAGGATAAGAAGCAGAGCAGTCGGGACT